CTTAACCTGCCGCCACACTGCAGCCTCCTTCACAAGATTGAAAATCCTATGAGGAGTTGTGCGCAAACATGAAGATCGCCAACGTGGCTCCAGTCACTTGAATTTCCAGGACTTTTGCATCCGCCTTCGATCGCCCGGGATACTTAACCGCCGACGCCCTTGACGTCAATTCCAACCGGCGTTTGACGGCTCAGGAAGCACTTCGCCGCGGTCGGTCAACAGTCAGGCTTCTTCGTTCACAACATCGACCCAAGCCAAGCGCTTCTTTGTTTGCCAAGCAGAAATGTTTCTCATCGCGGCTTGGATTAAAACATACAATACCATAAACTCCAGTGGGTTGCTGTCAGTGTACTTAGAAAGGGTTCCTCAAAGCAACAGGCCGCAGCCTCACTTCACAAGCGCGACATCCAATCGTGGTGATTCCAGGCGGCGGTTATCAAGCGCGAACAACGCAGCGCTGCATTCAACTGGAACATCCGGGTGTTGAATTCATCCGCATGACGAAATGCCCATTGGACACCAGGCTGCAGTTCTTTGAGAATTTGGCAGCTTAGTTTCATCTTGAAAGATGCCATTCCGGACCCAAGAAGGCAGTGGTTTCAAATGACGTTGTCGAAGGACGTCTCACAAGGGCGACTCCGAGATGTCCAAATAGATGGCCACAGACGCCTACGTCAAGACTTTTCAGAGCCGATCGTTTTCCGACCTTTCCGATACCTTCGTTAATGGTGTACAGTCAACAAGCTCTGCCGCCGTTCGGGAGATCATCACGAATTCCGTCTTGAGTAACTTGCAAGCTTCGACGCACCTGCACGCCACCGCCGATACCTATACCTCTCGTACCAGTTGGCAGGTGTATCTGCATCTCTGGAAGCCAGAGCGTGCATCCCATGACCAGAGAAGCTGGCAGTTCGCGCCGTGATGTCACTGCCTTGTCGTTAGCGAATGCCAGCAAAAAGATCTCCTTTCCAGAAGAGAAACAGCAAGATTATCACACAGCTTGTTAGAACAAGTAATATGATATTTTCAGACGCTGAAGATTCGGGACTTCTACGGTCCCAGTTGTCCCTCTGGATGCGTCCAGAGGCACTGTGGACTGGACGAGTCGCCGTTCCTGTGTCAGTCAGTCGGTTTTCCCTGAATATGGTGGCAAGTGCTTGCTCGTCTTACCAGACTACTATGTAAAAAGAGCCATTTGGCCATTTCACAATGATTCTTCCCTGTGGATTTCATCATGGTCGAAACACGGCCAGGCTCACAAAGGCTACGGCGCTGTGCACTTATCTCAGGATTGGCAAGTGTCAGCGCCGCAAGGAGATAAACAGAGGAGAGGTCAGGAGGATCAAGATCGGTGCCTTTCCTCCTTTATGGGTATGCCGAATTTTTGATGCAGACGATATGCTGCAAGTAAATCCATTATTGCACTCAATCGAGAGTACAAGTGGGCGTTTACTTTTCTTTCGTTCTGGCCAGCATCGGGCGGGAAACACAACACGTCCGGCGGCATGAGGTTGCGAGAACTGAGCACGCTTGATGCCGCTTGGCGGAATGGCAGGTGCAAATCAAGTCTATCGGAGTGAAGACGAAGCCATCCGCAACAGGAAATCCAGGTTTCGCCGATTTCAAAGATAGGGAGGCTGGTCATCAGAATCTCTCGGAGGCTTTCGCTTGAGCCATCTTTATAACGACCAGCTTCGCCAAGCCCTTCCGGCAGCAAGCAACCCCTCCCGCTAAGCCTGTCTGGAGTGATTCTCGCATGCCCAGCCTGGCCATGTCATAGGGCTGAGAAGTTCTCAAGCCAGGATCACACCGTGCATCTCAGCCGCTAACTTCTGCGTCGACGAAGACCGCTGGCCAATCATGCGTGGAGTCGAGTGAGCATCGTATAGCAAGCCAATAACTTGCCCTGGAACTGTCGACGAGTGAGTGATCCTACGGCTTTCTTTCGTCCCGAACTCATCTTTTTCAGGGCCTTGAATCCTCCCGTCTACCATCACCACGCAGAAATTAGGCTGCCAATGACGCGCCTTAGACTTTAGGAACGGCCAAGGCCGACCTCCTCACGATGACTTCCATCACGTCAACGAAAACAGCACGCAAACACCCACCCGTCAATATCTTGGGAATCATGCACAACCAGCCAGAATCACTAACCACACTGGGCAAGTATCGGAGAAGAGGGGTGTAAGCAGCAAGGCAGCTGACGTGCGCATGGCCATGTCTCCAACCACTGCGATCCATCCCACGCGACGAATCCCGTCTCCGACTTCATCCTGGAGCTTAGCTCTCCTCACGATCTCACACACTCTGTCCGCTCGTCATTCTTATCTCACGGACTAAGACGTCTGCCCTGCACGGCAGACACCAGTCTGGACCACCGATCGGCTGGCATTCCCCTTCATTCCGGCAGTCTCTACTTTCCCTCATCTCTTCTTCTCGCCGTTTACTCGTTCTCCAGACAACCCACATCGGGCTCGCTGATCAGCTTCCTACACGCCACCACCACTGATACCATTCAAACCGGTGACATGTTGCACGGCAGACATCATCTGGGACAAATGGGAGGGAGGGTCTAATCACCATGTCGAAGCCACATCAGAGACGCATTCCTTCACGCCAAGAGAGGAGCATGAACTCATGAACATCGCGCATCCGCAGCGGCAGACTTACACCACGGCGCAGAGCCGCCCGACAAGGCAATCAGCTAAGGTTGGGCATGTCTATCACGGCAGATCTACTGGCAAAATACCCTATACAGCTAGCCATACGAGCTCTTTCCAGAAGCAAAAGCGGCAGCCCAACCGGTTGATCACGACAAAGCTACATCCATCGTCCCTTTTGGGCATTCGAGGGCGTATGATCCAAACACCAGCCGCCGACAACACGACGCTCTCCGCTTCTGTGCCCCCGAGTGCAATGACCGCCGGCCGGGTGGGGTTTTCTGGAATTTCCCGAATATGACGTGAGATCGTGAGGAACAGAGAGGGAAAGGACACATCACGAACAAGGGGGTCGCAGGGGTTTTGTTTAAAGTTGGAGGGGAGGAAACCCATCATGTCCAGGTACAACTGCGACATTACGGCGCGGAGGAGGAGAAGAGAGGGGGGGGGGGGGCTTTCACCCTCACTCTTCGCCCGCTAAGATCGCGATGAAAGCGTTGCCGCCGTTGCACCTCGCGCTCACCAAGACGGAACTCGACGCCCCCCCTCCTCCTCCTCTTCTTCCTCTCCATCCTCCCGCGAGAGCCATCACAGAAGTCCCCGTCGTGCAGACGGGCCACCGACTCACGTGAGGGGTTTTCGGCATTCCTTCATTCTCGGTCCCGAGACCAGACACGGCGTATTCGCATGACCCGCTTCTCCCGTCGCGGAGGATGCCCGATTTGTAAGTGTGTCGGTCTATCCTTCGAAGTCATCAGCAAAAGGATGATGAGGATTCTCACCACTGCTACATGGCGGGGCTTTGAGATAACACAATGACCCAGCTCCCAATCGCGAACGCGAAGGCTCCGTTGAGTTGCGAGAAGCTCGCGAAACCTGTCAAGTGTTGTGCGAGATGCGAGCGAGGGGGGAGGTCAGTCAGCAAGCAGCGGGACTGGCATTGCGATTCTCCTATTCTCGACTCATCACCGCCAAAGAGTCGCGGTGAGACGGTTCAGCATCGCAACTTGTGTCACGGCGACCCTTCCTGTTCATTGCCTTCCTCTCACCAGGTCACATACATACGCCCACCATGACCGCCCACCATGAGCATCGAATACTAACTTGGCATGTCTCACGGCGAGGCTATCACCAAGGGCGATTTCTGGCGATTATTCACACAGCAGACGCTTATAACCCACGATGTGAGGCTGCCCGAGGCCACGATCCCCTCTGATGGAATTCGCGTTTTCGTCGTCAGCCCGACTAGGCCGTGAGAGCTTCACACTTACTCCAAGTCTTCACAGAAGACCCCTCGAGCCGTGAGACTTACATGAGACTGACACCACACACTATACACTCTCGGGGACGTCTCCAAGGAGTGTGATCCTCACGCAAGGATCTCACCAGACTCAGCTGAGAGGAAGCTCTTTCGTGATCCCACGACTGCACCACAAATGTCTCATCCTCCAACTATTCCCTACGACGTTGTCGAACCTGTGTGGCCGCTGGAGAAGAACCACAAGCTGGAGGCATACATTTCAATCTCATCTCCTACTGATACGTCCTATCTGGGCCAGCTTGACGTAGTAAAGGCATCCATTCTCAACCGTAGATCCAAGGAGTGGCGTGGGCACTTTTGAGCACATCGCAAATGCCCCCTTCATGTAATGCAAATAAACAAAACCCAGCTTATTGTGGTGCGAGCAAAAAGCTTCGTTCATGCTCGATCCAAAAACTATTCTCAACTGACATACACACTCTGGTTTTCCGAGATACATACATACACCTATTGCCCGGCCCCAACTCGGGCTTGAGATAGTCAAACACAAACCGGAATTCGTCGTGATCATGAGGTCGTAACGCGTGAAAATTATGAAAAGTTGAGACGATGACAAAAGAAATGGAAAGAAAATAGACCCGAAGATTCAAACACATCGTTTCCGCACCTTTTTAACCACCGCCATATATGACAAGACCCGACCTCCCGCCCCCTTCCTGTTCAATATCCAAAGAAACGAGTCATCAGCAGACGTACAAGAATAACCAGAAGCACAGGATATACCAAAACTCCCCGTTGGCCGCGGGGCCCATGGGCAACAAACAAAGCAAAAGAAAATTGAAAAAAAGAACAGAATAACCCAATAGATCATGATATCGGAAATGCCGTGGATGAAGACCCCTTCCCAAGTGAGATTGTGTGCCGACCCTTTTTGTCCGCCGTGATGCTGAGACGCCCCACACCTTCTTCTATCACCGCTCTACACCTCGACGCGCAAGGAAAAAGGAACCGCCCCTCTTCGTATAGACAGCCCAGATTACAAACCCTCACTCCCACCTGTGGACGACTCTGGTCGTGTCTTAATACCGCTTCTCTTCGGGCAGGACGTTTTCGCCGTAGAAGCCGCCGTGGTGGCCATCCTCGCCGGACGCCTCACAGGCAAGACAGACGCCGCCCCCGTACACCCTCGTGTGACGTTTCCACCCGGCTCCGCTGCCATCCAGCAGAGAGATGATTTCGCCTTGCACGTGGATCTTTCGGAACGTCCCATCTTCCAGAAGTTCTCCATGAATTGGCGGAGGTCCAGGTAGCGAGGGCGATGTGGGCGGATATGATGAGGGGGAGAAGGTGACGCCAGCTTCGTCAGATACGGGACTCGTTGCTGAAATCGGCACACCAATGGGCATAGTCTTCGTATAAGACCGCCTCCGGGGTGTCGGAGATGATCGCGCAATTTGTTTGCTTTGTGTTGCTGTAGTTGTTGCCGCCTCGGTTTCTGTGGATGACATGTAATCCGGGTTGGGTTGTTCGAAGAAAGAAGCATCAAGTTCTTGTGCTGAACCCATTCCAGTGAAGCTCCTCCTGCGATCATCATAGATGAAAACTGATGGAGACAGTTCTGGGGGTGTCAGCGGCGGAGGCGGAGGCCTTGACAGCATGAACCTTGTTGAGTTGAGGTCTTTCCTTGGGCTAAATGGGTTGCCTGTCGATGGTGTCTGCCCACTGCTTTCATTTTGGCCGTCTCCATCTGCTTCTTTCGCAATTCCGGCCGGGAAGCTAGCCTTTGAGCTCGGTTTGCTGCTGACCCTGCCCTCCTCAGCCGTAGGATCACTGCTGACCCCACGTGACTTTTCCTCCATGGTCCAAACCCGGTCGTGGAAGAAGTGATTGTGAAGTCGTTGCTGACTGACCAAATGATCCAGATGATCGCAGGCTTGTCCCTGCTTTTGAGACTTGTTGATATCTTCGTTTCTCGGCTTCGACTGGGACACAGCATGGAGCAAGATGGCCACAAGAGACAAGATGGTGAGACCAGCACATATGTGGGAAGCTGAGATGTAGTGGTAAGTCGATGAAGGCTCGTCTAAGGCCAGCTCAGCATGCGTGATGGCGGGCATGGCTGCTTAAAGGGTCGATTATGGCAAGTGATTAAGTTTGGTTGGCCGTATGGGGGGGGTCAGTCTGAAGGTAGAGGTACCTTCGTCAGGCTTGGGATGCGGTGTGGTGACACGTCTGGGGTATGCCTGTGTATGGCTACCAAGCCAAGACCTAACAGTGGCTTGCGAGTAAGGCAAAGTCGCTGCTGGACATAAGCGACTAGGGGATGATGATGGTGGGCCTCGGCCACTGCATCTGCCGTAAGTCGGGTGGAAAAGGTGCCGAGGAAAGCTCCGGGTTGGACCGATTGCTTTGTGTGTATTTGTGGATGAGTGACTTTGAGGCGGAAGTCGAGTGATGTCGAAGCAAGAAAGGGATTCCGGGTATCTATATAGAGAAAAGGTTGTAAGTCTTCGGACGTGCTATTTTGAGTGGATGCCGCGCGCTACGGGTGACGCGAGGTGAGAGGCTCAGGGTGCCACGAGCTCTGAAACCCAAGAGCAGCAATTGGGAATAGTTCCAAGCGTCATGGCGAGCGCCTACACCCAACTATTGTATAAGATGGCAAACTCACAAGACAGGTTTCCAAGTCTCAAGGGTTTGTTAGCTGAAATGGGTTGGACATCCAGTTCCGCGCTTGGCAAATGCAGCTCGTAACAGATGGAGGATGAGACAGGTGTGTTTTTTTGTATGTGCAGATAACAATGGCTTTGTCTGTCAGCAACGACGACAAGAATTATTCGCGCCGCAGGCGACAACCCAAGAATTAAATGAGAATTCAAGACGAACCAGGGACTAGAGAACGTAAACGGAGCGGCGGTGGGGTGGAAGGATTACAGGCAAGACGGGAAGGGTACCGTATCATATATATAGACACGATGTCGATGCGCCATGTCGCGGACGACGAAGCACAATGGGGCCAACTCGCAAGCAAAATGCATCGCCAGATCTGGCTCGGCAGGGAAAGGGCTGGCAGAAGGAATGAGATAATAGATCAAAATGAAAGAGGGTCGAGGCCACGGTGGGTGTGCGGCAGCAGGGAGGTGTGTGGTGTGAGTTGACGGACTGAATCCTTGGCCTTGGCTGGCGCGGAATAAAGGCTGCCAATCCTAGGGCTCCCGTTTTCATCGCGCCGGCTTCTTTTCAGTCAGCCTCTCTCTCTCTGTCGAAACTCGAACAAGCGAGAGCCCGGGGCAGACCAATGACACTAGTCAGGGCCCACGGCCACGGGGAAAACCAATGTCGGTCATCTGTCACGATGGCGGCAACGCTGGCGACAATGCTGGCCTTGCCAGTTGCTTATTTTGCCGCAAGGCGGCGGCTGCAGAGGTGTGCGAATAAAGAATTCGACTGGCCGTCTCGAAAGCTGGAGATGTCAAGCCGTGTGTTGCAGAAGCGGGCATGAATGGGATGTCCATGGGTGCGCATACAGGCACAGGGTGGGGAAGAGAGAGACCCGGGCGAGGGAGACGCCATGATACTCTAGATGCGGTCATCATGTATGTTGGAGAGCGATTGATTTCGCCGTCTGGGTTGGGTAGGCGGGAAAGAACTCGTTGGCCCCCTACTCCGTACGCCGCATATGCCCTGAGTCTACGGATACTTTGGAAGGGCTGGAAGATTGTGTCAGCAAGTACCAAAACTGGCAATGACAAGGTAATGTTGTTGCCCGGGCGCGCTTCTGATAAGGACAGGCCACGATGAGTGAGTGGGACGGAGAACGAGAAGTCAGAGGCATACCTAGCAAAGGCGGTGTAGAGATTCCCGTGTCTTGACCGCAGATTTGACAGGCAGCCGCAGATTGTGGTCGGATTACGGATAGAACAGCTCGGACTGGATTTCTGGTTGTTCGCTGCATTGTTGTTCGTTGTCACTCGTTCGGATAGCAACATTTGGGGTCGGTTTTTTCTCGAAACGACGCCAGGGGGATTGTCAAGAGCAAATCCCTGTCGTTCAGCCCAACAGGCAGGATCTTCTCTTGATTGACCCCTGTTTGTGGGCGTCCGCAGCAGGCCGACCAGACCAGCTGGGCTGGCCCCGGGCCCTGGTCTTAGTGCGCCATCGTGTAAGTCGGCGAACGTGGAGTTGGGAAGGCGGTCCACCAAATGAGACGCGCATTCTGCACCGACGGGCTCTGATATGACGAGGCACAAGCTTCGACGGAGAATATCAATACGACGAATGGTGGCCAATTCGACCGGGATTTCCAGAAAGCAGACACGGCAAGCTGATGTTCAGCGCGCAAAGACAAGCTGGATCGTGTCTCGTGAGTCAACGGCGTACTTGGTAATCAAGTCGCACGTAGTTGGAGTGACGAGCAATGCCGTGCGTGGTAGCTGGGCAACAACCTCGGACGTCGCTGACCTATCCACCTCTGGTTTGACCTTTGTATATCCATGCTGCGTACCGAAGGGAATGGGAATACAGTCGATAACCCACAGTGGCGGCTCGGCGACTTGTTTCGTCGGTGTTGTATTCGGTTGATGACCGTGAGTGAGGGTCCTTGGATTCCTTGGAGCGGCGATGGAGACTGGAAGAGTGCAGATGACCCGTCAAGCGTCCGTCAAGCGCTCTCCAAAAGCAAGCGAGGAAAGACGTCGGGGATCTAGGAGGTTTGCGCAAAACCAGTTTAGCGTTGGCGAGTGGAACCGGACCTGTTCAGCTGAGGTGAGCCCTACAGACACGCCATCCGGGATCCCTGCCCTGTCTAGTGTCGCAAACGCGGGTGCCATAATTGCGAGCTTGTTCCTCTTCCAGGCCATTTCCATGGAACGATTGGCTCGCCAGCCAGCCCTGTGGTGTCGATCGATGTACCCTTATTGAGACGGTGCTTCTTTTGGGTAAGTTGGCCAGGAGCGATGGCCAAGTAGGTTGGTGAAGTGAAGGTTGGCGAAGCAGCGATTCTTGGTGGCCGGCGACAGACTCGAAGTCTCGGCCGTTGAGATCCGGCATGACATGTCGTTGGGCGCATTGTGTTGCCGAAAGTCGGGATGCCGAAGAAGGGTGGAATTGGACAAAGGCGTCAGAAGCCGGTTCCGATTGTGCATGACATGGCGCATGAGCAAGTACCGGGAACTGACGAAAGTGTAACGCAAGATGGTGAGGGAGGGAGCGGCTGCGAGCTTCAGCCATGCACGTCTGGGCGTGAAAGAGGCGCGCTTGGAGATTAAGCGACGGTGGTCATGGGCGAAGTCGGAAGGGAATGATAGGTCGTGAAGTGTATACCATAGTAGAGTCTGGTTGGCTCTCGTAGGTAGCGAGAGGTATGGAGTACAGACTCTCAGAGATGGTCATGAGTCGAGGAGAACGGGCGAGGCGTATCTGACATGGCGGGGTTGCGTCCCATGCTGAAGGTAAGAAGGTATCGGCGTCTTGATCGACAACTGAAGAGGGCAGAGGATTTGCGCCGAGAGCGTTGATTGGTCCAGGTTGGTTGAAACTTGGAACAGACGATGAATGCCCGTGTGCTCATCGAAGGATCAAAGACATTGGAGATGGCTGACAGGCCTCCACTGAGATCCTTACTAAGGTAAGGCAAGTGGAGGAGCAGGATGAGGATGCCGATGAAAAGGCGGCATTCCATGTCGAGGTGTGCGACGACGAGGCAGAGGCGAGAAGGCGGAGCGACGCGGAGAAGAGAAAGAGAAAGCGAGACGATCGGGAGGACGACAACGACGGGTGGACAAAGAGGCTGAGATGAAGAGGCGGACCGGCCAGCTTGGTAGACAGGTAGTGTAGACCAGCCAAAATGCACCAAACCCAACCAAGCTGGAGATGGTGTGGAGTGGAAAAGCGCGGTGGTGTGCAGCAGTGGCTACCTTAGTTGGTTGGTTGGTTGGTTTAGATGCAGTTGGTGATGCATTGCAAATCTTGCTCTATGTTTTTTTTATGTTTTTTTCTAATTTTCAGCTGCCCTCTTTCAGACGATGGCCTCCCATTCGTCGCAACTGAATCGAAACCGGAAGCAACTGATCTGGGCGTACCTACCTTCTCAAAATACCAGGTATGCGATGTTCTTTCCTTCAACATGAGGATGGATATCACAAGCCAGGTCGTCCCTTCCTGCAAATGGAAGATTCAGCTCAGCTACTCCACGTTTCCCCCCTCCCCTCCTTCCACGGCATCTCAATGCCCCTCCCCCTCCCCCTCCTTCCTGCCGCAAGCCAAACACGATTCATTGCTTCCATTTTTGACAGGCACCAGCCACATACAATTACGGCAAGAACGCAACTGCCCTATTAGGGGAGCGCCTTCCAAAGATGGGATGAGCGGTCGTCCAATCAGTGAGACATTGACTCCACTGGTTCCGACGAGAATCAAGAAGTTGCAGGCGATCACCCGCTTGTGTCGCTTCTCTTTTCAGCGCCTCATGTCTCTGCAACGTCAATGGCGACTTCCCTCCAACCACCACTGCAGCTTACCTCACCTCGAGGTAGGAAAGAAGTAGGTACCCAAGTACCTTATTTTGACTCGCACCTGACGATGCCTAGATACCTAGGTACAATGCGGCATTCGTTATGGGGAATTTCCAGAGACTGAGACCGAGATCGTCTCCGCTGCATCTGAGATGACAATGTTACTGCCTGCTTTGCTGCATAAGGCAGGCACCAAAGTAAGACGTCGCCGTATTGCATCTTTTTTCCATTGGCTATGAAGAGGTCTCTCCGGGCGTTGGAGGCCTGCGGACGGGCAACTCCCGTGATAATCACTTCCATTGAAGTCATTGACGAATATCATCCTGTATTCGGACGACGGCAGCACGGCAGGCTCCCAGCAGCTCATGCAGTTACAGTTGCAGTTTCACTTGCAGTGTGCAGTGTCGCATTTCAGCCTCGAATGCAAACGACGCGACATTACACCGCACTTCGGCCCTCGAACGAACATCATCTCCAAATATCGACCACTCTCCTTCCTCCATCAGCTCCAACGGCCGCCCGTCGCCGACACAGCCACACATCCGGGCCCTCGCCCTTCCCATTTCCGCCCTTTTCCGCTCCCTTGAAAATCTTTTCTTTCACCAAAGCCTGTCGCCAACGACGCGGTAACGAATCACCACATTCAGGTGACGACCTGCTGGCCAACCGAGACACAGGATCAACACTGTCAGTCGACTCTACATCAACGATATTCGCTCTGGTTGGCCTGCGCCCAAGACGGTGTCTCCGCACACGGTCCGAAAACTCTTGGTGCTAAATTCACTTCTCCCCCGACGCGCAACGCCGAGCCACGGAGCCGACGCGGCCTGCCCGCCGTCCGCGGCTCCCACACCACTCACCAGGGCACTTTACTCACGTCAATTGAGGATACCTCACCCTCACCATGCTGTCCAACAACATCCAACCCGCCGCCAGTTCCTCTTTCGTCATCATTCCTTCCAGCCTTGCCCGACGCTTTCCCAACTCGATATTTCATTGACGCATGTACGAGCCCAAGAAGGATGCGGAAGGAAATCAACTTCTTTCAATCGCCCCCTTACGAATCCTGCCATATCGCCGCTTTCTGTTGGAAGTCGTCTCCCGTCCCCGACCTTGGCGCAGGGAAACACACTGTACCAAGACCAAACCTGCAATGAAAGTCATTCTACTGCGACGCAGTCGACTGCAAGAGAGACCGTTCATGGCCTGCATCGACCAACACTCCAGGCGAGAATACGCATCGACGATGCGTCTCTTCAGCTGACTGCTTCCTCGTGCCGGACAGAAACCGTATAGAGTGGAATACGAATTGGCCCAGACACAACGGCCGTTCTTTTCTTCAATGCTGCCCGCCCGCAACCCGCAGCGCTGCCCCAACCCGCAAACACCAACTCAGCGGAAGGCCCAGAATAGAGGTGGCCCCTTTTGACGTGCAGGGAACACAGCATGGGGCTGGTGCTGCCGCTGCCGCTGCATCGAACAATACGGACGTTCCAGACTGCCATCTTCCATCCATCTCGTATGCGTGCCATACATCAGGGAGCATGCGAGCACTGCGTCCTCGTCACCACATATGCCAGAGATCACGACCACGTTCTGGTCCCTCGACACAAGGCACCAAGAGATGTGCCAAAAGGACTGTACCGTTGCCCGTTGCGCTCGCGCATGATGACTCGGCCAAGTGCTTACCTTAGCCGTTGTCGTCTCATTTTAACCTCGAGATGCAGTGCCTATCACGCACAGTACCATGCATGAAATCTGCATCTTCCAGATGTGTCACCCACAACTTCGACAACGACCCCCGTCCGAGCCTCCCCTCCCGTCACGCACACCGCCGGCGTGCTAAAAACGTCAGTCCTCGTGGCCGCGTCTACCCTGGCCAGTCACGCCGCATCACCAACAGCCTCCCTGCTCGATTTGCAGCCGACCCTCAACCCCAAGCTTCGCTCCGCGCCTGCGTGCCCAGCCCCCAATCACCCGAGGCCATTCAGGGACCCCTCGTCCCTTTTCAGCCTTACCAGATCCCTTGTCGCTTTTATTCGTACTTGCCCTCCTCGTCAGAATTTTAATCGCCGCAAATTCACTAGTGTCCATGTTCCCAGTGTAGATTAATCCTGGTCATTGGTAATCTATTGGCTGACAGCTAAGAACAGATCACCGTACCAGCGGCGGATATTAACGCATCGCCATCTGGATTTACTTCGGCAGGTTGGTCAGGCTCGCTGGAATTGCCTCACAACGTGGTCATTCTGCCATCACATCTTGCTCTGCCTAGGGCAGCATCGCTCCGGGGCGCCCCTGGGTGTCTGTGTCTCTACGCAACTGCGAGAGATTCTCATTCGTCTCCTCTCTTGTGCCCTCCTAAGCCGCAAGTCAGAAGTCTCCACGCCAAGTCGTCGAAGAATTCTTCGTGCCGACGAAGCCTGTCCACTCGGCGCTTTCCATTACGAAAACGACCGAAAAAGAAAACGCAGAATTCTCATGAACTTTTTCTTTGCGGTTTTCGCCACTCATTCAATAAGACTTTTTTGTCTGTATCACTTTAGATCCTAGCTTTGATGACCGACGAGGCTCACGGTCATCGCAACATCGCGCCTGTTGGAGCCTCATGCTCGAACCTGAGAGGTCGACTTACGAACCGCCCGGTCTTGGCTCTGCCGCACCCTCGATGACCTCGATCCTGACCCCCTCGGCACCTGACCGGGATGCTAAAGTCCCCTCTGTCGCCCATGCCTGTTGCTAATGGGACTTTGGCTGATGATTCATGCCAAGCTTACATACACCCAACCAACCCAGTGCAACCATCCCGAGCATCGTTCTTAGGTAAGGCGGGCTGGGCTGTCTCTTCAAGAAACGCCGACCAACCCGGAATCGGATCCTCAAAACTCGCAAATTGCCAAAACTCGGTGAGCATAACACCGCTCCTGAGGTTGACAGTGACATCCGCGAAGCCTAGTTGGATGCCGACGCCCAAGCTTACCTTACCTCACAAATCCCTCGACGTCGAGTCAGCCGGAGGCGGACCCCGGGCACCAGGAAGCTTCTTCCTGATCCCGCATCGTCATCATCACGAAGCACATCCGTGGGCCTCACCGCGACTTTTGCGATTCGATCCATCTCCACGAGATCTGATTCGAAATCACGCGAAGTCGCCCAAAAGGCGCAATTCCGCCCATGGTGGCCCCGGGGCGCCATCCGGCACACATCCTGAATGTCATCTGTCTCGTCTCTGTCAGACGGGAAACACTCCCGCGACGCCCCAGGTCTTTTTACTGAAAAGAAACACAACACACGCCCAGGCTGAGTCTTACACCGTTTTAGTCCGTTCGCCCAAAGTCCATCTCGCAGTACTTCCCGAAAGGGGCAGCACTCCATGGGCCGAAAGTGGTGATATTTCCTCCAAGGTCTGTCTCACTCACCCTTTCACCCAACTCACTCACCCGGCCGATGGCCCTCGGAGATGACTCTCTCTCTCTCCTTTCGCCGGACCTAGAACGTGACATCTCGAACGTGAGGCGTGTGACACTGGGCAGGGGGGGGGGCGTCAGACAGCGCGTCTCATCATCGACCAGGCTGACTGACTGGACTGGACTGGACCTCTCGGAGTTTGACGTTGGAACTCATGATTCACTGGCTGTCGTCGTCGAGAAAACCTGCCAGCCCCGGGTACCCTTCCCGGGCCTCGTCGTCTGACGAGATGGGGGGAGGTCGGTCACCCGGGGGGAAGCAAGGATGGTCCATGGAACGCGGCGGGGGGAGAACGCGTTTCTTACGGCTGCGCGGAGCAAAGTACTATACCTTACCTACCTCGCGTCAAGTGCGCGTCCCTCCGACTGATGAGTGAGTGAGCTACGTTCCACCCGCGTCGGGCGAGAGTGAGATGATGATCAACACAAAAGAGCACTCGCACGTGAGGATGGAAGCTTGCCCCCGTGTGTGTCTGAGTAAAAAGGGTACGTGATACGTCTTCGTCAATTGCGCTGCGCGGCGGTGTGTCTCTCTCCGCTATGACATTAGAGGACCTAAACCAGACGAATATTGGAAAATCCAATGCTATTTCCTACTCCCCACCCCGCGAGTCCCTGCGCTCTCGCTCCGTTCCGTCGCCTCGAACGCCGTCAAGAAATGAAACAGCAAGTGCAAGCACAGGACGTGCCTGTCTACTTGCCCCCTCCCCCCTGAAAAGGAAAACACCCTGTTGAAACCTCCCTTTTGTCGTCGTGAACATGGCGAGCATGAGTTAGAATCATCTCCCCCGCGACTTTGCTTTGTACATGGAACATCCAGAACTCCAGTGTAATGGTTGAACTACCCTCGATTCATCCCAGCCAAGGCGTTGATGCGTCGCGGCCTACACTCCGCCGATGCCGATGCCCATGCTCATCCCCACGTCCATGGGCTCGGAGCCAGAGGACCCGTCGCCGGGGAGGTCGCGATCCTCTTCCAGTACGGTGAGCAGGTTATCCAGGTTGGCGTCGAGGTTCTCCGTGTCGGCGGCGTCGAGGCACTTGCGGAGCAGGCGGCGGTACTTGTCAATGTTCTCGCCCGTGCCGACCATGCTGAGGGCCTCGACGTAGTCGCTCTCGGACTGCCGCTGCTCCGAGAGCATGGCCTGCAGCTGGCGCGCGAGCGACAGGCGGTCGTCGTAGGTGGCCTCGTCGACGTCGCCGTTGAGCATGTTGATCTCCTGGTCGACGGCCTGCTGTACGTGGAGGCGGTTCTGGTGGGTGATGAGGGACATGACCTGGTGCTTGGCGAGGTTCGCGTCGCTCATGATCTTCTGGGCGCCATCGTCCGCCTCGAGCTGGGATTCGAGCTCGGCGATTTGCTGGCGCACGGCGGCGAGTTCTGCTTGCGTATTGGACAGGAGGCGGCGTGCTGCCTTCTCGGCCTGGTCCTTCTCGCGGATCTCTTCGTCGTAGCTACCGGCGAGCTCTTGGAACTTTTCCATAATGAGCGGAGTGATGCGCGATTGTACCGTGTTGGCGGCTTCCGAGTCGAAAGAGGAGAGGGTGAGTTTCTTGCTGGTCGTTGTTCTTTCGGGCATAGCATCTCTGAACGAGACGTGCCGTTGGGAGTCTGGGGCGAAGGGGGATGACGACCGCTGGGGGCCGCGTTCCTTCTTGGTGGCGTTAAGCTGGGCGATGAGGTCCTCTGCTCGTACGCCCTCGTGGTTGGGGATGTTGGTGGAGGCCTGGCGGCCGAGGAGCGCCCTGATGCATTTCCTGGCGTTCCGTTGCGCTGCCAAGTGAAGGGCGGTGTTACCCTCATTATCCTGGGCGTCAATGAGTTGTTGTACGTAGGCTGGTTCGTGTGTTTCTTGGAGCTTGTTGAGGATGTTGTCGAGGTAGTATCTTGAACATGAGTGGCTGACTACTCTGCCATTCTTCATCACCGCAGCGTGGTGGATCACTGTGCTCCCTGAGTGGTCCCGGGCGTCGACGGTGTCAAACAGCTCCTTCATCACCGCGGGGAAGGTTTGCTTCTCGTAGCAATTCGTGAAGTGTACGGAGCGCATGAAGGGAGTTTCACCCCTGACGTTCTGTACTGACAGATTGGCGCCAAAGCGGCGGAGCTGCTTGATCACGTCCACGTCTCCCATGGCCGACGCCCAGTGTATGGCGGTGTGCTCCTCCGAGTCGATAATCCAATTCGGTTGGAAGTTTGGCGGCGGCTCGGGGCGGTATGCTGGCTTCTCGTTTCTAGAGAGAAGGAAGTAGTCCAAGAGCTCGTCTCCGTACACCGAATGCTGCTGTTGTGTCATATCCTGAATGGCCTCTTCCCTCTTCCTCTTCCTGTGACCGGTCGAATGATGGGACATGTCGAAGCGGTCGTCCTCTCCCATGTACGAGGCTGAGGCAACGGTCAGGTTGTCTGGGGTATCATCGTCATTCATCAGGCCGTCGATAGTCTCGAATTCTTCCGGCTGCGGTGCGGCTTGCATAGAGGTGTTGGCAGCGGGTTGGGGTGTGGGCTGCGGCTGGAACTTCGTACTGGGCCATTTTGGAACGGCAGGCTTCTTTGGTGCCTTGGGTTTGCTGGTATGTCGCGGGGCCGGGGGAGGGCTCTGGTTGCCCGGGACGTATTCGAAGATGGAACGTAGGCGATCGTACACGTTGTTGCGCTGGGCGAGTGCGACGCCTTTGTCGAGGGGAATCCATGTGCCCTGGTATTTTCCGTAGCCGCCCTGAATCTTCTCGTGCTTTTCTTTCTGGACCTCTCGTTCGAGGATACGTGTTCGGGCGGGCTTATCGAAGCCGGCGGCCTTTAGAATATGTGTCGCATTGATCCAGTCATCCTGCCGCCTTCTCATGACATGTTCTTTGAGGTCGTCTCCGAATTGGAACTCGTAAACGGGGATCTGGGAGAGACTTGTGTCAGCAATTGAAGCTTCTGTGGTGAAGGAGAGACCTGGACGTCGACGGTATTGTCCGGCAAGCCATTGCGTCGAGTTCATCCCCCTGGGAGTAACTCAAGGGCCTACGATCGCAACGGACTGTAACGTGACGTCCCGCAACAACATGAGGCCCTTATTTCGACTAAAATAACTTACACCACTGTAGGTGGCACTGTAGATGCCGGGCTGGGCATTGCCTTTGACCATGGTCAACTTGGTGGAGCAAGGGACAGGCCCTGCCTTCTCGACGTAAGCGGTTCAGGAGGCACTTTGGCAGGATCGTTTGGGACGGGCGACGAGGAAAATCGGCGGGACGGAGGTAATTGAAGAGGTCGTGTGGCGTATTTACGGGCAATAAGTTGTCGGCGAGGGTTTCGGTGAGGCTTGTGGTGAGGTGCCGGGTTGCTGGGCTGGATTCACGGATTTTCTTTCACCAGAGTCGAGTGGATGCGCCCGGCCTTCTTTGGTCTGCTGGGGGTGCGAAAGGAAGGACGCGAAACTCGCGGCCCAGACGCGCCTTCCACGCGCAGACAATTAAACGCGGGGGCCTCAGGCGTGAAGCCACCTTAAGGTGGCCCAAGCGCTCGCTCCTTCCCTGCCATTTCTTTTGCCAGAGGGATGCAGGTCACGTGCGTCAGCTTCAAGAAGTGGCCCGAGCGTGGAGTCCCTTTCAACCTATCAAAATGCGAGGAGTGGAGACAGGAGGTTTCCCTTTGGAGGCAGCTGCTTCTGCCAGCTGAAAGATGACAACACCTTTCATCCAGCGTTGTAGTCGACAATCTCTTGGCATCGGAAAATTGGGCAGTTGGAAGTTCCGACTGTTGGTACAGATATCGAATGAAGACTCTTTCCTTTTGAGGTAATGTTGGTGAAGACATATCGGCCATCGTCAGCTTTGTCGATGGTTACATGTGTCAGCTTCAAACCTTTCCATACCTACCCTACCTAGGGGATAAGGAGGACTTAACGGCGTTAATCATCGCCAGCAAAGCCAAAAAAGCAAACAAACATGTAATCCACAGATTGTGCAGTTTGTCAGCTCGGACAATCCTTTGGGCTGAAAAAGCTCCTGATTGCAACGGGCTGACGTCCAATCCCATGGAGAGTTTTGGTTGCCAAACACCACCTTCCCAGCAACCCAGCCCAATCCAACCCAATAGAGAGAAATCCCGATTTTCCCGTCGGATCCAATGGCCGCCTCCACTGGACGTCCTCATCCCATCTGGTTAGCTCGTCATTGGGCGCGACGGACGCCGTGACGTCTGTAGTTGTCGCATATCTACCCCGCCATGATGGTGGGGTCTGAACTCTCGCGAAGCCCACTTCATGTTTGCCGATGAGTCTATCTAATCACGACATCGCCCTTTCTTTTTCGGACCAAACACTGCTGCAAACCAGACAAATCGATATCGGAGCTTAAAACCCTCATACCGACAGAGAACATCTGCTTCTTTCCCTTCCGCATCTTTACCTATTCTGTGTCCTCGGAACAAACCAAGGTAACCCCTCTCTCATCATTACCGCCTCACTCTTGCCCGGCTCAACTCAGGGATCCCTAGCTTTCACCATGCCTCTCGTCGCTTCAAACCCGAAAGACAGAATCATTCTGGGTCTCATGACCTTCGGCCCCAAGGAGTCCGATGGCGCCAGAATCACTGACCTGGGCACCTTCAACGAGGCCCTCGACGTCTTCCAGAAGCGTGGCTACAGCGAGGTCGATACGGCCCGCGTCTACGTCGGCAGACAGCAGGAGGCCTTCACTCGCGAGGCCAAGTGGAAGGAGAGGGGATTGACGCTGGCCACCAAGGTCCAATATCCCGCCTCGGCTGGCGACCACGCCGGCAGCAAGGTCATCGAGTCCGTCGAGACCAGTCTGAAGGAGCTCGGCACCGACAGCGTCGACGTAAGTTTACTTGAAACCGGTCAATCGTAGCGTAGCGACCCCAGCTAACTGACACGCCCAGATTCTGTACCTCCATGCTGCGGTATGAGCCGCCCTCGCGCCATGTATCACGGCTTCCGCAACTAACACTGACCGACTTACAGGACCGCGCAACTCCGTTTGCTGAGACTCTCGAGGCTCTGGACAAGCTGCACAAGCAGGGCAAGTTCGTCAAGCTGGGCTTGAGCAACTTCACCGCCTTCGAAGTGGCCGAGGTGGTCCTGACGTGCAAGTACAACGGCTGGGTCCGGCCTACGGTGTACCAGGGCATGTACAATGTCATTACTCGCAGCATCGACGCCGAGCTGATCCCGGCGTGCCGGCGGTACGGACTCGACATCGTCGTGTACAACCCCATCGCGGGCGGGCTGTTCTCGGGCAAGATCAAGTCCAAGGACATCGTGCCTACGGAGGGCCGCTTCTCGGACAACCACGGCACGGGCGGAAACTACCGCAAGCGCTACTTCCGCGAGAGCACCTTCAAGGCGCTGCAGACGATTGAGGCGGCGGCGGAGAAGCACGGGCTGAGCATCATCGAGACGGCGCTGCGCTGGACGGTGCACCACTCGGGTCTCAAAATCAAGGACGGCAACGACGGTATCATCATCGGCATCTCCAGCGTGGCGCAACTCGAGGACAACCTCAACCACCTGGAGAAGGGCCCTCTGCCCGAGGAGGTGGTGAAGGCGCTGGACGAGGCGTGGCTGGTCTCCAAGGCGGACACGACCAACTACTGGCACCTGGATCTGGAGTACAAGTACGACACCCGGGATGCCCTGTTCAGCGCGGGGGCCAAATGATGGGGGTGTAGTGAAGCAAGGGACCAAAAGGCGGGAAGCTTTCTGATCTGAAGGGGGAACTGCCGTAGAAATGCAGGCATCATGGGTACTAAGTAGCCGCAGTCGCAGCCGCGCAAAAATAAAAATTGGACAGATGGCTCAATCAGATGTCAATGTCGATTGCACATGGCGACGCGAAGTGGGATTCTCGGCGCGACATGAGTGCGGAATTGACTGTCAGCGTGGTGTGGCAGCGGGCCATTGACAGTCATGCGACAGGATGCGTGATGGCGTAGAGTGGCTCGAGGGATGCATTTGAGGCCCTCCGCTCCGGGAACGGTTGGCTGCTTGGTACCGGGACAGCGGTCTGGTAGGTCAGTAACAGGGCGCGCTAGGATTGGTACAGCAGGTGCAGTACCTAGGTAAGGTAAGCAAGTAAGGTGCAGACATGGCGGAGAGGGCCATGATCCATCGGACGCAGGTGACAGAGATGCGGAGTTGTCGAGTTGTCACGATGTCTGTGACGGCAACCTGTGACGAGGGCGAGATTTTGCGGAAGGGTGTGGTATCGGGGTACTTGATTCGTACATGGCGACGCAGTTGATAAGGCAGGCCGAGCGTGTGTCTGGCTCTAAAGGTGCTAGGGAGGAGGCGACGAGACAAGAAGCATGGTTTGGGGTGTCACAGCGGTAAATGTCGAGCGGGCCGGTGCCTTGATGAAGGTTGTTTGCGTGGTGGTGCGTGGGTTGCGTGGGTGAGACCGATTTCTGATCTGTTGGATCGAGGAAAGACGTGACGTGAGCACTGAGACCGTGTGTACGAGAAGTGTAGATACCTACTTCACAGTAATTGAAGAGTGTGTGTGTTTTGAAGGGAAAAGAAGGAAAGGATGGCCCTTCCGCGCGAACCGCCCACAGGTCCGTCCTTCCGGCCGGCGCCCAGCTGCCAAGTTAGCCGTGTCTCGGCGGCGTGGGCCTGGCCTATCAAAAGCCACAAAGGGGCTGACTGAGGCAGTTGCTGTTGGCATTATGTACCTCTTACTGATGTATTCGTGGTAGCTGCCTTGACCCAACATGCTCTGCCCATGTGAACTTACGTATTCGTACTGCATGGTTGCCCCTTAGGTACGGAAATGGCGCTGACGATACTTCCATGTAAGGTATTCCAAGGCTCGAGGGATGAATACTTCCAACAGCACCTTACTATGTAGGTAGACTTACGTATGGGAGCGTGGCTTTCATGCATTGTATCCACTCCGCTACTTCGAATACCTTAGCCTTCTCCACTACTGTGCACCCCCATCTGCAAGAAACTTGTCCAACTGGCAAACTGTCACTGTCCCTATCCCTATCCCATCCTATCCCATCCCTATCAAACCGACATCCAAGCTTGCTGCCGCTGCCGCTGCTGCCAAAAGACTCGACTCGCATACCCTCGCATACGCAACTGCCTCTCTCTGCTGCAGCGATTCCCATTCAAGTCCCTCCTTATCTTTTTTTGCCTTGCTTTACCTTACCTTAGCCTTTTCGTTGTCCGCGTCGGGTCCCTTATCTAGTCTCTTATTCCCTTCCTCTCCCTTCTTACCCTCCTTTACAAAATCTACCTCTTATGCCTCCCAGACTCAACACCGGGCCGGACGGATCCCTCAATCTTCCTCACTCGCGTTCTCATCCTTCGCCCGCCCTTCCTACCGCGACCACATGCGACTCCAACATCTCCGACTACATTGGAAGCGGAACCAGTAGCCCTGGACTGAGCCCCGGGCTCGACCAGCGCCTGGCTGAATTTGATGCATTGCGCAACGGCGACGACGACCACTTCGAACACGACGACTACGACGACGACGACGACGCCATGAGCGACTCTCACCGAAGACCTCCCCTCCTGCGGAACCACGACTCTCGCTCGGGACAGCCTCTCCTTAAACCCAAATCCGACGACGACCACCTCGACGATCGCGGTAGAAATGTCTATTCCACTCGCTCCCGCGGCGCCAGCCCCTTGCTGACCCCCAACCGACCGACCTTCTCCCGCGGCTCGACCCTGCGAGCGCATTCTCCTTCCACGGTCAAGGCCAACGCGCGCAAAAAGTACATCTATGCCGCCTTCTTCCTCGTTCTGAGCTTGTTCTCCTTCGTCATCCAGACGGAGCTGTCGGCCTACATCCAGCAGGAGCTCGGCTGGGACAAGGCGTACTGCATGCTCTACCTCACCCACGGCTCCTGGTCCATGTTGTGGCCTGCTCAGCTGCTCATCCTGCGCATTCAGAAGCGCAACGTCCCCTGGAACGCCTTCTGGCGCCGTCACACCGAGCTGCTTCACAGCACCGCCATCATGGTCCAGGACCAGACCCTCGACTGGATGCGCCCCAGGCCCCAGACTCGCATGTCGCCTATATTCTACCTCATTAAGACTACCGCCTTCGTCACCACCGCCCTGACAATAGCTGGCTTCAGCTGGTACGTCGCCGTCAACATGACGACCCCCTCCGACCTGACGGCCATCTACAACTGCTCGGCCTTCTTCGCCTACGTCTTCTCGGTTCCCTTGCTCAAGGAGCCCTTGCGCCTTGACAAATCTCTCGCCGTGCTCGTGGCCATCGCCGGCGTGCTCATCGTCGCCTACGGTGACACAAGTCCCGGAGAGGACGACGCCGCCCACCAAAACGCCGCCGGACAGCGCCTGACCGGCAACCTTGTCATCGGCATCGGTTCCGTGCTCTACGGACTCTACGAAGTGCTGTACAAGCGCTTCGCCTGCCCGCCCGATGGCGTCGCCCCGGGCCGCGGCATGATCTTCGCCAACACCTTCGGCTCATGCATCGGCGCCTTCACGCTCACCGTCCTCTGGATCCCGCTACCCATCCTGCACTGGACCGGAATCGAGACCTTCTCCCTGCCGACCGGCTACACCGCGTGGATGCTCCTCGCTAGCGTTATTATGAACGCGACCTTTGCGGGCAGCTTCCTGGTCCTCATCAGCCTGACGAGCCCGGTCCTGTCTAGTGTGGCGAGTTTGCTGACCATCTTCATCGTCGCGATTACGGATTGGTTCAGGACGGGCGAGCCCCTCAGCTTCGCGGCGATGCTGGGCGGCGTCATGATCATGGTCGCCTTCGGCATGCTGAGCTGGAGCACGTGGCGCGAGATGACGGAGATCGAGGCCACCAAGGCTGTCGACCTCACCGACAGCGGCGACGACAGCGACAGGGACGAGCGCCAGGACTAGACTTGAGCTCGCGGGGGAAGGGGCATATTGCATAGGGTGTTGGATAACACCTAAATCTGGCGTTGGTGGGCGTCGGTGGTTTTTTAACTCTGGTCTTGTTTCTTGTGTTGTGTTAAATACGGGGTATTTTCATCTCTGGCATCATTAAATGGGGGGTTACGGCGGCAACTCTTTTGGCATTTGGGATTACAGCAGCCAGCAGCATTCTGATCGCGACGGGGGCAGGAAAGCCATCGTCGAGGGGGACTTTACACCGCGCCAATCGGGGGGATTCATGTTCGTTTCGTTCACTGCATACGACGGGGAGCCTCGTCTCCCCTCGTCTTCTTTTTTCCCACATGGTTTTTAGTTGTTTTCATTTCTCGGCATAGACTTCAATCTTCTTTTTTTCCGATCAGGACATGTACGGGGGCCTGTTTTAGATCGCAGCGGGAGATACGAGTTGTTGACATACGCTGCTGGATGGTATAGTCTCTTTTTCCGTTTCCGGTGTCGAGGAACAAAGAGAAACGCAAATGGTATTGCGAAGAATTTTTTTGCTGCAATCGCAGCGTCAAAGCCGTCAAGAAAAAGCTCACTGACCCTATTTCTCTCTCTCATTACTTACAACTCATGTCGCAGCCAACTAATCACTTAAAAACTCTTCACTCAGCCGCCATCCACACTCACCCATAGCTACCATCCCACATAATCCTCAAAGCCATTGTCCAACCACGACTCCGACCGAGGTGAGCAGAGCTTGCAAAGAAAAAACCCGGGGTAATCAATTTAATTGACATGAAACAGGGGAGGGGCGGACTCCGGCGATCAGCCCGCGACCCCGAGATGAGAAAAGCTCCACAATGCCTTCTCCCTTTCCCAATCCCGGATTCCGATCCTTGTAGTTGAGATTTCTTCTAACAACGGACTTTCACTTTTCCTCGTGCGTACATAGCTCTTCCGAACTCACGATGCCTTCACATACGACCACACCCATCGGAGAACTCGGGATCCCGTCCGCTCTCCCTTAGATAAGCCGATGAGGGCCGGAGTAGTAGTCGGGTCGGAGACGACCGGCGAATGCCTGGTGTTGTATGTTCCTTTTTTGTCTTTGCTGGTGGGAGGTTAGGTGCGTTCTGTGTTGAGTTGTGTTGATGATGGCGGGTTGGATGCTTGGTGTTGTTGGGTTGTTGAGTTTGAGTTGATGAGGCTTCTAGAAGAAAAACGCCAGAGGGAAAAATATGTTTTTCTGTTCTGTTTACTCTCTTGCTATTACCACTAGTAAACACCGATCACGAAGTTTCTATTATAAGGACAACAGAGACCCAGTAGACGTGGCTAGTCCACACGAGCTGTTCTGGATACCACGCTTCGTACGTCTTGAGGGCGATTATAAGACGTAAAATTGAACTGATTCTCACACATGGGAACACACTCATTTTATTCTCATTCTGGGAACTATGCCATCAAAAACGGTGACCACTGGCCACTGAGAGTCTGCTCACACTCACATCGATGCCTCACCCGGAAGCCACACAACCCGAGGAACAAACCCCGGCATCTTCTCGTAGTCCGACTGACACACCTCCTCTCCGGTCTCCAAGTCCGTCACCACGATCTGAACCGCAGCCCGCTCCCCAAACCGCGTCTTCACTCTCGCTGCCGAAAGAACCCTCGTGGCCGTCGGCTTCCGACACCGCCGCCGTCCGCCGTCACTCGGAGGCCCCATCCTCTCCACCCCCGGTCCCATGCCCAGGCGCGTAATCTCCCCTATGAAATCGGGATTCTCTTCCGCGCACGCGACGAGCGATGGAGCACCCGCGGCGAAGACGTCGATGCGGTAGCTCGCTGTGGTGCAACCGACGTCCGCGAAGACGACGTATGGCTGCTTGCCATCTTCTGAGTCGGTCTTGTGAGTGGCCCCGTTCGGCTTAGCATGTCCGTTGACTGAATTCCTTCCCTCTTGCTTTAGGACAGCAGCTGGCAAGGTAATAGCACGCCCGCCGTTGGCCGTTGCAGTGAAGACTCCGCGCTCCATCGCAGACGCAGGCGTGAACGTGTCGGCACACACGGGCGCGCCGTACATGTACCCCAAACAGCGCGTGTCCTTCGCCATGTCTCCGATGGTGGTATACTTCCAACGCCTGGGATCGTCGTAGCTCACATCCGTGCCGTTGTTGACGAAAGGCTGCAGAGGGTAGCCGGACGTGTACTGGCTTTCGGGATGCGCGTCGATGAACATCCCGGCCAGACGGTCCATGTTGGCGTGGTACGAGAGGAAGATGGGGTCGCATGCCGTGTACGTGTTATCAGCCTACCAATTTCAGGGTTAATGTAAATCGCGGCCGAGCGTGACTGGAGAGAACTCACCATGTCCGGGCCGACCCATCCGTGATAGTTGTCGTGGACCTGCTCAAAGAGCCCGTCAAAGTCGAAACGCCACGGGTACAGATTGTCGGGCTGGTCATCCGAGAAGGTTGGAATATTGGCCCACGGCATACCGAAACCCTCTGCCGTTCCGACTGAAGTGAATGTCGATTGACTCAGTGCGTGCTGTATTTGCGCGTGGTAGTTTTTGAACAAGCCGATCTTGCGATTCCAGTCAGGGTCGGATGGGCCTTTGACGAGCGTGGCATTGCGCGTCACGAATTGGCTCGTGCCGCTCTTGGACTTGCCGTCGAGAGCGAGAGCGTACTTGAGCGGGTTGGGGCGTGTAGAGTTGTCGACCGGGTGGACGTACGTCTCCTCGAGGAACATGGGTGGGAGGCCGGCGAATGGCGACTTGGGGTCCGCCGTCTCCGGGGCGTAGGCATTCCAGTACGGAATGGGCATATCGATGAGCTTCTCGACGTAGAGGAGGTAGGCTCTATGCCAGAGAAATGTTGCTTCCTGATAGTGAAGACACCAGTACGCATCTGGGGCAGTTTTGTTAGCATAGTCCATCAGTCAACAACGAGTGTGACACGTACGTAGAACACCAAGCTGTTGCCACGGGGAGCCCAAACAAGCTACCTGAAGCACATCGTCCAGCTTTGCCTGGTACTGGGCCAACTCTTGCTTGCTCAGACTCATGATATCCCGTCTGACCTTGAAGCTGTCTCTCGGCTCGACCGGCTTGGGGATCAGAGCCTGAGGGCTCGGCGATGCGGACGAGTCTTTGGGAAACCCGGCGTTAGCCCACTGTCGAAAGGTCTCAATGGCCGCGTCGGGCCAAAAGTTCTGCGGGTCTCGAGTGATGGGCATGGTCTTCGATCTGAGGTGCTGGTAGATGCCCACTGCCTTCTTCTTGACGTCGTCGTAATCGTCGAGGCTCCAGTTCCCGTACTCTTGCATAGACCCTATCCAGTGCTTGCCGGTGTTTCGAGAATCTCCAGACACCCAGTATGGCGTCGCAATCAGGGGAAGAATATCATCAGTCCAGTTTGGTACTTTCTCGACATGCGGCGCCATGAGTGAGTATGTCACATTTTCGGTAACTCTGCTGGCAAGAAACGGACACGCCTTGGCCTTGGGGGCATCCATTGACTCCTTTGTGTTGCTCGTAATTGCCACCCTCTGACATGCCACGTTGAACGTGACTGGGGGTGGAAGCGCCTGGACGGACACGGGAACAGAGGCAGACGACCCGTCGTGCTTAGGGATAATTTGAGGGTCCCATTTTGCCAAAGAAGTCGTCCAGTCTCTCAGGAACGTTTGGCCGCGCTCTGGCATGTCCTGAATAGCTCCGTCGGGCTTCATCTCCTTGAACAGCGGCTGGTTGGGATCGAGGGCGAGAGCGAACGGCATGCTGGGGCCAAACTCGTCCAGCGGAAGGGGCCGAAAGATGCGCCTGCGTGACTCGGCCAGCGTCAGCCAGTCGGTCAGCGCCGCAACGGGTTCGTCTTCCATTCTCTTCGCAGCGGCCGCGATGTAATCCAGCATGACCTTCTGGTGGGCCTTGTCATCGGCGGAGAGCAACTGCAGGAATTCGTGCTCCGGGCTGCCCTCGATCTCATTCCGGGCGTAGGTCGAGCCTTTCACAGCCTCGATGAACTGGGACTCCAGGCTGTACGATTTGCCGTCGAACCTGGCCCCGAGGGGAACGTACTGCATCAGGCAGCCCCGGCGCCAGGAGTAAACGGGGTTCCAAAAGTCGAGCATCAAGATGGCACTGAACACTGAAGGTGAGAACAGCCCGACGTATTCGTCAAAGTCATTGTGGGAGTTTGTCTGGGGGATCTTCTTCAGCATCTGAGATTTTTGAACGCCGAGCGCATCCTCGATCGATGGCTGAATGATGTTGAACGGCACAAGCCCTTCAAAGCTCTCGGCTAGGATCTTGAAAGACACATCCTCGGTCGGATTGGGCCCCCTCCTGTCACCACCTAAGCTGGTCCATGGCAATGTTATGTCAGGCTTGTACTCTGTTGGGTCGATAGACTGAAGAAGAGAGAGACGCAGAGCAGCGACGGCTTGCGTATAGTCTGCATCCTTGAAGCCAATCTGGGGTAGGCTGATAGGTTCGCCACCCGCCTCGACCATCAGCGGCGTCAAGTTGGCAAGCTTTAGCAACTCCTCGTCGTAGAAATGGTTCCGAGGAATGAAGTAATCCGCGCCGTTGAATTGACTGGGGTCTCCCGTCTCCGTGGCACTGCCGAGGTTGATTGTAGTTGTCAAAAACAAGTGACAAGCCCATCTTTGAATGTTCGCCGGGGTTTCAACGAGGGTTTTAGAACCGCCGAAGAAGTCGAGCTTGAGACGAGTTTTGAACCATCCGTCAATACCTCGTACAATAGCCGACTCAAGAGCACTGGGGTTGGTGTTCACCAAGGAGAGGATCTGTTGTGAAGAGCCGGTGAGCCAGGAGACGTCTCTGAAAGCCTTCTTGTCATCTTCAGAGTAGGAGCTATCAAACTGTGCTCCCCCATCACCACCAAGCCAGTGAAGCCATGGTCTGATTCGTCAACATCGGACGTCTGTCGAGAGCAATTCATAAGGGGCAAGGCTTACTTGTGAATCTCCTTCATGATGCAAGCTCCATTGACGTGTCCGTTAAACGGGCCAAGGTATGCATTGAGACCGAAAGCATCCTTAGACTCGCCGAAGTAGTTCCATCCTTGAGGCTGACCAGGTAAATTGGCGAAGTCGCTCTGGTAGAACCGAAATTCCGAGCCATTCCATGATACGACCTGGAGGAAAGACCACTCGCGCGAGATTTCCTTGGGACGAGAGCCCCCAACAATGCATAAAGTCCAATCCTGGGCAGATGTCAAAGAACTGAAGGGAGTCTTGTCCCTGAGGGTGATCAAAGTCAGAAACCTTGCATGGGGGCTGAACCAGGTCGAATCCGGATGTTTCTTTCTATCGAAGAAGCCGCCGTCGGCAACCATGAATGTTTGGACGTCGTAGGTGGGAGGTTTGCTCGAGTTGGGATCCTCTATTGTAGAATTACGGTCAGTACAACAGTCCCAAAAACGTGTCCTACAGAAACCTTTGCGAGTGAGGCCACGTCGTAAACATTAGACGGATGTTTCTCTCACCCCAGAATCTCATCACCAAGTCATCGTGGGACTGAATTTGAGCGTTTTTCCCCTCCTGCAACCACTTGCCGAAGAAATCGGTGAAGTGGGTAGAGATGAACTCTTCATCGGCGAGGTGATCCTCATCCAAGGTATCATTTCTAGTGAATTTGCGCCAGAACAATTGAGGTGCCATCGTCGTCGATCAAGTTTAGTAAGATGTCTCTGCTACTATCCAACACCAAGAAATAGCGAGGGGCGACGCTGCCTTTTCTAGACCTTCCCCTTCAAAAGAGAGACTCTCCATCTCCCACTCCCAAATCCCTCGCACGGCTATCCTCTCCCGGGCGATTACCAGGGAGCAGAGGCCGTGAATCCTCTCTATCTCATTTTCAACAGCGTGGTCTTCCGATCGCTGGTCCATCTACATTACGAGACAGACTAAACGCCACTTGAGCTACGGTTCATCTCATCACAGTCTGGATTCGACAAAACATGGCCTGACCCATGTCAAGAGCTACTGGCACATAAACTGCTTTGCACCTGCCGGAGACTTTGTCTATCACCGCTAGTTAATCAACGCAGGGATACAAAATGACTTTCACGATGAAGATATGAATTATTACTCTTTCGATTGGCCCAGAAGGTCATTTGATCAGACATGAATGGCCCGGAAATGTCTTATACCGATATGCAGATCTGGCGAGATGGCGTGCTGAGGCCTGAATACGAACGTCGTACAAGTCCACAACGTGAGGGCGGGGTTGGCAAGACAGTTCCGCATACTCAATGACTTCAGCCAGCCACTCTGTTCATCCACAGCGAAAGATGCTGAACGGATGAGATAGTTATGACAGATCACAGATATTTTTACGTTGATCTCTTGCGTATCAATATTGATGACGGAGTCCTAATTCACATAGTAAGGTGGGTGGTATGCCTGCTTCAGAACTTCAGCCAGCCACTCTGTTCATCCACAGCGAAAGACGCTAAGTGGGTGAAGTAGGTATCAAATATCATAGACGTCTTCCGGCCGGTCTAACAAGCGCTGAAGTGCAGACGCTGCACCTCGGTTTTCAGCCCCACGGCACGAGAGTGCGGGGGCTTCGAGACAAGTCTGCTGACTTCAGCCAGCCATCGAATGACAATCAGTCACGAACTATATGCGTGGAAGACTTTCTGATAGGTGCACGAAAGTGCGGGGACTTTGAGACAGGTCTACAGATCTACAGACTTCAGCCCGCCATCACAATCAGTCACGAACTATATGCATGGGAAACTTTCTGATAGGTGCAGAAACGACTGATCAAAGTGCTCATGCCATGGCGAGCATTCCAGATGCCATAGAGATTCAGAATGGTACCAGGAGGTGTCAAGCTAGATCAGGAAGAACTGCGTATTTGAGCCATTGATGCTGGACATTATGTTTAAATAATTGAGCTTCACCACTGATCTGAACCGATATTTGCAATCACTTTTCATCGAACTCATATTATCTCTTACATCTCAGTACAATGGGCGATTTCAAGATATCTACCATCCCAGTTTACAACCCACCCGGGTTTCCTTTCCAGGATGACCATCTCGATGCGCAGCAGCGAACTGCGTGGTCCAATACTATCTCTGAGTGGATAACCAACGAGATTGACGCGCAGTACAGAGATGACGATGGAAACCTTCAGCGTCTTCCTGGACCATGTGACGGAACTTTCCGCACCAAGTTGCAGCAGTTCTTCAACGGAACCGTGACGCCTTTCAACACAGGCCAGAAGCCGGCGCTAATCGACTGGATCGGGTTTCCTAAACTGGTGAGTCTACAGATATCACCTCTGAAGATCATCAGTATTTACGAATTATAGATCAAAATCAAGGTGTCCGGAGACATCCAGCGCTGGAAAGAGGCGGATGATCATCGCGACCAACAAGATGAGTATTGCGAGTGGACAGTCAAGCGCGATGACCAGAAGCGAATCATTTCCGTGACCTTCACATGCGAGGGTCCAGAGGTACGTGATAAAATGCACTCCACCGGCACTGTTACCAGCTGCTCACTCTCGGCACCTGCACCGATCCAGTATTGGGCGTTCCTGTCGCAGCATGATCCTCAGAAGATGCTAGAACTGTACAAGAAGAACAACCCCGAATACGCCAGTCAGATGAAGATCGAAGACATGTTCGTGGATGTACGGGGACAGCAGGTCTACAATCCGTACAACAAGTGGAACGGTGTTATAAAAACGAAGCCCTCCTCCGATAAAACCCTCACAACCGTCAACCCAGGCTGTATCATGCACCTAGCGCAGAGAAACAACACACTGAGCGCCGAAATTGACATTGCTGCCCAGGGAACAGTTGTACGGAAGGACAAGCAAGGCAATGTCATTACCAACGACGTCAAGTTGTGCAACTGTTCCAAATACGGGGTGGCTACGAGGAATTCAGACCCTAAGGTGAGAGCTAGCTAGTACCACGATTGCTTCAAAGGCGAACGGGACTGATTGGCGAGAGATAGATTGGTGCGTCCATCAACGGCCTCGTACGCGGTGGGAACTCGGTATCCATTGCCGACCCTGTCGCTATCTACATGGTGGACTTCGATTCTAGCTCGTTCATGCTCGACCAGGATGGCTCCGGCGATAACCTCATTCCGGTGCCTGATGGAACTTTCACCTGGCAGCGTGGCGACATCAACAAGAAAATGGGTCTCAGGCTTCATATCCAGATTCCAGAGGGACAAATCGGCACGGGCGAGAAGCAAGGTCGTCAGCTGACGGTGACGGATCTTGTGGACACGAGCAACAGCCAAAATGTCAAGTACGGCGCGCAATTTGCCGATTATATCCACATGGGTGTCAACGGCGTAGTTATTCCGAATGTTCCTGTCGCTGAACCCCAAGCGTGCCCCTGCGATACAGAGAGAAACGGGAACGGGCACGCGACTGGGCAGCCCATTCTCTTCACTATGATGGCGGAGTCGACGGGCAACACGGCTCAGAAGATTCCATTCAAAACTCGGGGCGATTTTTGATAGGGAAGAGCCACCGTAACTGTCTGCGAGAAAATTCCCTTTGATACGAATACACATACTGGTCTAGAAAATGAATCAACTTTCAATTTGGATCTGATGAGTGTAGCGTGTTGAAGTGATGAAACGGCCGTAATGCTTCTCCTAGTAAATCATTAGTGATGAACGGCACGACCATGAATACCGGCCTAGTCACTCTGTTATACCATTTAAAACCATGAATTGCATTTCAAATTCAGATGTAATAGTTCGAGCTGCTTTCTTACTGCCTTCGTACTAAGAATCGTATGTCTTCCGAACTGTAGTCTTCCAAGTCTCTTCCGGGCCATCATTATCCACCTCCCGCCTTGTCTTTATCAACACATCAAGTTCCTCCTCGCATCTGTTCATCCAGGGTGTTCAACGGACTATCGTCTTTCTCAATTCAATATCATCCTTCACCCTTCAGCTAAACCGATGATCCTGCATAAATCTACCTCTTCATCAACCAATACTTCCCCCTCGTGGGTGGGGGTCTCCAGTCCGCAAAGTCCATACCAAACACCTCGTCCAACTTCAACGTCTTGGCAAGCAACTAAGTCTCAAGACATATCAGCTCAATCAAGGAGCCAGCCGTTCTCCTCGAGCACATGTGATCCACGTGCTCGGTAGAACCTCATTGTTCGCCACAGGATCGCCAGGGATATGTCGAAATTGGGAACTTCATCGCTAGATTATAGCGCAATTTTCTCGCCAGTTTCATGAACTGTTCGTGTTGTCGTTGGCGTTTTGGATGTTGTCGATGTTCTTGTTTTGTCCGTTGCCAATAAACCGCCAAAATATACTGTTCTGTGCTTCGCTTCTATTTCCTTTGTAGTCAAGAGGCAGTAGAGGTGGGGGACTAGAAAAAGACTCAAGTATGATTTGAATAAACTCTAAAAGGTTATACATTGTATGTATAGTGACGAGACGATTGGTGTTTGTGAGATGTACAGGTCGGAGCCTCGTTTCTTGTTACCATCAATAAGTAGTCGAGGGAGCAGGGAAGATACTTGGGTTGGGGCTTTTTAAGTACGTCAGATTAGGCAGATAATTTAAAGACGCACGTGGCATAACTGACAGAGAAGGTCCCAGAAGAATACTGGGCAGGAATTCTTGCATGTTGTGACCAACAGCCCGTCGCAACCAACAGGCATAGTGACATCCATGCGGGCCAATCAATACACTCAGCGAGATACCTTCAGGGTCCTAAGGATAGTCCTTTTGTCTCTGGCAATGTGATCAAGAGAAAGTTAATAAGTTACAGCTGCTACGAACATTGTGAGCTGTAAGATTCTGGGTGTCAAGTTTTAGCAGTCAACAGCGGTATCATTTGAACTTCATAGAAAACATTAGGCCGATTATTTAGTCGCTCCCACTAATCCTTTCACAGCTTGTCGGCCGAGCTCTTCCAATGTTCCAAAACCCAGCAACTGGAGCACGCTGATGTCGAATCCTAGTGTTTGCCTCCACCAGTTCCGCAACTCAATACCTACCAGGGAGTCAAGACCAAGCTGCTGGACGGGCAATGTGATGTCGATTTCGTCATCCGGACGCAGCAGCAACCTCATCAACTGATTGCCGATCTCGTTGGCGATGTATTCGGCCGACTCAGGCTTCTCGAGAATCTCCGGCTCGATCTTTGCTCTCGCCAAGAACTCCTTGAAGCCGTCTCCTCCGGCGCCGCCATCCCGACTGTCGCCGTCGCTGATGTTGTGCCAGACGGCCATTCTGATGTCTTTCTTCCAGTGGAGGTGACTGTCCGGGTGGCTGTACGACTTGTCCGAGGAGAAACCCGTGCTGAAGGTATTCTTGTGGGTGAACGGGAGGCTCTTTCCGGTAACCGTGATGTCGGGCACCGGATAGGAGGCCGCGGCTCGGAACGCCTCGATCATCTCGCTCTCTGTGACACCAGAGTATCCGTTTCTCAAGAGCCTCTGCAAGAGCTGCTGATCGCGGGCGGCATAGCCCATATCGGCAACGGCGCCGATGTCGATGGAGGACGCGGGGAGGCCTTTGCTGTTGCGCCACAGGGTGAAGGCGTCTAGGAACGCGTTGGCGCCGGCATAGTTGGCCTGGCCGGGCTGTCCGGTGACGGCCGACAGGGACGACAGCAAAACGAAGAAGTCAAGCTCGATGCCGGCCTCGACAGTGGCTTCGTGAAGGTACAATGCTCCCTGAACCTTTGGGCCGATAACTTTGGTCCATTGCTCGACGGTCATGTTCCTGAAAGCCTCGTCCTGGAGGAGCATGGGCGAGTGCAGGATTCCTTTGAGGTTGGGGGCTTGTCGAACCGCTCGGTAGATGTCGTCCTTATTCACCATGTCGCCTTTGACGAGAACCACGTCACAACCCATGCTCTCCAATTCCTGGATGATCTCGGCGTCTCCAGGACGCGATCCTGGGTTTCTCGAAAGGCAGACAAGCCGTCGAGCGCCGTTCTCAACAAGATGTCTGGCAATGACGGTTCCAATACCACCCAGTCCTCCAGCAAGAAGGTAGGAAGCCTTGTCGTCAGTTTTGAAAACATCGATGACTTTGACGTTATTCCAGTCAATCGTGAGCGTGCCTTGGATGTCTCTGAGCTGAAGGATGACGTCGGCCGACGCGCCGGCTTGGTCCTGCACATGCTTGACAGCGTCTTCCACGCGCGAGGCCTCAAAAACGACTCGATTCGAGAGGGGAATAGCAACGCCGTCGTTCAAAAGCTTGGCGACTGTCTGCAGAATTCTGGATATCTTCGTCAGCCAATTTGGTCACATAGAGACTGGGGTCAGATGCACGCTCACCTCTTCACGATGGACTTTTTACCCGTCACGAGGGCTTCGAAATCGAGGCCGGTGTAGCTGCGACCATCCAAAAAGGGACCCGTTTCCAAATCGTGGGCGCCGAGGAAGTCTGCTGCACCAATGTCGATCATGCGTCCGAACGCGGCGACGGAGTTCCAGGTCGCGTGTGAGAGTTCGCCACGAAGGGTGTTCAAAGCCAAATCGACACCATCTCCTCCAGTCGCCAGCGTGATCTCTCTGAGGAAGGTGTCATCGGTAGACCAAAAGATACGATTCCTGGGGAGCCCGAAATTCCTGGCGAGGGTGCTCGCTTCGTCCGCGGACCTGACGGTCGCAAAAATGACCGCGCCCAACGTCTTTGCAAGTTCGAGGATGGCCAAGCCGACACCAGTAGCGGCATCGTGGATCAGAACAGACTGTGATACACGTTAGCAGATATTCTCCATGCTTTGACCTTTGCATTTCCCCAATGCGACGTGTCAAGTGCGAAGTTCTCTTGTAGGTGACATACCTGGCCAGCCCGTAGGTTTCCCAGCTCGTACAGGGCTGCGACAGCAGTGCCGTACGCAGCAGGAAGTGTTGCTGCTGCTTCGAGAGAGACGGCGTCTGGTATTTTGGCAACCAATGCTTCGGAAGTACGCAGGTGCGATGAGAGGCTGCCGGGTCCAAGGCCGATCACTCGATCGCCCACTGCGAAACCTTTGACACCAGCGCCAACGGCAGATACTCTACCGCTGACGCTGGTACCCAAGCCTTCGGCGGGATACCGAATGGTCCCCATGATCTCTGAGACGTCCTGAGGTGAAACAAAATGTCAGTAAGAGTATTTGGCTTTGCGGACGGAGCAACGTACCTTAGAAGTGAGGCCGGCATAGAAGACTTCGATGTCGACTTGGTCTCCGATTGGGGGCGCATGGTGGCGTGACTCCCAGGCCAGCGACGTAAGCCGGCCAGGCCTTTCAGCAACAAGAGAAACACGGTCGTTCTCATCTCGTGTAGCGGCGCGTTCGTCGCCAAATGTAAATGGGTAGATGCGAGGCACGTTGATCGTACCGTCGAGGATGGCGTATTCGTAGTTGGGTCTGAAGAAAGCGTCTTCCAGTCTGTTTTGGAAGTGGGCAAAAGCAGCGAGGATGGAGTCTAGGGATTCGGTGACAAGTTCCACCTCGCATGTGGCGAAGTCGATGGCCTCTTCGTTCCGGATGGACCGAATGGCACCAATTGCCGTGGCGTACAGAGGATCTTTCGACTGCATCTGGGATGGGCGTGTGACCCAAAAGATGCCCGACTCGGCAATACTAGCAAGGTGTTTCTGCAGAGTTTGGAAGTGGTTCTTGTCGATTTGGTGGAAGAAGGGTTCGTCCTCGTCGAGAAGAGAGATGACATCCTGGCCCCGCGGCAGCTCATCGCCGAAGGCCCGGACGACAACGACGTAGCCTTGAGCCTTGAGTGACTGTACCACGGCGCCGACGTTCTTGCCGTCGTGTGTATGAGCCAATAGCGTCACATTCTTGTTGAGGGTAGGGCTAACGTCCGTTCCATGTCTGGCGACGAAGGCAGTGCTAAGCTGGTTTGGTACAGGACCGTCCAGCACGACGTCCGGCGCAGCGAAACCGGCGCCCTTCAGCTCGGCCTCCCACCGCTCTGGAGACACGTAGGGTTCGTTGGGGCGACCGTCATCCCGGCCAACCCACCAGTCATCCAGAAGGCCGAGAATACAGTTGACCCATTTGGACTCCGTGTGAAGCTCCTGAAGCAACAGCCGGCCGCCGGGTGCCAAAAGTGTGCGGATGTTGGCGAGAGATGCCGATAGACTGGGCGTGGCGTGGACAATGTTTGTCGCCACAATCAAGTCGTATTTCTCATCGTCCTTGAAGTCTTGTTCTGCCGGATTCTTGGCGATGTCGAGGACGCGGAAATCCATCCTCTCTTGTGGTTGGAACTGCTTCTTGGCGGCTGCTAAGGCTGTCGGCGAGGGATCGGTGAAGGTGTATTTGAAGTAAAGGGAGCCTCCATTAGGAAGAGAGAGGTCGTTCAAAAGGGAAGAAGTAAGTTGTGCGGTGGTGGCGCCAAGCTCCAAGACTCGAAGGCTGGGTCTCGCATGTGCAAGACTCCGGAGGAAAGGGGCTCGGTCGACGGTGTCGGACGAAGCCAAAACCTTTATGAGAAGATCGTCCTTGGCAAGAACATCAAGAATGTCTCGCTCGCCGGTGAGGAGGTCCGCAATGTTTCCACCGACCTCGAGAAGGCTGTCCGCGCATGCAGCGAAGGGCGAGTCAGCCATGGACGCTCCAATGGCGTGAGCCTTGTCGACGATTTGTTCCATATCAAGGGAGTGACCCGGATGAGTTTTGCTGAGAGAGAGAAACTGTTGGTTGACCCACGCAGCAAACCGCTGGACGGATGGGTTAGGTGACAGCGTGACATCTTGAATACACCTCTGGAAGAAGATGAAGCAGAGCTCAGCCAGCTCGTTCAGCACGGGCGTCCATTTCTCGATATCACCACGGGGCCGTAAGAGAGAGGCCGCGTCAAGGAAATCGATGTGAGGCTGCCAGTTGGCACGCGCGCTGATCGGGAGCTTGTGTACGACATCCTGGCCCCCTTGCTCGAGTGGGGTGAAGGTAGCTCTCGGTATGTCAAGGACCAACTTTCCGTCCGTAACAATACGGTAATGACCTCTGATCTCGTGACTTCCAGGCTGTACTTCGGTCACCGCCTCAACGGCCACCCCCGACCTCGAAGTGGTGCTGAAGATGGTGAGTTCTTCAATCAGGGTCGGCATCGCAGCACAATTGTTGACGTCCAGCTTGCCGCTCCTAGCAGCCACGAGCCCGGCTTGCAGGGCGGCGTCGATGATGGTGGGGTGTAGATGGTATTTGTCCTCATCGCCGTTTTGATTGTCAGTCAGTCTGCTTGTCGCCCGGGTCTCCAGAGTACCCGTGCTGATGCCGTCGAGACGCTGGAAAGCTGGGCCGTATTCCATGCCCGCTTTCCAGAGAATGTTGAAGACCTTGGAGGTTTCAAGCTTCCGGGGAAGAGACTTGATTCCTTCAGCTTGGGCGGGCTTGACTGACGGAATGGCCGTCACCTGACCCGAGCAGTGTTTCGTCCACGCGTTGCCATTGAAGGAAGCGATTGTGAACTCCCACCAGCCCTTTCCTGCGGAGGCTGTCAAGTGATGAGGCCGCAGGTTCGTGACGACCTCTGTGTCTGCGCCCACCTCCAAGATCAGGGCCTGGCTCAGAACCACCTGACGGAGGCTGTAAGATGTCTCCACGCCAGTGAGCTGGCGGATTGCTTCACCAGCCATGGCGAAGTAGCCTGCGGCAGGGAAAACGACCACGCCCTGCACTTGATGGTCCCGCAGCCAGGGCGCATCCTCAATGTTGATGAGATTCCTCCAGCTAGGTTCCAGACTCGTGCTCTCTAGTTGCGGGCGTCCCAGAAGGGGATGTCTAGGGAATCGGGGATTTCTCCACTCCGATGACATGCGAGACTCGATCCAGAAGTCGCCCTCGTAGTTCCAGGGGTATGTTGGTAGATCTGGCAAGGTTTCTCCGGCCGGAGCGATGGCTGCGTAGTCGAGCGAAAGGTTCAGCTCGAACAGTCTCCCAAGTGAGGCAAGGTAGGACTGCACTGAGTCTTCGTTGCGGACCAGAGATGATACGTAAGGGGGGGAGGCCGAGGCTTTGGCGAAAATCTGTCGCGCGGGGCCGGCCAAGGCCCCGTGGGGACCAATCTCGATGAACGCCGGGTTCTTGACGTGCTTCAGGATGCCAGCAACGGCCGAGTTGAAGAGAACAGGTTGTTGAAGGTTCTTCTGCCAATACTTGGCGCCCAGTACGTCGGACTCAGGCTCTCCAACTCCAGTGACGCTAGAGAAGAAGGCTTTGCTCGGTCGCTGGCCTTGCAGGTGTGGCTCGATCATCGCGTGGTATTGGTCGCCAATTTCTCCCATGTGGTATGAGTGATATGCCTTCTCAACCTTGAGAAGTCGAGCAGTGATATCGGGATGGGCGTCCCTAATACGGGCAAGAGTCGACTGTACTATGTCATAGTCTCCCGACAGAGTCACGCTCTGGGGCGAGTTCTCACACGCGATGACAACATGGGGCTCGTCCACCAGGAATGGCTTGACCTCGGCACGGCCCAGACCAACGGCCGCCATGGCGCCTTTCTTGTCTTGCAGATTGGCTGCTTGTCCTCGCAGGTAAGCCCCGACGATGGCCTCCTTGGCCGTGAGAGCTCCGGCTGCGTAGGCTGCTGCGAGTTCACCGCTGCTGTGGCCCACCACCGCCGAGGCCTCGATACCAACGCTTGCGAAAAGGTCGACAAGGCCGATCTGGATGGCAGTGCACAAGGGCTGTGAGAATTCTGGCTTTTGAACGCGGGAGGTCTTGGCCGACTTCTGAAGCTCTGCCTCGATTGTCCACCCAGGAGGCTTCGGAAGGGCCTGGAGATACTGGTCGAGAGCTCTCACCGTCTTTTGAAAGACGAGGTCATCGCGCTGAAGTAGCTCACGACCCATGCGTGGCCACTGTGCGCCTTGCCCGGTGAACACCATGACCAGGCTGAGTGGCTGGCTGGGGATCTTGCCGCCCTGAGATACCGGGGTTTCTCTGGGGCCGGCAACCTTGGATGCTCGGTAGGGGAGGTGCTCGCGCCGGTTGGCAAGGGTGTAAGCAAGGTCGTCAAGTCTATCAGCCACCTCGGGGTTCTTCGCCATCCAGGCATCATAGTTGGCAACCATGGACTTCAAAGATGCGGCAGAAGCCGCGGAAAATAGAAGTAACTGAGGCTCTGACTCCCTGTCGCTGTCCCGAACGCCCGATTTGGCTACATTGAAGCTTCTTGCCGAGTCGAGGACGACGTGCGCGTTAGAGCCGCCGAGTCCGAAACTGTTGACGCTTACACGTTCAAGACGATCCGCTGGGAACGGCGTTGGCTCGACAGGAACGGTAAGCTTCCCCTGCTTGAAAGCAATCTTGGGATTGGGGATATTGAACTTGATGTTGGGGGGGATGGTGCGATGTTCAAGGGACATGACAGCCTTGATGAGAGATACAAGGCCAGAGGCACCCTCGGTGTGACCGACGTTAGGTTTGACAGAGGTGATGTGGATGCCTTTGTCCCCAAAGACGTTGGCCACCGCGCCAGTCTCGATAGGGTCTCCAACGGCCGTACCTGTTCCGTGGCACTCAAAGTAGGCCGTCTTGGAAAAGTCCTGTTCGCCGAAATGTGAGCAGTGGTGTTCTGATCTAGAGAGAAAAACGATAGAGAAATGGAGCGTGCTCACTGTAATGCCGGCCTGCTCGTAGGCGAGGCGGATCATGGCTTCATGGGCTGCCGCGTTCGGCTGCGTGATACCGTGCGTCTTGCCGTCCGAGTTGGCTACTGCGGCTCTGATGACAGCGCGGATCGGGTTGCCATCCCGGACGGCGGCATCGAGAGGCTTCAAGAACACAGCCGCAAATGCCTCACCTCGCGCATAGCCATCTGCATCTGCAGAGAAGGTCTTGCAAGAACCCTCGGGAGACAGAATGCCCTTCTCCGTCATCTGCTGCGTCATTCCCGGTGCAAGCATCAAATTCCCACCAGCTACCACGGCGCCCTCGCAGATGCCGCGTTGGATGGCTGAACATGCCTCATTGAGGCAGACGAGACTTGATGAGCAGGCGGTGCGGATCGTCATGCTATAACCGATCATAAATCAGCGATTGGCTTTCGGGAAAGGCCACTTGGGAGAACCGACCTTGGGCCAGTCAGGCCGAACTCGTAAGAGATCCGGTTGGCCAGCATCCAGTCTTGGTAGCCATCAATCTTGTTAGGTCCATGCCAGAGAGGGTCTCGGTTCAACATCTCTCCCCAGTCCTCGTTCATGTTCCCAAAGTAGCATCCAATGGTCTTGCCCTATAAGGTGGTTCAGTATTTCCAAGACATCTGACGGCCAGGGGCACAAGGCTTACTCTAAACTTGGACTCGCCAGCGTCTTCAAGCGCCTCCGTGACAACCTCTAAGATACGCCGTTGCTGCGGATCGGAGAATTCGACGTCGGCACGGCTCATCGAGAACCGACTTGTGTCCATCGCACCGAGCTTGACGGAGTCGTCCAGAAAGTAGCCATATTCGGTGGCAACAGTTGTTGGTCTCTTGGTTTTTTCGTGGTAGGCGGAAACATTGTACCGCGACTCGGGTACCCGACCTCTTGCATCACCCTTATTGATGAGGAACTCCCAGAATTCTTGCGCGGTGGAGACTCCTCCGGGGAGGCGAACACCCATGCCACAAATAGCGATTGGCACGGCTTTCTCATTCAGGCTGTTGACGCCGTTGGCATGACCGTTGACGCCGTTGGTGTGATTAGCGCCGTTAACGCCGTTGGTGTGATTAACACCATTGATGCCGTTGGTGTGATTATCACCGTTGGTGCCGTTTACCTTCGTCATGGTTGCGTTGGGTATCACAAATGATTGAAGAGATAGTGCTCGTTCGCTGTGGTATGAGGTGATTTCGTTTATCAGGCTGTCAATACAACGTGGGTTTCCGTTTTACATGTAGTCTGATAAAAGAAGCCCGCGCTCATATTTCGGAGCGCCATGAGCCACGACAAGTGCTCCCGGAAGAAAGCTGCTGGCAATGGATGGAGACATTGAGCCGCAGGACTCGTGATCCCGTGCGGCGATTTCGTCAACATCGCGCAGCGACGGGGCGGGAGGTTCGCCGGGTTCCGAGCCAAACCAGCACCGATCAACTCTCTGCAAAACGCCCCGAAGAAATACCACATCGGATTGATCTACACAGACGCGTATGGCCCGAGATCCACTCCGGAAATGGATGCCAAGAGGCCGTGCGAAACATCGAACAGTCTGGACAATGCTAACATGTTGAAACCATTGAGTATTATTGTTTTTGAGGAGTAGTGTTGTTGTCATTCGGTACAATGTTGATCATCACATTCCCGTAGCCGTGATTGTCTGTATAGTCACCTGCATACTCGCGAACTCCCCGCCTTCCCGGAGGCGGTGACCAAGTATGCGGCTCCAGGTCTTCGGCAATGCTTACTGCTGCCGAAAATCGTACGTATCTTGCTTGAGGCATTTTGCTTTACTTGGCGCAGTTGTGAGAGGGTATATACTCCTAGGAAGATCAGTCAAAGGCCGCTTCAACGAACTCGCCACACCTCTAATCAAAACAACATCAACCATAGCACCCCTCGTGCCAAGTTGATTTATCGTTAATAATTCACATCTAACTTTGAATCTCAAATCTTCTTAAGCACCACAATGGCGGACAACAAGCAGGACCTCGGAGCCACCTGGAGAGAGGAGTGGGCTTCGGCGCAGAAGATCAAGGGCCCAACGATGCAGAATAGCTCGGTCTTCTACCGCAACATTGAAGAAGAGCTGGACTTATCTCGTCAAGTCGGCCTGGCGTTTCCACTTCACACGCCGTCTCATGTGGTTGATTTCTCTTCCCTGGACGTGCTCGGCATGGGCGCCACCGGCATCCTGAGAGAGGAGTTCATGAGAGAGCTCGAAGCGAACCCCGGAGTCCAGATCGGAGCAGGCGGATCGCGACTTCTGGACGGTTCTTCACCCTACCAGGCCATGTTCGAGAAGGAACTGGCCGAACTCATGGGAGTCGAATCCGCGCTCATGGTCCATTCCGGGTGGACGGCGAACCAGGCCATCTTCTCGACAGTCCCTCGGTCGGGCGACGCCATAGTGTACGACGAGCTGATGCACGCCACCGCACTTTCGGGTATGAAGGTCAGCCTGGCGCTGGATCAGAGACCTTTCCGCCACAACGACGTCGATCATTTCATCGAAGTCATGGAGGCAGTCAAAGAAGCATCCCCTCTCATCAAGGCGGGCAAGCGTTGCGTCATCGTGGGCGTCGAGAGCTACTACAGTATGGACGGCGACATTTGCCCACTGAAGGAACTGATCGAGGCCGCCAAAGAGATTTTCCCGCAGGGAAACGCACAGTTCGTCGTTGACGAGGCCCACAGTTTCGCCGTCTGCGGCCCAGAGGGATTGGGATTCGTTCGGGAACTTGGCCTTGACGATGAAGTTGCTATTAAGATGGTCACCTTTGGCAAAGCCTTGTCTGGATCTGGTGGTAAGTAGAAACCTAAAACCCTTTGATGTGAATGGATTGACTAATACGTTGCTCAGCGATGATTTTGTCAAACAACACCATCCGATCACTCCTCACCAACCAGGCCAAGGTCTTCATCTGCTCCGTTGCGCCTCCATTCACTCTGCTTGCAGCCTGTAGGGCAGGTCTCCGACTGAGTCGCACTCCGCTGGTGCAAGAGGTTAGCATCAATCACCCCGACAATGCTGCTCGTGCTAACATGAACAGGCTCGCGATCGGCTGCGAGAGCTGACTCTCCTTTACTTGGACACGCTCACCTCTCACCCCGTCTACAAAAAGGCCCACAAGAAAGGATTAGTCGACATGCCGGTCCACGAGGATGGAAGCTGGCACGAGATACCCATCACCCACATCGTTCCTCTCTGGACACCCCGCCCGAAACACGCTCTGTACCTTTCCCTCCATCTCACTAGAGACGGCATCAACGGTTGCAACATCGTCTTTCCCATCGTGGGTAAGGGGGAAGATAGGGTGCGGCTTCTGATTCATGCCCACAACACGAAGGACGACGTGATGAAGTTGGTCAACTCGATCACGACCTGGGCGACGGAAATGTTGGAGATTGAGGCGAGCGGTGACAAGAATCGACTCCCGGGTGCTGCTCGCCTCGCTTTCGACCTGATCTGGAGAGATAGACAGGCCAGCAATGGCACTAACGGAGCGGCCACCATCAACGGAGTCGAGATGGCCGATCTCCTTAGCGGCAGCAACGTCATCCACAAGGCTCCTTTGGTTAGTGGGGTTGGTCGATTAGGAGCCGCTCCTGTTGGCATCACTGCTGAGGTTTAAGGGCCATCAATGTATTCAACGAGATTGATGATGCATTCAAAATTGATATTTCAAAATTGACTCTTCTGAATTTGAATTGGACCTGTATACCTATTAAAGACTGGGCTTTTAACATGTTGGTGTGATTTATTTTGAGATCATTCGCCCCTGAATTCAGTCAGTGACTTGGCCGCTCGTTTGGCTATTCATCAGCAGCTTATTTGAGGCCGACACTTGGTTTAGCAACCGGTCGATGCCATTCAATGATGCAATGTTCAAGAAGGGAGTTGTTAAACGCTCCCAGGGAGGGTTAATCGCGTATTCCAGCGAAGCAGCGCCACTGTCCTGCTGTCATCGGGATATGCTATAGAACGATGGATGCAGCAACACACGTTCAGGATGAGGGACACTTTGAAGGCAGTAACAGACATCTCCCTGCGCGGATCGAATATAGACACACGTCAAGTCAAGAGGAAAGCGTTGATAACGGGTTTAAAATAGCATAAATCTAATCTAGAAGCACTCCTTTCGCATCCAGAACTGTTTTTCCTTGTCGATCAACGCAAGAGACGTTTCACCGAGCCGCTTTCTAAGTTTGTCAAATAGTTGACCGAGAATGTCTGAGTAGATCGGGAATGCTATCATGACATCATGCTGGTCCGACGGGGTCGGATCGTTAACCACCGGCCAGTCGTCTTCTGAAGCGGCATGTCCGATCTTGGCCTTTAGATTGTCCATCAACACCCGCACCTGATGAAGTTCGTTGAGTAATATCAACACAGTCCTGGAGCTTCTTGACCCATCGGCCGGATAGTCGCCGAATGCAGATTCTGGCACCGTTGCGGACCAAGACGAGTTGGTCGATGATGCTGATAGAACATTGTCTCCCGGCTCGTCGACAGCACGGGTGTCAACAATCTGGGCTGCCTTGGCGTAAAGATCGACCAGCTTAGACGTGACAAGACAAATAATGACCAGAAAATAGTCATCTTCAGACCCGGGACCGAAGTCTTGTAGCAGTTCGCTGACTTTGAGCGTCACCTCTTTGCACTTGTCCACGAGCGCGTCGGCGCGGCATCGAGGTTCCGGTGGACAGTCGCTGGATAGTAACATGGTCGTCTCTATGCGACAAAGCTGTGCCATGAGCCGCAAGGCAGTGTTGATTCGCTGGGGCTTTTGCTGAGACGGAACCTCAAGTTGAAGAATGTCGAAATCCTCCTGGAAATTCTGTTTATCCGCTATGCAGTACGAGCCCGAGCTGTCGTTGCTAGTTCTGGATCGTTTTCGTCCGCCCGGATCGCGGTCAGGCTGGTGGTCTTGTTGCGCCCACAACAGCACGTCGTTCTGAATCATAGCATGGTCCTCGGAGGCCGGAGTCTCGCGTGAGGCGATCGAACGAGTATTCAGCTGGAGGACACAATCGGCTGTAGTCTCGGAGGTCTGTTGACTTTCCGTGGAGAGCTGATGTGTGAATGGGAAATCGAGACTGGATGGCAGCAACGACAGATAGTCCTGGCTGCTACAGGGCACCATCTCCATATCGAGTGGTCCCCATTGCGGTAGGAGGGACGAGGGCGGAGCAGGATCCGTTGGATTATCGTTGGCAGTGACGTGGGATAATGTCGTGGCAGAAGTCGGTGAAGTTGTGCTTCCCGCAGTCGTCTGTTGCTGCTGAGACTGTTGGGAGTCTGGTCGAGGGCGGGATTTCCTGCCAGTCTTTTGGACAGCCAGATATTCACATGCTATGCCTCGCTGTGTGCACCGGGTGCAGCGCGGCTTCTCTTTGGAACACTTGATCTTGGAGTCCGCACAGGCTTTGCAGCTCTCTCGGAACCGGACTGCCGATTGCTCGGCCATGACCGCGTCTCAGAGCGGATGTCGGCCGATGACGAGTAGTTTGGAATGGCCGAAGGAACGACGGAACGGAGCGCAAAGGAGTGTGGCAGAGTAGCTGAAGATTTCTCAGCAACCTAGGTAGGGAGAGAATTCTGCCCGTGACCCAAGCAACTATCTAGGAACTTAAACAATCTCGCAAAAATATATACAACGCCTCCCGATAACATGTTGAACGAGTGCTTCGGCTCAGCGAGGGGTAGGTTGAAGGGAGCACGACTCGCCGCACCGCTGTTCGCTTGTCACTCAGCAGCAGCTAGCCTTCTCTCTGTTACTTTGATGCAACAATACGCCTTAAACCCAAGTTCCCATTCTCATGATTGAGTTTCTGGCGACATTTGGTTTGGCACGCAAAGCAATCCTTACCTGGCGAAATATATGGAGGCGATTCAGAAATGAACCGACCAGGGGGCCTACATCTGCAGGTTGTTTCCAGCGAGCCAAACAGCGCGCTGGTATCCGGGGCGTGCCTATGTGTCCGAGCAGGGATAAGCAGCAGGACGGCGATGAGGCCGGTGACCCCGTGTCTGCAAGGGTTTCTCATACCCTGGCTTCCTGCGCAGTAAAAGACCCTGAAGAGTCTGGTTCCACTTACTCCTCGGAGGAAAGACATCGTCTTTTAAACAGAAGCCGGGGAAAACTAAACTTTATAACTTGCCTTAGTCATGTATTCGTACATGCAGCCGGCGGAAGACAGCCGCGGGCCGCTCCCGATCCCTCTCGCTTACTAGCGGCGATGACGCGAATCGGGTGCGGAGCCCGTCGTCTCCGCGTAAAGGTCGAAGGGGGCGGATGTTTTCTGCAATGTGCACCTCAGTTGACAACGCACCAGAACTCGAACCATCTCCTCCTTACCCTATTCTATCGTCCCAACTCAGCTCCTGCCAAGACCCCTGCCGATCAAGGACTTTTGACATGCTCACCGGCGGCTGGTTTGCCTGCCTACTGATATCCCTGCTCAAGTCTGCCCGAGCCTGCCGGTGGCCGCGCCGCAGGTGGCCCATCAGCTCGCGCCGAGTCTCGCCGGCGCTTGCAGTCAACAAAAACACAAACACGGAACCGAAGACGACGCCGAGTAGGCATATCTGCCCACGTAGCCTATCAACCCCTGAGCGTGACTCACCTCAGTCATGAACTCGGGTTTCCTTCAACCTCGTGCTACCGGGATGGAAGATACGGCATGCGCGCTCGCCGAACAGCGCGGCGAGGAAGACTGGTCAGGCATAACCAACCAAAGGGTGCGGAAAAAGTTGCAGAACAGGCTTAACAAACGACTATGTGAGTGTGTGACGCGCTACAAGAAGGGTCGCAGGACCCTCCACAGTCAGACCACTTCGGCGCTAAACAGATTGCAGCAAGGCAGAGGAAGAGATCACGTCGCTGCGCCGAGTCTGCGCGCGCCCTTGACCTCCCCGAAGCCGCATCCCTCAATACTGCTCACACCGCAGATATGGAACTATGCGCGGTGACTTTGGAGGCCTCTTACTGGGGTGGCGAAGACCCGACATTCAACTACTCTTCGCGAGACGACATTACGGAGAAACGAGCCTTTCTTACCCGATTCGCCGAGCAAGCGTTGCTTAGTTATGCGATGGGCAGCCCTCGTCCCGACCATTATATGAGGCTTTTGCAGCTTAACATTATCAACGGCTTGACGAACAACGCCGCCGCGCTGGGGTTCAGCTTCGACTGGCTCATCTGTGAATCCGTCTCACCCTTCGGGCATGACAGCCAGAACTCCAAGGCAGGTACCGTACAGGGACTGTCTGTGCCTCCTAGTCTTGCGCCTACGAACATGCAGTTGGGGATAAAGCACCACCCGTGGCTCGATCTCTTTCCTCTACCTCGACTACGGGACAACCTTTTGGTTGCCGTTCTGAGCATGACCGTCGAGGAGGAAGAGGAGCTCTTTAGCTATATCATAGGATCGGCCGGGGGGAAGGCAGAATGGGCTGGACTCGTTGTCTGGGGTGAGCCGTGGGATCCCCGGAACTGGGAGGTCACTCCTCCTTTCCTGCATAGGTGGGGGTTTTTATTGCGAGGATGCTCGGAACTGATGCATTCTACGAACTACTGGAGGGGCCGGCGAGGCGAGAAGTCGATGGGGAACCCCAAATGTAACTGAGATGCAGCCAGACTGGAGGTCCGGTTTGTCTCCGCGACGTTTCTGGAGACAAATGGAAGCGAGAAGAACTAACGAACTCGTTGTTTGTATGCATCCATACAATGACGGATTCTCTATCTATGTCATTCTGCGCAACAAAGAAAGAAAAGAAATTGACCATGTTTAATATATCGATTCTAGATAACTTGGTCCTCTCATCTTCGACAACAGGAGAACAAATCCACTGGTCTGTGACTGGAACTTGTGGCAGAGACGATTGCGCTATTGAGAGCCACGAGGAGGAAGGCCGAGCAATTGTGACCACGATGGCTTAAAGGCGACCCTCCAGGACGTCACTCCAATCCTCATCGCGAAAATACTCGACCAGTGAGCTCGTCTTGATGCCTAGTTCTGCCGGCGTCTTGACCTTGGCATTGCCCCCAGTGTACCCGAACTCCGCAAAGAACCGAAGATCGTCCACGATCGTGGTCTTGTACGCATCGGGGACATACCGGACGTATTCCTCCTCCGAAACGTCTCTGACAGTCGTCTGTACCCCCAGCGTGCGACCCCACAGAGCCGCATAGTCCCGTTTGGAAATTATTTCGGTAGCACCCAATACATCCGTGCCAGGGGGGTGGTGAAGGATGAGCGCCTCGACGAAAGCACCCGTGTCCCGTGTGGCAACCACCTCGGGGTTGGCATCGTGCGGTCCTGACACCTCCAAGTTCACGTACTCGAACGTGCCGTCCGGCTGCTTGTGCGGTCGAAAAGCAGCAATATCTCTCCACGTCTCTTGAAAGATCCCCAGGGTGACGGTGCTCAGGACAAAGCTCAGATGAGCACGCATATATCTCTCAGCACCGGCCTTGGAGTCGAACTCGTACGAATGCTTGTACTTGCCGCCACTAATCAGCTGGACGGCGGGCAGTGTTGAAAAGACGAACCTCTCCAGAGTAGAGAGAACGACGGGATCGAGAGCCGCCACGGCCAAGTTGATACCCTGGGCCTCTTCCAAGTCTCCGGCGAACTCCTCGAACGACCTCCCGGCTGCCTTGGCCTTTTCCTGCAAAGCGGCATCCTCGACGACCCGGGCGTAGTTCGCCGCCCAATCGGTGACGGCAAAGATGGCGTGAGCTCCTGAGAAGGCAATTCTCAGCGAGTCTAAATCATCGTAGTCGCCCTTGATGACCTCGACCCCACGGCCTGCCCAGTACTTTGCCTTGGCAGAGTCGGGCTTGCGTGTGAGCCCGCGTACGTGCCAGTCGGGGTGGGAGAGAAAACGGCTTGCGACAGAGCCGCCCTGAATAAGCGGTCAATACAAGGCGCAGACAGGGAGGTGAGGCACGATGTTGTCTCTTACCTGCGTACCAGTGACGCCAAGTACGGTAATGAGCTTTTTCATCATGGGTGATTGTTTCGATTCCGTGTTGATTGCAGGCGATGCGGACTGCACTGTTGGTCGGAAAGCCCTCTGGTCTTTATGCTCAGAGACGTCTCTCTCCTCCACCGCGAGATGCCATTGATCACAAATCTCGACCCCAACGGACACGTCAAGTTCCAGTGGCCGCTCATCGTCATAGCCAACCTCACGCGGACGGCAAAAGCGGTTTCTCAGAGTACTTGTGCCCGCCCCCAAAAGGCCAAGACATAATTCATTTAAGTGCTGCTGCGCCTGGCTGACACAGTGCTTGCTTGAAGAAGGAAATAAGCACTGTGTCAGCCAGGTGCGTCGAGTGTTCGTCTTACCAATCGGGAAATGATGCAATTCGGGAATAATATTGGATGCCCGTGAGCGTGAGACAGCTGCCTCGTCTCGCCAAGAGAGGCAGAAACAGTTAAGAGCAAAATCGGACTGGAATGGTATAGATCGCCTACCCTTTGGGCCATCGTCTAAATAAATCCTGCTCTGATATGATCGACAGGTTAGAGTTTTGCTAAACCTCAATCGGCGAAAACGTCGGCGCTGGACGGGCGTATCGTATCATTTTTGAGTGGTCAACATGAGGGACTTATGCAGGGTTCTTGGCGCAGATGAACTTGACAATGGCCATCAATTTGAACGTCGCAAGACGTATTCAAGCTGAGCAGCTGGTTGGCTGCTCTCTTTGACAATTCAGACGTCTTTCGAGTGCGCTAATTCGCGTTGATCCCTGGATAATTGACAGCACGAAAATACGCGCTCGAAATGTTCAAATGAATGTTGAATGCAGTGGTGTTGAGGTTTGCTATTCCACTAAGGTAAGGTACGTAACATTCTCAAAAGACCCTGTCCCATGCCAAGAGCTGGGCATACGACGGCAACGCCCGGCCTGGTGCGGCATAAGCTTGCCAATGAACGGTATCAGTCATCCGGTGCTGTCAGACTGCTCCGGCACACCGGCTTGATCATCCGGTGGTACTCTGTCAAGACCGCAGCATCTGCCAAGCAACGACTCTTCCGTACGCGGTAACTATTTAACTGGTGCCCACGGTTCCGCATCTGCCCACCGGTCTAGAACCAGACCCGCACTGCCAGGCTGGCGGTAGCCGGCTTCCAGCTGCTTCTCGTAGCTTATGAGACGGAGCCTCTCTGACTCCCTGGGTGTCATCCACAGGTACACCTCTACGCCGACCACATGAAGTAGAAGACAGATCCACAGCTAAAGTAACACCAAGTTAGGCATATCCACTTTCAACAGATCGGGAAGGTTTCTGCGGCTCACCATTGTACCGAATCCGATAGTGATGCTCGAACCCAGCTCCTCCAACCTCTCTGGATTCTCCACTGCCCTGACGACCACGTGCTTCCAACGGTCCAAAGTTCCATTGGGGAAAAGGCAGTTCGGATAGTTGGAACTCGGAAACTCCATGCCGTAGTTGCCATAGAGAAAGTTGATCTCGTCACACATCCAGATGGAAAAGTAGCCTCCGATTCTGGTTATGATTGGGGTGGCGGCAAGATTGATCAGACGGGCTGTGATGGTGATTCCCATGTAAAACATTGTCCGCAGCATCCAAGCCCGATGCTGGTCAATCTGCTTCCGACGAATGTTCCACCACGCCAAGACAATCCCGACAGTGGTCATGATACCCATGAGTGTCTCGACCGTCTGTGTGTTCGCCCGATGGCCGCCTTGCTTGTGGCGGATGACGACGAACGCTGAAAAATTGCTTATGAGGCATAATAGCAGCACGACATAGCCATTGATGCGGTGAAAGGAGAGAAACTTGTGTCGGATCACGGGTGTGAACTGGAAGACCATGAGGACACCAGCAGGCAGCACACTAGCTAGGTGGATGAGCATCCCGTAGCGGTAGTGGCCATCGCGGAAATAGTACCAATAGCCTGGTACCAACGCGAAGTCACGCTTGAAATGGCCGTCGTAATCCAGGTCTTTGAGGCGGGAAAGAGAAAATCCCAACATCCCGCCTGCGAAGATCACCCCTATACAACTACATGTCAGAAGTGATTGAAGTGGTCAGCTGCAATGACTTACAGAGAGGAAAGTTGTATCCATGATTAAATCCGAAGAACTTGTACACCTTGGCATATCTGGCTCGGTGTCCTGTGGAAGTCTCCTTTCTCTCTGGCGGTAGAACCGAGGTGTTGCTATGGAGTTCATCTTCTGATTTCGTCATGGTGAACAAAGAGGTGAATAGAGGTACTCGTCAAACAGAAATCACAATTAAGGTTGAGGACAGGCTATCCAGAGGGTCTAGAGCAGACGCACAGCGAGATATAGTAGATGTCGAAGGGAAACCGTCTTGCAGCATTTACTGAGACTTTATTAATGGCTTTGTGGGAACTATATTCATCGGTGCGAAAGTTCATTGTCATCAGACTGATTAATGAATTGAAGCCGCTGATTACCGAGACGAAAGAAAGAAATGGCATGACAATTATGGAGAAAGTTAATTCAAGCATTCCACGCCCTGTTTTCGACCCTGTCCCTTCGTTGTCTGTTCATGATACTGTGGCTTAGTCAACTAACCATCGGCACTCCGGACTTACTCTGGCTAGATACAAGTATGTCTGGCAACAAAGATCTGCAAAACCGCGCCAAGACCCCGAAACTGCCCGAGAATGATCAGTATTCGGTCTGGGCAATGCGGAGTCTTGTTCTTGATATCCGAGATTGGAAATCAGCGGTTTTCAGTTGGTGAAGGACTGTGTCATGGATGCTTTGCTGATTATCTGTTTCGCCAAAATCGGTTTGAGGATCGAATGCCAGTAGTTTCGATTTACAACCTATCCGTGAAAGCGACTAAGCTATCCGATGACAGGATCTGGAACACATTGGAATCCAGAAAGAATCACTAATGGTCGGCGTCCATGCCAACTTCAAAAACAGAGAAGCCGGGCTGTAAGTAGCAACATAACTCAGAAGGAGCAAAATCGACACTCTCCTAGACGTAGTATACTCAAGCAAATTGGCCCTTCAAGGCGGACTTTCGTGCGTAAGCACAATCGCCATGCGTGCTGTTTCTGTCGCCGATCCCGTGCGTGATCAGCAGATATTCTCACCACCAGACAATCGAGGATGCCTTTTCTGTCTATGGAAACTGTTCCCCTTGCCTTTGAACCGTTGGTACAATAAGATCACACTGCATTGGGAGGCAGTTGTTATGAAAAGCATCCATATGAATGTCTTCATCCTAGTTTCTCTTCGTTCGCCTTTCGTCAGATCTAAACAAAAGGCAAGACCGAATGGAGAAAATGAGAAACCAATGTTCCCATCGAAATTTCAACATTGAGATCCTCAACTGTTAGCTATGGGTGACTCTGTGCATTTGCTGAAGCCTGCTTTGGTATTTGCTGATAGCCACGGCCTTGCCTTTTGACATGCTAACTTGGAACGCTCAAGCAACCTAGGTATGTGTCCAACACAAGATACATACACCGTCATACTGACGTTGCACTACGTTCCGTAGGGGTTCAATGACTGGAAAAACAGAAACGTAGTCAAGACATGCTTGAAACAATAGTATCGAGAATTTATTGTTACTGCACCAGTACAATAACCATTAAGCTGGCTTGGTGAATTAGAGTGCTCCCAAGCCAGGGCAAGAAACCAACTGATTGTCCTTCCAACCATTCCAGAATGAAAACGAAGATAACTACGCAACATGAAGAGAAAAAGGGGTTTAGCAAGACACTCATGGCCTCTTGACTGGACGACTCCAGGTCCTTCTCACCACCGCAGGCCCTTGATGTAAGAGCTGTTCAGGCGGTTCCTTTGGCTGCATGACAACTGCCTAGGCGCCTAGCTTTGAAAACTTCAACAAGGTCAGTATACTTCCGGAGTCTCAAATGCATGGGATACACATACTCCAAGTAGTGGCGAAAGAAGGGCTGTGATGCCACTTGCCACAATCACCATGATGTAATTCTTGTTCATCGCTTCGACAATGGTAGCCGCGAGCTGGGCCTGAACGTCAGCGGAGAAGCTCCGCCATACGGGACTACTCGCGCCTGCGAGAATTGACTTGGGGTCCCCAGTGAATCCCGGTGGCAGTACAGGAGCGAGATATCTAGCCCCCAGGTTCTGGAAGATGCTGCCACCGGCGGAGGGAAAGAAAGTGATGCCGATGCATTGGATAAGGCTGAGGACTCCAATAGCGTTGAATGCATCCTCGGGGGCGACGACGTCCGAGACACACCCGAGGGCTGTGAGCATGAAACATCCGCCGCCGATACCCAATAGAACGCTGTATCCGTAAATCGCCGACACATCCGTGTCAACGGACACCGTATACATGAGAGCACCTCCCGCAACAGCCAGCAGACTACCAATGAGGAACCAAGGCGTGTAGTAGCCCCATTTCGATATGAGCCAGCCGCTGAGAATGGAAACGGTAGCAATCATGAACACGAAGGGCAGCAGCTTGATAGCAGCTTCAACCGGCGACTCGCCCCTCGCAAACTGAAAGTACAGGGGCATGTAGTAGATGGGAATGTATACAGCCGATGCTGCGGCGAACGTGGCGAACTGCAGGATGCCCAGTTTGAAGTTGCGAAGCAGGTGACTGGGGTACAGTCTATCCTCCTTGCTGACAAAGGGGAAAAACTTGTGTGATAAGATGAACGCGACGGAGAGAACGCCAACAAACACCCATAGGATGATCATGCTGTAGGAATCCCATTCGAACACGGTCCCACCGAAGGTAATGGCCATGAAGAAGGAGACACACCAGCCTGTCCATAGGGTCAGTCCGAGCCAGTCGATTGCGTTCATTCTCTCCTTGACAGATCGGTCTTTCCCAAAGTTGATAGACGGGAGGATAAAGAGCAGGATCGGTGCGACGAGAGCGAAAATGATGAGGTTGATGTAGAAGCCCCATCGCCATCCGACGGAGCTTTCTGCAAATCCTCCGCCGATCTGATGATGCGAAGTTAGCGAGTTGGAGGAGACATGGAACGACGCGCCGCATATTGAGACTCACCACTGGGCCCAAGACGGTACCAATACCCCAAACGGGCGATATCAGAGCAACGTATATAGGCCGCTCCTTAGAGGTTGGGACGACGGTAAAGAAGGTCAAAGAGCCAACGTAAATACCACAGCCGCCAATGCCCGCGATAGCACGGCCGACGATGAGGGAGTTCATAGTGGGGGCAGCACCGGAGATGGCACTGCCGACCTCGAACAGGACGACATAGGTGAAGTAGAGCCATTTGAGGTCGAACAAGCCGTAGACCTTGGATTGAATCAGGGCGAGCGCTGTAGCCGGCAAAGCGTACGCGGTGGCGAGCCACGGAAACTTTTCGAATTCGCCGAGGGACGCGATGATGTTCGGCTGGATATCCGCCACGACCGTGGTGTCAAGGGCGAACAGAAACACACAGGAAAGGATGGCGCCAACGGTCAAAGCCCATTTGATACCGCGAATCTGGCGCTGTTCCTCAGGTCCTGTCTGGTCTGTGGCATCTACTGCGTTTTCGGCGCTGGTGGTGGTACTATCGGCGGGTAAGGCTGGCTGGGAGTTCCCTGTGGTAGAGCTGCTGGGAGCGTCGACGGGTTTTTCTTGGCTGCTCATCTTGACGTTTGCGCTGATGCAGCGCAGCAAAGATAGCCGCTGATGTGTTCTGCAAGCGTCGGAAGGGAGCTGAAGAATCAAAGACTAACAGTACTGAAGTGAGGTGAACAGAACATGGATACTTGATGAGAGTTGGAAGACAAGTCCCAGGAGGCGTTTTAACCATGATCAAAACTAGGGGAATGTCATTGGTGTACAATACATATTTTCCATTCCTATGACGCTCTCGAATTCTGATTTCTAATGGCACAATGATCAGGTTCCCGCAATATCTTACTCCAATAGCAGCGATTGCGTTGCGCGCCAAGCCATGTTAATAGCCGCACGGAGCCTCTGCGCATGGCGACCCTTAGATACGAACCCCTTTTCAAATCCCTATGATGAGAAATCCATACAAATAAAGAACAATACGTTTTGGCGGTATTCGATTTGGAGAGAATCAGTAGCAGATGTGGGTTCGTCACAAGACGCATCACGGCCTTACTGAGCTGTGTGTTAGAGGCCAACTGGGCCATTTGCTGCACAGTAACTCGGAGAGCCAAGAAAGAAGGGTTCAGCTTATTTCGCTAATGCAATCGACTGACAATCCCGGTTCCGCAACCTTGGCAAACGACTAAATCGTCGGCAGGGTGGGATTGGGTGGATCTGGAGATCCCAGTCCACAAAAGCAACATGTTGTGTCTAGGCGTCTGACAAATGCGGACTGAAGCCTACCTTTCGGGGTCCATATCGGGATAGGCGTCATGCAATTGACTGACCTTGCATTGCAATCCACTGACCTTACCTATGAGGGTTGACCGGGTACTTATGGATCCTTTCCACCGTAGCATTCCGGCGTTGGCCGGCTGTTTAGACGGCTAGGTATTCCGGAGGAACCACAAAAGATCGGTCTCAAGATTCTCACCGGCCGAGACTGTCTGATTGTCTCCAGTCCGAAGTATACCCCGAGCCGGTGCAGATCTATTAGGCCGCATATTCTGGGATCAGACGGGAGCGAACATGTCCGCAGCTTTTCGGCGGCAAGGAGGGAGTGAAACGCTGCGATAGATGCCGAGGAGGAGACAACAATGACCAACTAGATGATACGACGGAGGCGTTTCAGTTGTCACTCTAGGTAAGTCGGGATCCTATCCCGGACTGGAGCCTCAGCTTTGTCCCGATGGATGTCATGAGCGTCAAAGGTCGCCCTGCAAGGCATTTCTGGCAGATACATTATATACCATCTTATCCAAATGCGCCGGTGGAAATCTTTCGATCTCAAATGCATGCCTCCAAATTCTCTTTAGCTGACGAAGACTTTCCTCACTATCAATTGACTGATCTTGCACCATGGTTCATACTCTGTCAACCGCCTCCCTTCACCGAGTTAAGGACTGGGTTGTTGTGGGTAAGTGACGACCATTTGAGCCTGATAATCACTCTTGACGCTAAGCCGACAAACCAGTAACGGGTGGAGGCACCGGAATCGGACTGAGTACGATCGCAACTTCTCGAGACCTCCTGAGACATCGTGGAAGCGGCACTCGCGCAGCCATGCGTCCTGTCACACGCCAGCACAGTTGGCCCGCTAACGTCTTTATCAAGTGTACGCCCAAACCCTGGCAACAAATGGAGCCAAAGTTTACATCGCCGGCCGACGTCAAGAAGTGTTGGAAAAGAGTGCCCGTATCCACGGATCTCCAGACAAGGTTGGCCCTGATGGGGGTCAAATTATCCCTTTCCACCTAGACGTCACCGATAAGGACAGCATCAAGAGGGCAGTGGATCATGTAGCTGAGATTGAGGGCTACGTCAACCTGTAAGTCGATCTTGCTCCGGCCAGATGTATGAATCCAAAGATTCAGAGAGGAACTGACAAAATGGACAGGCTAGTGAACAACGCTGGAGTCTGGACAACCAAACCAGAAGCAGGGCCGGAAGATGGACCCGATAAGTTCGGCAGTTCCATGTTTGAGCAGTCCATTGATCTTTGGCAGAAAGGTATAACAAAATCCAGAAATCTTGGAGGTTTGAAAATCATTCAGCTGACTTTTCTGTGAATCAAAAGCCTTCCTCATTAATGCGACGTCGATTTACTTTGTGACCGCCGCGTTCCTCCCACTCCTAGCCAAGTCTGTTCATAGCCCCATCGGGAAGCTGGGTAGTGTCATCAACACAACCTCGAACAGTGCACAACTACGAATGTACTTAGCATTCCCCCATTTACCAAGCTCACATTGCGGACATATACTAACACTATCAAGGTCCGAAGGTTCACAGCTTGCCTACAACGTAAGTTTACAAACACATTGACACCAATCCTCAGAGCTGACAGAACACCTAGGTTAGCAAGGCTGCGTCTCTACACATGACCCGTCAACTAGCCTTCGATTTCAGTCACGAGAACATCAAAGTCCGCGTAAATGGAATTGCACCAGGTGAGAAGACGTGATCAAAACGCGATCAGTTTGCAACACCGAGAAATTGGACATTCATGGCTAACAAGACTACTCAGGGTGGTTTCCCTCCGAGATGACGACTGGATCATCCAACGAAGAGAACGAGAGTATGGCGCAAGAGGATACAACATTTCAAAAAGAAATGGTCGACATCGGTGCCAGAGTCCCGCCTGGGCGTATGGGTAGGGCGGAGGATCTCGCAAGCGTGAGTTGAGAGAAGGACCATTTTTCCATATCCGGCTGACGAACTTACTAGGGACTTCTCACTCTGGCCACGAATGAATACATATGGGGCACGAACCTTGTGATCGATGGTGGCATTTTGCAGAGTGTGGCCGGTGACATATGAACACGTGCCTTTTTGGTGGACGGTTTTACAGCGGAATCGTTCTGCCTGGGAATGAATGATCTAGAGAAGGCCTTTGCGATCGGCTATGACCCTGACAATTCTGCGAGAAATATTGTCCCGAGTGCACCGAGGTAGTCAGTATGGCTCCAAGATGTAGAGGCCAAATCACCTCCCAAAACCTGGGATTCCCAAAACTCGTGTATGCAGAAAAGATGTTCGTTCTCGACGGATGTTTTAAAATCCAAACACTTTTTCATATGTCACTCGAAGCTAGCAGTATCACCGTCGTCACAAAAAAGGCTACAAAATGGCTCAACGGGATAGAAAGCGCGAGAGATACTCACGACGTCGATGTGGTCGCCAGACTAGTAAGAATGTACTTTGTTCTTCGCCGCAAAGCTAAGACTCTGTTTGTGCGAAAGATGGATGTGACGGCAAGAATGGAAGGCCGGGTTGAGCGACTGGAGATGGTCTAGATTTTGCAAAACGGCGGTCACCATCTCACACGGGATCTCTCTGATAAAAGGCATTGACAGCTCTCGAAGTAACTGGAAAGTTGCAGAAGGAATGAACATGGGGCTAATGGACGTTTGTAGGACGAGCACAGCTGACAGCTGACGACATAAGATTTGGCTCTTGCCTCTATAAGACACAAGCTTGATAAGTTTGGTGAAGAATTCGTCGCACACCATAACTTTGAGTCGACATAAGTTGTGTGAGATACTCTTCGCGTTAGTAACAGGCACTGATGAGAGATCCAGATCGTTGAGCCGCGGGTTGAGGGCCACTGTTGGTCCATCTCAAGCAGACAGCACCGCCACATTAGGTATCCATACATGCGGTGCATCCACCTTCATCTGCAGGAATTACTGGGTGTTGTTCGCTTCCAATCACATCGAAATGATCACATGACAGACTCATGCAGGCATTGCCGCCGAATACCCCTCCAGTGTCAGCACCGCCCCGCTCAACATCCCTCTGAAATCTTCCGGTCTCATGAATCCGATTTCAATTTCACACGCCCATCTGTATCTGGATGCTCATATTCCTCATCTTCTTTTCAAGGTCTAGAGAATTATGGCGGCCGAGAGTGTAGGCTTGGCGGCCTCGGTTGGCGGTCTCGTATCGTTGGGCTTGCAAATCGCCGGTGGCATTCTCAAGTACGTCGACGCCTTTGAGAGCCGCCAGGATGACCTCGAATTCGTCAGAACCAACAGTGAAGCACTCAAAGCAACTTTGCGGGTCATTGAGACATGGGCAAACTCACCAGGGCAGGGTCCAGAGGCCATCGCTGCGGCGACGAGAAGCATGCAGCTGTTCGAGATGGAGCTCTGCAATGTCAAAGCATTGCATGACGAGCTTGCTGATCTCGACGGTCCGGATTGGACATCTCGACTAGCCAATAAGAAGAAGAAGCTGACATATGCATTCAGCCGGCCAAAGATTCAGGGTCTTGGTCAGCGATTGCAAAAGGCTACCAACGCTTTGCAACTTACTCTGAATGGCTTGGGCCTGTAAGTTCCCGGATAGAATTTCGTGGTGTGTTGAATCCTGACATCTGAAAAGGCAGACTCTGAGGCATCATACAGACAGAATGGTGGCAGTAGAGACGTCTTCTCAGGCTGTTGCCTCTCAAACAGTACTCATTCGCTCGGAGATAGCGGCTGTCCAAATGCCCATGGCCGTTATGAACGACCGTTTGCATTCACTGCAAGGCGGTGTTAATGCTGCTACTCAGCTTCTGGTTTCCCAGTATGAGTTACTCTCAGATCAAATTGGAGAAAGCAACGACAATGGTCATGAAACAAAAGACCTTATGCAGCAAATGATACGCCTCCAGCTGAAGCAAGAGGAGGAAACGAACAAGAGGCATCAAGAGCTTGCCGAAAGATTTGCTGGTTTCATTGATCAAGTACAGCAAAGCTACCAGCCAAGTCTCACTAGAAAAGCTGCATCTTGCAAGCTAGCTGGCGAGCCGGCCTTTCTGAAGGAAATGAATGATGCGATCCGACCATTGCAGCAATTTAGTGGTCAGACCACGACGCCAGACATGCCAGTTCATGCCTCACATATTAGTCCCGGGCCCCCATTCTCTCTTCGGGGCCACGATTCGGTAACGTGGCGAGCTTGTACTTGTCCTCGTCTACAGAATGTGAAGGAGAGGCGGAGGTTCGGGCTTGAATGGGAAACAACATCACACTGGCCAGATTGTCCAATGGCAGGAACCAACACTAAGAAGCAAGTCACACTGAACTTTAGGTACAACACCATCTCTCGCATTCTCAAGAAAGCTATCCATGCCTCTTTCGCGTGGACATGTGGGGCCGGGGGCTTTAGTATCAGCCCGAGCTTCAACTGCAATCCCACTGTGGATATCAGTTGTGACCCAGCATTTCGCATTATGGCTTTGCTATATCATGGGCTCGAAGACTACCAGTCATCAGCCCGGGAGCTGGAAACCTTTGCAATCGGCTGTATGAGGAAGTTAGCCAAACTTCTTAACAGCGGAAAGGCGTATCCGACAGCCGTGACTATCTACAACGAGAGTTTGATGCACCGTGCCGTTGATAACGTAGGTATCTGAATGCGTTTCAAAGTGTTCTTCAGCGCTAATCAAGTTACAGTTCTATGTAGCGCAGATGAACCGTCCGTATTACGATGCAGAGTCAAATTTGGCAAATATCCTCATTGAACTCATTCAAATGTTGCTTTCGTACGGTGTTGCGGCATTCACTTATGACACACTCGGTTAGCATGGCCATTTTCGAATACAAAGAGTCGCTAATAAGCCGCAGAATGTTCTCCGCTAGCAAGAGTCCAACCGTTTATACTTGAGCAGGAACCGGTCCAGGCGCTCGTAAACATCCTGATGCAGGCGGACTCAGAAAGCCGTCTGGCGTTCTCGGATGTCTCTACCATGTACAACACCATGGGGTGGGTCCGTCTCACAGTGGGTGTAAGGCGGCAATATCGAGTCTCCTCTGATTTCGCAGAAGGTAAGATATACGATTGTCGACATTGGCGTTCTTCCTAACACTAAACAGCTTTCGGATGTGGCCTTCTGAGCCTGGCCGTGATTAATAATGACGTCGAGGAGGTTCATCGTATCCTCCACTGCGCCCCAGGGACGATAACAGAGAAAGACAAATACGGGCAAACTCCGCTTCATCTGGCAGCTTTATGGTCAAACCCGGACATCTTGGAAGTTCTCCTGCAAAGTGCGGATCAAAACGATGGTCTTCTCCGACAACGTGACACCGGCGGCCTTACGGCATTTGAAGCTGCAATCTTACACAGCTCGGAAAGTTGCACCTGCAATACAGATGATATCGACGGCGAATGCACCAGCTGTTCCTCCATAGACCTATGGATCGACACTGAGTGTGGCATTCGGATGCATAACTTGGCCCAAAGCGATCATGCACCCAAATTGTGGCGTATCTTATCAACTGCTTCTCAAGCTGCGCGGCATAAATACGTCTCGTTGATGAAGAAGAGGTGGAATTCTATAAGACGAAACGCACAATCAAGTTCGCATACTTCACCAAGCTGTTGTGGGCTAAAAGTGGTATGCAAGTCCACTGCGGTTCAACGAAGAAGTACGCTATGGACGCAACACGACGAATGTCAGCCCACGTCTGAGATTTCCGAAGACATGGGCTGGATCTTCAACGAAATTTCAGATTCAAAGCTCGCAGAATTGTTCTATTGTCATGGTTTCCAACCGACTCGATCATGCCTGACTGACTTACGAGGCAGCTATGAATTGGGCTATCGTGAACATGAAATGAATCCAGCTTATTTGGACTGGCTGGTCTCTCATGGCGTCGATTTAGGCTTTCGATTATCTAGTGGACCTCCACTACTCGAGGATTCTACAACTGTTGGGTTGGTTGGCGCGCACTTTGCTTTCTTTTTCATGTGCCTCGATCTAAACGCTGATCAAAAGTACAACCTTGTGCTGGAGAGTCTTGTTCCTTGGACGACATCCAATGTGGATCTCCTTGCAACAGTTTTGCGCCGGAATTTCACAGATGGATGCTCATGCTACTGCACAGAAGAGGGTTGCAGTCCATTTACGTGGATGATGAAAGGGGAAATATCCATGAGGGAGAAATACAGTCGCCAACAACGGCGTGCTGGTGAATATGCCAATGCCTTGGCATCTCATTACAGTCGATGTGGCTCAGAGATGACGATGCTTACCTACAAATCAGCCATCAGATACGCGACATTTATTGGGTTGAATTTGAGTCACACTTGTTGTGATGCAGAGGCTATATGCGTGTTCGGGGACGATTGGGCTGAGAGAGACGATGTGGATATTATAAATGACGAGCAAAACACGCTTCTGGAGAAACTGGAAGAGCTTATTATGGAATTTGAGGACAAGGCACTTGAATTCTTGGACACAGAGTTGAATGAGCAATGTTCATTCTCTCAATTCTGGCCTACGTATTGGCTACGTCGGATGGGTGAGGAAGTAGATAAGTTGGAGGGTGCAGATCTGTCAGAAGCAGAAAGGGAAGTTAACAGAAAGGCTGCAGAAGAAATCGGGGCCCGATTGGTGGACAATCGGGAAGATACGAAGAGGGTAAATCCTTATGACCGGGAGATTGATCTGAGGTACTGGCTCTACGAGCTGGATCAAATCTCACCAGAGTATAACGAGCCGTGGCCAGAAGCGGGACATCGAGTTTCGGAGTTACCTTAGAGCCTGTAAGTTAGCTCTGTTATGTCTCTGATCCTGGTGCGGGAGCTCAGCTTAAGCCCGAGATCCACATGGAGAGAATTCTGTTCATCGAGAACGATGCACCCAGTCAGTCCGAGTAGTTGTTGAAGAAGGGTCAATAGCATGAGAAACTATTTGTTACGAATCTCACATTTCTGAACGTCTACCAAGAAGTGAAACCACAGACCCCCTCGTAATCTTGAAGATTCACAATTTGCTTCAATAACATGGACAAGCCACGTCCTCATACGTCAGGGTAACCGGAAGGTATTGAAAGACCGCGGTGTCGGGCCTCCTATGCCAAGAAGGAGTGAACCTCGAACTTTCGTCATACGATCCACCCCCATTCAAAAGGAAAGTGGGAACCCGAATTGACATCTCGAATCTTTGCACGCCAATATTATCAATGATCGAACAGGAGAATCCGTTGGAACACGGGTCAGAGTCCTTGGCGCATCTGGCGTATTGACGCTGAGGCCAGACGCCTTGGTTCGACCACAAGAACAATACCTCGCCCCAATCGTTGGCGTAGGCATTAGTACCCGGTGTGCCAAGAATGTACGCTTGGGGCCCTGGGTATACGGTGGAAACAAGGTGTCCTTGTGTAGTCAGATAGAATATTTCGTTGGTGCCGTACTGGGAGTCGGGCTCTAGCCACCCGCTGTTCTGCCATGTCGGTGCCCAGCGGATGTACCTGCCCTCCGTCCAAGGATGACCATGAATCTTGAGTTTGAAGCACTTGTTCACGGTGGATGGCGGACAGGCAGTTTCCGTGGCAACGGTTGCGGCGGTAGCTGTCGCAATGCCGAGGTAGCGTATGAAGGTGGACGTAGACGTGACAGTCACGAACGGGGCTTGCTGATTTCGTGTAACAGTGCCAGTTACGGTGACCGTTCCGGCCGTTGCAGTTGTCGTGGCTGTGTAGGTGAGAGTTGTTGTACCGGTCGCGATTTGCTTGCATGCGAAGGAGATCTTAGTTGCGTCCCAGTTTCTCACCAAGTCGGGCGGGGGAACAGCGCGCTTGTCTACGCCGTCCGCTGTTGTCGTGGGTGTATTGTCTGAATCTCGCTTGTAGTTCAAGTACAAGAAGTTCACGGCTTTTGAGGTGTCCGTGACTGTCGTCGTTTGTGCAGCGAACGTCCGTGTGAAGTAACTGTCGAGACTTACACTCTTATGCTCGGTAACCGTCGCGGTGCTGAAGACAGTGGTGGTCACAAACGTCGTAGTCGTGGTGGGGACGGTGGATGTCTGAGTGGTGTAGGTGAAAGTCGAGGGCGGTCTGTAATTGATGTACTCCGTGCAGAAGGCCTGGCCAACCCGCCTCAGTGATGCCAGCTCATCGGGCGACGGGGTGATTCCTGGCACAAGCAAGCATTGCTTGGCGCTTCCCGCTGTTCCGGAGAACAGCACTGCGCTTCTTCCGGTACCAAAGCCGATAGTGTTGGCGCTGTAAACGTAATTGTTGACGGCCAGCTGGTTTGCCGGGCAGCTCGATGTGGTAGTGAAGGAGTATGTGGATTCGATACCAGCAACTGTCTGATCTGTGATGAACGGTTTGAGCTTGATCATGTCATAAATGTCGATCTCGATTTTGATGACCCATCGTATGAAAGGCTTCAGCTTGACCGCAGAACCCTGCCGGAACGAGGGAAAGGTGAACTCGACAGACGGCTTCCAGTTCCTCTGCGTCGTCACCCTGCTCTGGAGAATGTTTACGGTGGCGGCGGCATTAGACCAAGTGAAGCGAGCTCCGCCTGTGATGTCGACGCTTGAGTCTGTGGAGTACTCGATCCCGATACTGTAGAGGACTGCGGGGTTGATCCGGAACGCACCATCCATCTTGATAGGGCCAAGGTCCACCGGGTTGTAGTTGTGATTCCATATGCCGTCCCACGGCCCGTCTGACTGAAGCCGAACAACGGCATTCGCAACACCGGACATTCCGGGCGTAACGTCAGCTTGCTGAATTTGGACTACGCCGTTGGTGATGACTACAATGATCTTGCCGATGAATGAGATGGAGGATATTGAGAAGCCACAGTTGACACAAGACAAGACTTTGTTGCCTCCACCGTATTTCACAGCCTGTGAAATTGTTGGGTAGGTGATCAACCATGAGTAATTGAAGTCGTATGTCATCGTCTTGGTGACGACGTACGTGACGGTTTGACAGCCTCCAAAAAGACACTTGATCGCGTCGCGGGAATCGTAGATTGACTTCCCGGCGCACACCACACCAAGAAGGTCGCCCCCAGGAATGAGACCAACCAGCTCTCCCACAGTGTCGTCGCAAGCAATGTCCCAGCCATCAACCGCGCGTGCTTCCAGTCTTTTGTTGAGCCAGTCAGCCAGACGGTGAGCACGAAGTGCAGGCGTGTCTTGAGGATCATCACGTTGGTCCAGTCCCAGTAGCATTCGCCGGACAATTGTTGCGTTGGAGCTGGGCGGACAAACGTTTGCAGCAATTTGGTTCAGACCTTCGGTCGCCTTGGATGCCAAGTCTGCAGGCCTGCTGAGTCCGGCTTCTGTGAAGCCGTCCTCGGCTGCTTGCTGCCCAGCCAAATCATCTGGATTGTAGGGCGCGGCTGGGAGATCGCTACCCTTCAGGACCGGGACATGATAGGCGATGTTGTTGTTCTCGACTCTGATGCTATTGAGGAAGTAGTTGTATAGCTCCCTCGCAGCCGGCGTCAGGTCCTCTAGTCTTTCTGGAGGAGGTCGGTAACCAGTTGGACTGGCAGTGGCCGAGGTCGACGAAGTCGCAGACGACTCAGTCGATGAAGTCAAAGATGAAGTCTCAGTCGACGAAATTAAAGACGAAGTTCCAGTCGATGAAATCAAAGACGAGGTCTCAGTCGATGAAACCAAAGACGAAGTTTCAGTCAGCGAGGGTGAGAGCGAAGACTCGCTCGGTGAGATTGATGATGACTGTTCCGATAATGTAGCTGAAACCGATGATGTAGTCAGTGAATTTAATGGCGCCGAAGTGGTTGGCGAGGGGGACGACGGTCCAGGAGACGAGGATGACGAAGGAGATGGTTCCACGGGGGAACTAGAGGATTGGCCAGTTGAAGACGCCGAGAAAGACTGGCCAGCTGGGACAGAAGAGACCAACGGGCCCGAAGGTCCAGGCGTTGCCGAAACAACACATAACGAATCGGGCACAGGAAGTGGAAATGACACTGAAGAAACCCCAGCGGCCGTCGAGGTGAAGCTCTTTCCACTAATGCCGTCCCGCTTGCCATAGAGAAGCGTGATCCTGTTCGCAACCTCAACCATCTTTCGCTCCCTAGCGAGAACTGTGAGAGATGTGGATGTTGCAGGCGAGTTCTTTGTCGAATCAAATTCCCAGAACCCTCGAGCTGTGTTGAGGTTGCAGCCAGTATTGCTTTGGGTGATGAGAACCAAGCCGGGTGACTGGCTCAAGATCAAAGCAAATCTCGACGCGTCGTCGGGAGTGAGGAAATCCAGCGTAAGTTCCGAGGGCTCTGAGGTCGTGCTATTTCTGCAGACGACGGAAGTGACGCGGTTTGAGTTTTCAAGTAAAATCCCTGCAGAGTTCAAAGACAGCTCGATCTGCATCACACGATCCCCAGGAACCTCGACATAGTTGAGAAAGACGGTGTTGACGGCGTTAAGTCTGTCCGCCGATGTCCTATCAATATCAATGTCTTGCGAGGGTACGAACAAAGTCGATGCTTGCGGGGCGCACGGCGTTTCGAAGCTCGGAGTGGCTGATGAGGTTGGCGTTCCCGAACTGCTCTCGGGAGTGGAAAGTGGAGCCGTGCCTGTCTGACTGACGCCAGATGAGATGACAGGCTGTGACAGAGATGACAGCTCTGGGCTGATAGATGTTGTTTGAAGACTTGAAATAGGCGTGACCAACTGGCTGGAGGAAGGGCCAATGACGAGTTGAGTTGAAGAGCTGCCACGAATGCTGGGGACGACTGCGGAGACAATCTGTTTGTTCTGGCATTGCTCGGCTGTTGTTGCGATTTAGTTTCATGTAGCATAAAATGTTTTCTCGGTGCAGCTTACCCCCATAGACCACGATAACGGCCGGCTCACAGTTTTGTGGAGAAGATGCAAAATTGAGCAAAACCTCTCTGGTATTGCTATCTTGACAAAACGTTGCTTGTCCACCAGGAAGAGACGCGTTGACGAACTCAAGGACCCCGTTAATGCGTGTGAAACGGGTCGTTATGGCGCCCGGGGGTGGTGAACCGCCCCTGAGGAGCGGCTTCAAAGTCTCGCCAGGAGAATAATGAACAGGAAAGCCTTGGATGAGTAGTTCTCCGGACAGTAGAACAAATTGGGTGGCAAGGTCGCAAGTGTCCGGTTTCTCGCTGGTCTCGGTGCTAAGAAAGCCAGTGGTGTCTCTCTTCTTTTGGTTGCCACTGGATGAGAGGACAAAGAAGATAACTGGCCCTTCACCTGGAGCAAATGTGGGCGAAGCTGACGCTGAGATTCCGGATGATGTAGAAGTTATGCCGGCTGAGGATAGGCTTGGGGTTGCGACAGACGAAGGAGCTACCCCAGTCGATAGACCAGGAGATGACGCGGAGAAGGATGGTGAAGAGAATCCCGATAGACCCGAAAGCGTTGCGCCCGAGCTAAGAGATGATGGTGAGGGGCCAGTGATCGTTGGTGATATGAGTATGCTACCTGCAGAAGTGAAGGGGCTGGTAGAAGCTTGTGCGGGAAATTCAGAGCCAGGGCCCGACGTGGGTGAACGAGATTCGGAGGGTATGAGCGAGTTGATAAGACTGGAAGCAAGAGGATCGGAGGGCATTGGCATAGGCGCCGTCGTTGTGGGAATTCTCGAGGAAGACGTACTGAAGCCCACAGTATTGGTGAAAGACGGAGATGTGGTGTTCAAAAATGTGAAGCTGAGACTGGGAGAACTGCGCGTGGACAATGAGGAGGACACCGTTGGAGGACTCGCTGTAGGGTTCGCTGTAGGGTTCGCTGTAGGGTTCGCTGTAGGGTTCGCTGTAGGGTTCGCTGTAGGGTTCGCTGTAGGATTTCCGCTCGAAGAGTCCCTGGGGCTCGAGATCAAAGGTGCCGAGACATCTAGCGCGAGAGAACTCGCTGATGTCGACGTGGAAACCCCCGCCGGTGACCCTGCTGCGGTTCCAGTTGGTGAACCTACCGCCGATGCTGTTGGCGACCCTGCCGCTGATGCCGGTGGTGATCCCGCCGGCACCCCCGCCGACGTCCCCGCCGATGTTCCCGCCGATGTCCCCGCCAGTGAAGACGGAGACACGCCGCCGTTCGAGGTTGGAGCTGGATCAGCGGTTCCAGTGGGGAAAAGTGGTGGGTTGACCGTTAAGTAGAAGCGCACTGGCACATCGCTAGCTTGCCGTCGGACTGGTGGGCTAGCGCCATTGGCGCCAATGGCCACAAGCAAAGCGAAGGCGAGGACCTCTCGCCTCATGTTGGTGCTCAGAGCAGGTGTTCGAAGGGACCGTTAGTTTTGAAAGCTTAATGTGATGAGCACACGAGTAGATATGTGGGTTTATGGTCAGAGTCCACTCAAATACTAGTGTTGTGGGTAGTTTTCTCCTCACTCGAGTCTCAGTCAAAGTCCTTCAGCTCTTGGCGTAAGTAAGTAGAGGAATGCACAGGAAATTTTTGACAGCAGCCAAGCTCAGATGACTTGCAAGGGAGAACAACCGCGAATTTTGGCTGTTGAAGGAGAAGGATGTTTCAGTTAGGGGAAGTGACGAGGCTTGTTCTGGCATGTATATTCTTTCCTTGAATGTTTATCTTGACACATCAACGTCAATCTGATACCAATCACCACACCTCACCTCTCTAGCGCCATCGCCATGCCGGCCTTGCTGCCGTAAGGGAGTGTGGTCGGTCGGGCCGAGGGTTTTCTCAGCTTCTGTCTTGGAATTTACTTTGTTCCAAATATAAAAACACTTGTTTACGTCTGTGTTATTGGCCTACGATGACTCGGTCGTACGGGTTTCAGGCTATGTTCTAATGCTTAGCTTCGCAACATAGATGTCGAAATCCACCTTCATCCGGATTTTGATATCAATAAGTGTATGTGCATAGATAACGTCTCGCTTGGAACCGAAATCATGTTGAGTAATCAATTGCAAGCGAAATATATAGATTCTAGGCGGATAGGGTCTGCGACGTCTAACTCCGGCTGCCGGTGTGGGGCCGACCTCCGATCGGTGTCAAAGCTCCGTCTCCGAACTGTCACGGACCGGCGTCTCATGGATTGTGACTACACATGTGGTGAAAACAAACGAGCAGTTACTCAAGTGTATATATACGCTTGCTTCAATACGTCAATCAAGTATAGCACGCCAATTGCGCAGATTGCTCGCCCTATTCGTTAGTTTAAACGAGCTAGATCTTCACGGTAACTTTCCCATCACGCATCACTTACCAGAAAGTTCCAGCATCCAAGCTTGTCATTCAATGAGAAACCTATGTTGACTGAATCAAACCCGGAGGACTCGTCATTTAACGATCTGTATCAATAGCGCTTCATGCTCCTAGAGGGTTATCTGCCGACGGCTGCGCCTCCTGTATACCTGCCGAGGGACGGCAGTGGAAGGCATCCAGCTCTGGTACGGAATCTGTCGCGCGTCTTCGTCACAATGCAATACGCACCTAAGCTTGCGGCGACTCATGCCAGCAACGACGGGAGGCCCCTTCATTGCGGCCCGGGCATCCCCTTCCACCCACGGTATTACTAAAGTCCGAGGCGCCACGCCGTGACCCCCGCCCGGCCCATCCCGTCCCTGGGCGCCACGGACCTTTTTCTGCCTATTTTATTAGCTTGACCGCCCTGAAAAGGTTCCCAAAATTGACGGCTGATTGTGTAATACCCCAGTGCACTAGGTCACTGACAACACACTTTCTGCGCGAGTACGCAAAAGCGTTCTCCTTCACCATTCCGTGAGCGTCGCTCTTCTCCCTATTTATTCCGTTTAGGAGCCTAGCCATGAGTCAACAACTGGAAGCCTGCCATAACTGTAGGCGCAGTCGCTTGAAATGTGATCGATCCTTTCCCCACTGCCTCAAATGCACCGGGAAGGGTCGTAGTTGTCTAGGCTATGGCACTCTGTTGCGGTGGGAGACTGGTATGGCGAGTCGTGGAAAAATGACTGGCGTTACATCCGACAACATAAGGGACATCCAGAAGAGGGACATGACTTCGGACCTACAAGCGCCATGTCTTTCTAACGTGCCTACAAGGCATCCCCAATTCGCAAGTCCTAGGCCGAGCTTTCCTCATTCGTTACCTCGTTCGTTGATGGACCCGCCTACGCAAGATCTAGACTATCGGTCGAGGAGATATATGGACTATTGTATGCTACCTCCCTCCGCTAGACTGCTCTTCATACTAACGGTTTCTGGTGAAAGTTGCGAGTATTGTTTGTAGGGACCTCGTTCTTTACGACATCCCCAACCATAATCTATTCCGTGACCTGATCCCGATGGCGCATCAGCATTCCGTCCTAATGCAGACGATCATTGCTAGTTCAGCTTTGCATATGTCCAACGCTTGTCAACAGTCATCAGGGTCTTATAGTGGTTTCACAACGATAGCCTCGACTCAAAGCTGCACAAGCACACTGGACCCTCTATCGATCGGTCCATGTATGACATCTCGCCCAGAGGCTTTACATGACGCGCTCAAGGCCAAGCAGCAAGCACTCTGTCTGCTGAACTCTGCCCTCAAAGACATGGCTTCAGCGGATGTTGATGTGATTCTCGCGGTAGTGTTGCTCCTCATCGGGTTCGAGCTCATCGACTCTGGACGAGGCGGCTGGGTATTTCACATCAATGGTGCGAGAGACATTATTGAGAAACTAGTAGCATCCGCCCTAGCGACGGAAACTACTTTTAGCCCGCTTCGTCGCTGGCTGGTGTCAAACTGCTTGGTGTAAGTCATCTTATCCAGTAATTGATGACCTCTGACTTGACATTTTCTAGGTATGATCTTCTTGGGTCGTCCTTCGCAAACTCATACCTACCGCATGCTGGCGGGATATCGACGACTACCATGTCACTGCTTCAAGATGCAGAAGGCAATCATTGTTCGTCATTTCCGGCAGCCCTCCTTCCGTTGATACATGCAGGGGCTCGACTATTACATACGGACGACACTTGCACGGATCCGGACTCCTTGACCAATTCAGGACAGCACGATGCGCTTCATCTCTTAGAGACCGCCAAGTTATTCGACCCGGCTGTCTGGGCTGTCGATTTACAGCCACGCTCACCGGCTGACGATCTTTTCCATCGTATGGAAATCGCCGCTGCGCACAGGGCAGCTGTGTGCGTTTACCTCTCGCGGGTTATTCTTCTTCGATGGCCCAAAACAGTATTGCAGGATGATCCTGAAAGTCTTGCAACCGAAATAATCACTCACCTCTCACATTTCCACCGCGGAGATGCGTTATTCACAGCGACGGCGTGGCCGGCTTTCATTGCTGGCCTGGAAACGGTTGACCTTACGAATCGTGCTTGGATAGTTGTAAGGTTCCGAGAGCTCTGGGAAATAGAGCCCTGGGGACTTACAAGAGAAGCTCTCGGAACATTGAGTGCAATGTGGGAACGGAGGAAGAATGCGGATGCTGTAAAGAGCAGCAATGGCCGACACCGCAAACAGGAAGAGAATTGGAATTGGATCGACAATCTGAAGGACATGGGCACCGACTGGCTGATTGCATGATTGTAAGGCGTTCCCGGATGCCCACCATGGTGGTGGTAGATATCTATTGCTAGTCTATTGACTCCTCCAACCATCAGAATAATCACCGGGCAATCTGGACCAATTGAAGACTCTTTCGTCTAGCAATAATCCGTAGGCAGAGGCCTACGTGTCATATCTTTAATCTCTCAGAGTATCCACCCTGTTGGGTGATTGTCTTCGCTGCTCAGTCATTGCCTCTTCCAACAATTCAGCCTTCTCATCCGCGGTTAAATCACCAGTGGCCTTAGGTACCTTGCCCCAGATTGTCAGAATGCACAAGCTCGCAGCTGCAAGACCCACTCCAAACCAAAACGTGTTCTTGTAGCTCTTTCCCAATCCTGCCTCGTCTACTGTTGCTGATTGGATATTGTCCGCCAGGCCGAGGACGAACGCCACACCCAGCTGCAACACAGAATTGATCACACTCCCAGCCAGCCCCTGCTGCGCTGTAGGAAACGTCGTGGTGACGAATACTGTCATCAAGATCGTGGACAGATCAATTCCCACGGTGCTCAATATGACTGCGGGGAAAACCCAAGCCCAATAACTTGCTCCAAGCGGAATCAGAGCTATAAGAAGCTGTGACCCCACTGCTCCCAGGCCAGAAATGATCAAGAGCACACGTCCTGGAACGAGGTGCAAGATCAAGCCTTCGATGACGCTGAGAATGAGGCCTGCAAGACCGAGAGGCACATACCACGCTACCACCTGCAAGGGACTGGCAGACATGATGTTCTGGAAATAGAGGGTGCCATATACAGAAAAGATGCCCCAGGTGCCGTAAAGCAGGAAGAGAGCCAAAAGAAGAGGGCTCATACAAGGAGTCGTGAAGATCGAAGCCGGTAGGAGAGGCTGAGCAGCGACGCGCACTTCAACGTAGCCTGCAACAAGAAGTGACAAGACACCAAGTATGAGACACACTGGAAGAAATGGCCGCCGCCAACCTGCAGGGTCGTGTGCTGATTGTAAGATGCTTAACACAACCAGGATGAGGCCACAGATGATTGTGATGGCACCGCCGTAGTCCATCTTGGCTTTGCTTGGGGTTTGGTCGTTTGAACGAAGACGTGGAACAGACAAAACTGAGGTTAACAGCGTAATTGCCGTTAGGATGGCTCCGACCCAGAAGTAAAAGCCCCAGCGGTTGAATTGGCCCACGACTCCTGCCGTGAGAATGCCACCGAAAAACCCAAACACCCCTGAAGTGCCGTATACTGCAAAGACAATATTCTTTCGTGGCCCAGGACGGTACAACGACCCCATGATCATGACTCCAGTGGGTAGGAATGCCGCAGCTCCTAGCCCTTGTAGAGCCCGACAGAAGTCGAGCATCAGTGGATTGATGCTGAACCCGGCTATTATACTCCAGACAAGAAGCCAGGCAAGACCCGATATGAAGATAGGATATCCCCCCCACATATCGCCCAGACGGCCAAAGACGAGCAAGGTGCTAGCAATGACGAGGGAGAAGACGGTCGCTGGCCAGACACTGGCTGCGTGTGACATGTTGAGTTCGGTGATAAGTGTGGGGAGGATAACGGTGAAGCCCGAGACGAAGTATTCCGTCAAGAACTGGGACATGGAGATGCTGAAGACGAAAATTATCTCCTTCCCGCGGGTTGTAAATATCGTGGGGCGCTCGCGGCTGAGGCGTTCGATTCGTGCTTGGAGGGATTCGTCCGCATTGCAATAGAGATTCGGTGGGTTGTCGTTTGGTGAAGAGATTCCACCTTGAGCTAGACGCATGGGGCTACATTCTCTCGACAGTGAGTTCGGTGCTGCTGAGGGATTGTTGAAAGCCTGCTGAGGCGGCGATGAAGGTAAAGATGGGTGTGTCATGATCAAATATCGGCCATTGAATATGTAGAGACGAGTAACGAAACGAGGACAAGGTCTGAAAAGGCTTGGGCAGAATATCTTAAATACGGTTTTCTTTCGTGCAAAATCATTTTTACGTTTGTAATCAGAACACATCATTATGGAGATGCAAAATTCTGGAAACTTGAGGTTGGTGTAATGATATTCTGAGGTGATGTTATGCTCACAATCGCCAACAACTAATACGCCGCGCAACACAACGCAAGCAACCCCTTGCACTTGAGGTTTGAAAGTAGCCTATTGCAGCCCACCGCTGAAAGCTAACACATCGCTTATGCACGACTTGCGTCTTGGCTGCCTATTTGAGGCTAGCGATAGCCGATCTGCCAGCATCTTGATTGGATTGAGATCCATCCAGAACACGCTAAGATCTATCCACATCCTTGTCACATCCGAACTTACACCCTTCAACAACATCAAATTGATTGACAACACACTATCTAGCACAAGTGTTTCCAGATTTTTCTCAACGATGGAATAGAAAGCAAACTGACTCTTCCCTCAATCTGATTACCAATTACCAGTCTGTAGTGAGTTAAGCATTTGTCAGCCGAGATTCAGGCTTGTTCAGGTTTCCATGAAGCTCGATTTCATTGTGCTGCTCTCGGACCGGTGCCTATAAATCATGAACTGCGGTCATTGCGGTAGCTACATAATTTGCGCCATTCAACATTCAACGTCTTTTATGGAAAGTTCATTCCTCCTACGTCCCTCACAATGTCACCTCTGATACATTGTGTCCGTCATGGACAGGGCTTTCACAACATTGGGGCCGGAAACTACACTCTTTCTGATCCTCATCTGACTCCCTTGGGTGAGGAGCAAAGCATGACTTTGCGTACAACGGCCTTCTCAGATCAGTCAAAAATATCCTTAGTTTTCGCTTCTCCGCTTTGCCGAACACTTCGATCTGCTCATCTAGTGTTTCAACCAGCCCTCACGATGAGCAACAAGTGTCACCCTGAGATCGTCGCTCTCCCTGACGTTCAGGAAACCTCGGATGACCCTTGCGACATTGGAACCAATCCATCAGTTCTCGGCGAGGTGGTAGGCGAGATGAAGTGGCCGGTCAACCTTTCTCTTGTCGAGGACGGCTGGAGCGTAAAGGCCTTGGGAACTCGCTACAGCCCAGAGCATTGCGCCATCGCAGCCCGCGCCCGCGACGCCCGTATATTCATCCGACAGAAGATCCGAAAACTCATCGAAGAAGGCGACAAGAACCCTCAAGTTGCCCTCGTAACGCACGGGAGTTTCCTGCACTACTTCACCGAGGATTGGGAGGACTCATGGTTGAACCATGGGACCGGATGGAGGAACTGCGAGACTCGGACCTATACTTTCAAGCATGACGTGATGGATGATACGGATATGGAGGCCAGCCTCACTGAGACGATGGATAGCCGACTAGGGAGGGGAAAGAGCGATCATATGCCGACTGGGGAAGAGCAGGTGGTGCTATTTGAGCAGGCGATGGACAATTGGGAGAAACAGGGGCTGCAAAGACCCGACAGAATAGGACTGGGTCACAAAACGAGCGTGCTTGATTGATACAATGCTATTGTTACGACTCGTATGCAAGAATAACAGCTGAATAATCCACTTAGGCATCAGGCAATTAGCATAGCACATACATTTATACTACAGTATCCAGGAATGATAGGGGGTCTCTTGAAAACGAAAGAACTGTAGTACAAGGGACGTGTTTATAAGATAGCGAGAATTGGTAAGGAGTGCAGACAAAACAAGTGCTAATCAAAATCACCTGCAAATGAAGGCTTTTGATCCTTAAGAAATAAAGAAACTATTCAAGGTTCATATCGCATCTTGACTCAGTGAAAAGCTATCTGGGGCTGCCAAGAAGACGGATTTATGGTGGAGTGAAATTCGAGAAAAAGTATGATCTATTGTCTGATACAACTTTACAACGATAGATCTACTCTGTATTGAAACGTAGGCCTGCGGAATTGGCTTGGTTGGAAAAATTCAGAACCAGACTCCGTAATCTCAGAGGTTGAGCAGAGACTACATGAAGAGATCGTCTAGAGTCTTCCTCCTCCAGTAGACCAGGATTACTCATTTTACCACGCAGGCCAGCCGGGGGCAGGGTTTCCCTCTCCTGTGCAATTTGCGACGAGGAGCGGTCCAGTCGTGTTCTGCGGCACTTGATTGCCGGGCGCATCGACCACCCTGATACCGAAGCCTCCTGGTCCGCCAGCGTTCGCGTAGAAAATTCGGAAAGGGATGTACTTGGACAAGCCATCAAAGGGCTCGACTTCGAATCTGTACGGTGCAGGTGTTCCACAGCAGCGGCCCGCGATGTTGCTGTTTCTGGCTTCGAAGTTGTCCGACTCAGCATTATCGCCGACCCACGCAAGAATGACGTCGTCCGGAGTTTCTGGGACGACGGAGTAGGCTCCTGGTGATGTAACTTCGATATAGCCGCGGTGATGAATGACGTTGCACTCAAAGGTCGAGCCCGCACGACCTGAGACGCCATAGTATTGGATCGGACGACTTGCTGCGGCGCCGCTTTGTCGGAAGCCAATTCGTCCAGATGAGGGCGTCAGACCTGTTGCGTCTGGGATGCGGTCTTGGAAGATTTGCTGGAGGTTGATGGTTCGGGATGGGTTCGAGTAGATGGTTTGGCAGACTTCAGTGTCTCGTTCAAAGGCGTAGATGGCGAACTCGAGGCCTGGGGTGCACTGAGGGAGGCTCACGACAGAAGAGGAGCTGGGTGTGGCGGAAGACTCTGTGGTGCTTGACGGTGAATCGCTGGGCTTAGATGTGGATGTTATGGAGCTTGAGGGCTCTGGGGTGGTCTTGCTTGCAAGATCTGAGGTACTGGATAACGTTTCTGTGCTCGAAGGAGAGGCCTCAAAAGAAGACGGGACGATAGTGCTGATGGAGGAGCTGGAAGGCTCCTCCGTACTCGTGACAACAGGCTCGTCGGAAGAAGATGGAATCGAGATTGTGATAGACGCGCTGGTACTGATGGTTGATTGAGAGAACGGCGCCGTAATAGTAGTAGCCTTGATGCCCTCAATACATTGACAAGCAGACCAATATGCGGTAACGTCTGGACAGCTACTCGCATAAACCGGTTTCGTGCCTGTAATTACAGGTACAGGCGAGTCCTGGCGACGAACATGGACATTTCTGCCGGTTACCGGCCTTATTTGAAGAGTTAGTCGCCGTCGTATTGGGAAGATACAGAGGTGGCAACTTACTGAGGCGAACCGGTCACATAAGTCGTAACGAAGGCTGCGCACAGGGAAGACCTAGAGGCCAGAGGCGGACTAGCTCGGGCAGTGCCGGCGACCTGACGTCCGCAGTTATTGTTGCAAATAGCAGCCAAGCCCAGTGCAGGAAGCAACAAGACAATGTTTGCAAAGTTGTAAGTCTTCATGTTCAAAGACGGGAGAAAGAAAAGTAATAAATTTGGATCAAACTCTGAGTATGTTGGTGAAGAACTTGAAGCACATCAAGTTCCTTCTCCCGAAGTCCATCTATTTATACGATTCTTCAGATGTGACTATCTCAACGCGGTCTTCTCAAACACCCTTACCCGGTGGTTCATTATGTTGGGTAAGTGAGATCATGGCAGGTGTCTTAGGAAATGGTTAAGCGAGGATGTTACGCGTGGTTTTGGAGTTGAAATGCGAGGAATTTGCTCGGATTCGCCGCGAATTTGGAAAGCTGAGCTGAGCTGAGCTGAAGAGAAATGGCAAAGTCTTAGAATTCTAGCTACTATTAGTCAGTGATCATTTCACCTTGTTTCTCCCTGTGAAAGCAGTTTCATAGACTCGTTCCCAAGATGCTTCATGGTTATAACGGCGCAATATTTGATCATTTTTATAGCACCGAGCGCTTTCAGCAATAAAACTTTGAAGGGGCTCAATATTCTATTGTGATTTAGAGATGCAGAATGAATGAGTGCGATATTACAGTTCAAATGGAGCCTTTTCTAGCCACTTTACGACGACGAGACGGTTGAACCGCAGAGGAAAGCGACTATTGAAGCCATCATACCAGCTAAAGAGGGTCTGGGGCTACGTAGGAATGTGAATTTGCCTCCGCTGTTTGAGATTGATCGGAATTTGACTCAAGTCTCAGATCCATCAAACCACGTTGGGTCACATTCAGCGAGAGTGCTCAGACCTTTCGAGGAAATAACATGATCCCTATGAGCTGGGAAAGCAAATTCCTACAATGTCTAGCAATAACAACACTGGCTGAGCTCTCGTCATGTCACCAATAGCTTATTCTATTACGGGTGAGATGAGGCTTTTAAGCAGTTTACGTACGTAGCTAGGGTCAATTGGGCAATATTTCGGTTGCGTTTTCTGTTATTTGATGATATGCAGAACATTTCAACGTTTTGAAAGACGTTTCTACTAGAATAGTATTTGTGGACGTTCAATACTGAAGCGGCTTCAAGCGAGAAGAATACAAGTAAAACGTAGATCACACCTCAGGTTTCTTACCGGGTTAACAGTTTGTCTTTTGGGCTCAGTCTTGTGCCGAGTTGCATGAAGGCTTACTGGGGTTGCATAACATGATAGATGTGGCATCAGGAACAGATAATCATCATGCCCAAACTTCATGTTGACTGGAGTTGTCGTCTTAAGACATGTAATGCTCAAACATTGTTGACCCTTTGTATAAAATACATTTGCATGCGAGCTTCAACACGGGACCGTCATCCTCGGTGTCCTCGACAAGCTTGAGCGGCTTGCACCTGCCGTGCACCTTCTCGTCGCTGCCCTTACAGTCGCTGTTTTCACTGTTATCGTCGTAGTCGGAGGATGATTACTCCTCATATACCTATCGGGCCTTTTCAATCCGCCAGTATGATTTGAGCCAGTTAACTATTTCTTCACGATCTTAACACGTCTCTATCCAGAGGAAGCGTAATGTGATATATGAATGAGAATGCTCTATTTGCTAGGATCCCTCAACATTCATGTCAAGCATCACGAACCCATGATGTGCGCTTAAAGCTTTGACTAAATTGAGCGACCGGAACCAACGTCTAAGCTAGATTATCCAATGCAGAGAATGTTGAAACACAAGGGTGATGGCTGGAGTCTGTCGTGCAATGTAAAACCTCACGACTTCGCACGACCAAGAAGCTTAAGGCGATGCGTCTTTTGAAGCGGGCTTCTGACCGTAAACCACGTGTCTGCGATAGAATGGTCAGTAAACCTCAATGCATGGAATATGAGACAATGTGAGAGGACTTACATATCAAACAACGCATGAAAAGCGTTACTCCTCAGTTCTTTTCGCACCGCCGCAAGTTGTACTAGGACCTCTTCTCTCGACTTACCAAGCACCCCACAGAAAAGCTTTAAGGAGAAGCCTTCTAAACCTTCCAATATTTGCGCCAGGTTCAGCAAGCCAATGTCCTTGTAATGCTTCTGCTTCGCCCACGGACCAATGGGGACCTTGAACTTCTGGTGCATAACCTGGCTGAACCCGCCATGCCCTCTGACCCAGCCATCAAGCTGTGGTCCCGGGGTGGGATCTCTTCCGATGTCTTTCAATGTGCGGACGAAAGTCTGGTTCCAGCTGTGTGTGGAATGATCAGGCGTGTAAGAACCATCGTCTGAGTAGTATTCAACGCTCATGTCCTGGAATTCTGCCCAGCCCCCCGGATTGAGATTTCTGAATGCCGGGATTAGACCTCTCATCCAGCATAAGATCATGAAGAGCAAGAGGGAAAAATCATACTCGTAAACATTTTTCACCAGTTTCGGCCAGTCGCCGATGGATGCGGCCATGTATCTACACATGATGTAGTCGTACTTTTGGCTGACCCAGGGACTTTCAACATCGTCAATCTCAAACTTGACGTTTGGAGGAACCCTGTCGAAAAGCTTCAGCGACGTCAACCATGTGTAGGACGGTAAACATACCAGGTAGGCTGAATTGGGCTCAAATCGTTCCCAATAATCTATTTCTACATTCAGTGGCTGCGTGTCTTGACACCAGGAAGGCGAGACGAAGTGAACTAACCTCTGCGTTAGGAAACATTTCACTTGCGTCGAAAGCCCCTAAGCAAAGTGATTCTGGTAAGAGAATGAACCGCAGAAAAGACATTCAGCCAAACGCTACTCACAGATCCCAGTGCCAGTACCGATATCGAGAATGCGGTGGACCTTTTGGGGCTCTACTGGCGCCAAAAACAGCTTGTTGCCGATTACTCGAGTGATGAGGGCGTGAGCCATATCAAGCCGATCCGATTCCATTTCATCGTTCGGCAGAACATAGGCTATGATTTCAAGTCTGTCAACACAGGCGACGGTCTGGCATAATCGTTTGCACGTTATTGTGACAGCATGAAACTTACAGCCAGAACGATATGCATGGTATCGTCTCCCGTACTCCATAGGATAATCAAGGATGCTAGACGTCAATGAAGACGTGTAGCTTGATCTGTAGTCATTACTATTGTTACTGCGGACTCAAGTGCGAAGTTGATGGATGTTTACATACATTCGATCATCAATTGATGTAGTGTCGTCGGCCTTATCTGATGGTTAGCGACATCCTATCATGAGACTGATGGTGGACGAACTGTTTCTCCCTCATCAGCTTCAAGAGGTTCCTCCCCGGTTGTCACATCCTGTGACGAGGAACCGGCAGCATTCATGACCGTTGAGGGGCCATCGACCGATGCCTCAGTCTTTTCTTTGTGAAGAGATCCCGCGGTTGGGCTGTTGGACGAGGTGGCTTTAGCGTTCAGGATGGGGGCGGTTTCCTGTGCCGAAGTGGCTTGCTGCTCGGAAGTCTCAGCCATTGCTGCGTAAGAGAACAAGTTGTTTCTCGAGTGTTTGGGGATAGAGTATTGAACACGCAGATCTCCATGGGAGCATTCGGATCAAAACGCGGACAGCAATGGGATTGCAAAGCGAGTTTTGTAAGACGATCGCTCTCTTCCATTTGGCGTTTTGGTTCCTTTGCCATCAGCGGGGCGGTGGGCTGAAAGGTCTCAGACGCATTCGGACGCATATCAACTCTAGGCGGAAAGCCTCTCACATGCGCGGGAAAAATGACTGGAATTCGGGACCGGCCTTCGGGAACCTTGTCAAGCCGAGAAACCCAAGACAAAGGCGTTCCGTCAGCCACAGGTTGCAATCTACAGTAACAATGTAAGCGTCGAAAACATTTTATTCGTTTAGATTTTCCGGCCACGACAGGTTTGGTTCAACCATATCAATTTCTTGGGTTCTGGCAACACCAGAGAAGTACAAAATAACATGAAGAGCACATGAGTATTGAATCCCGACATGCTTGGTATGTATCATGGTCGTATAAGTGTGCAACTTCCATCCTTACTATTTAAAGAACAAAGATTATCAATCCCGCTGTTGTATCCACGCTGCATATATTCGTATACATGATTCGTCCCTTTAGATTTGATGATGTCCCCCTTGATGCTGATTGGACTCTGGCCGCGATCTTCCTAATTGACGCGTAACTGATTGATGTATTCGGACTCAGGGGCAAAATCCCTCAGACGAGCTGGGGTTGATGATTCCCAAATCGATGAATGCCTCATAATTCCAATAGTCGCTTTGCGTGCCCTGGCCATCGACAGGAGCATCTCCTGAAAACTTGGCGGTCCAATATGTGCTTCCTTGAGTGTACTTGGACCAAACATTCAGCCCATTGTTCAGGTTTTTGGCCCGGCTGGCGAAGGTATTGTTGCTAACAGCCTGAATCGACCATTCTCCGATGAAGACCGGGAATTTCCCATCCCCGACTGAACCCTTTGCGTCCTCGCACATGAAGCTGGGAAGGTTCTCTGATGTGGTTGGCCGGCCCGCGAAGTAGTAGTGATGGGCGTCGATAACGAGGTTCTGATCAGCGGTAAAGTACGGTGACCAGAAAGTCTCGGGACGAAAGCCGCCTTGAAACATAACAGGAATCTTTGCGTTTACTGCACGAACCCGAGTAAGCACCCCATTGATGTACTTGGCTACCCAAGAAGCTCCATTCTCGCTAAGAGCCTCAGGGGTACCGAACTTTGAGAAATCACGGTTATCGACCGGCTCGTTGATGGGTGCAATGGTGTACGACTCCGGAGATCCTGAAGTCTGGATGTATTGGATTACAGCATCGACTGCGCGATAAGAGTAGTCCAAAGCGGTGTTGTTGTTGAACCAGCCGTAGTTGCCATCCTTCTCGCCGATGCCAAGGCCGTTCACCCCGCCCGGTAGGGAGTGAATATCAATGACGACGTGCATGTTGTACTTTGTGATGGCGTAGGTTGAAATTGTCTTCAGGAACTGGACCTGATTGCCGGTGTACAGCTGTGATCCGGGAACTTTGATCCAGGCAGCGTAGTTCGTAGGGATGCGCAAGATGGTGACTCCGGCCTTGGCGAGTTTATCGATGTCGGCGGGACGGATGAATGTCGCATACCTCCGTTCCAAGACCGGGCCGCATTGAGCGCCTAGTCGGACACAGAAGCCCCACTCGTCAGTAGTATTGCCGCCATACTCGTCCCAAAACGGTGCATCAAGAACTGCTTCTTGGACGAGCCAGCCTCCAAGGTTCACTCCTGTGGCCTTGAAGGTCTTCCAGTCGACATAAGCAGCAGCTTGTGCAATTCTCATGAAAGAGCCGATAGCCCAAAAAAGACTGAGAGATCGCATGGTGCGCACGGTGATGGAATAAATACAGTAAGATAAGCTTCGGAAGCGATTTGGGTAGCACCAGAGTGAAGGCCTGGGATCCCAAGAAGAGGCTGCGAAAGATGTGAGGTCGTTGACGATTGAAATAATTGTGTTTATTCATGGAAAAGCATGTTGCTTTTGTACTCGGCGAACACCACACAGCGAAGAAGGTGAAAACCCTGATATCCCTTCACGAAGATGGTAGTCCCCAACATGCACCTTAGACCCGTCGCTCCGCTGTCACTTAACCCGAACTGCGATTGTACCATGGTCCTAGAGGTGTACAGGATGCGGTGAATCTACTACGTCAAGTACCATCGACCATGTCACATCACACACGTGCCGTGTGCTTGAATTTAGCTTGCGGGGCCCCGCATACAGTCATCCCCAGAATATGCACGGGGAAGTCATGCTCCGCATTTCCCACAGAAATGGTTCAACCATTCTCCTGAGAAAAGCTCATGCAGGGGTATGGAAGCCGTTGTGAGATTGATAGAATGATGAATGATTGTCTCAGCAGACACTCTATGTATGAATTGCGCAGACATTGAGAACGATCAAAATGGCACGTTCTACTGAGATAGGGGCACAGAAAAAGTGTGATAATAGCCCATGGCTTGAAGACCTGATACATTGAAATAGAAGACACCGCAAAAAACGTAGTAGAAAGCCAAGATTCATGTCTCGTGAAAATGCACACCGGTACATCAAAATTGGATGCGCCCAGGAAGAAAATGCCTCTCGTGTTCAATGACCCGGCCAGATGTGCTGTCGTCCGGCAAGTGGGGTCGGATAGCGGCAACTTCTGCACATCTTACCCATCATTTCATCCACTTTCCGCCGATGTGGGACGGGATGGCTCGGCCGCCACCGGAACACCATAGCAGTACCATCGGCAGATGACCAAGATTGAAGCTTGGATCCATCACGCCCATGCCGAGGCTACATACGATACTCACGTCGATGGATACAACAAGGCTTGCGCCTCTTCGTTCTACTTCCACTTTTTGCTTGGCTTAACTGTACTTGACATTACTCAATGCTTCATCTCGGGTCAATGAGAAGCGAACAGTAGTAAAGCCGGCGGCCTGCTAGTCTCATTGCTCGATGTGTACTCGCTGGGTATAGCGAGATGTCAATGCAGTCCATAAAATAAGGGTTGCTGCATTGTAATGAGCGGCGATTCGCAGCTGTTGCCACCTTTCACAAGCAGCGAAAGCAACTGCTTTGGATAAATCATGTCGACATCATATATCATACAATCATAGGACCATTATATTGGCTTATAATACCCGATAGGTTGTTGGCAGGTGCCACGAAACGTTCACGATAGTGACGGTATGAACTACAAAGGCTTTTTAATACTCATCTACATAGACTCATTCATCTCATAGCGTTGATTATTGCAGAGCCACCAAGCTCCGAACATGGATATTTACAGTGGCTCAACTTGTAGTGCATATCAACTTTCTACCGCTGACTTCAAATCCGAGAGTGCTCCTTCGTATATCAAGCTGAGATTTGACACATACGAATTAAGAGCCACTTGTTGGTTATTATTGACACGCCTTTTCCTAGTTCTTGTGTCTGCTACCTCCAATTTGCGTCGCGATGCACGCCTCGATTTCGAAGAGCTCGAGCTTCCACTGCTCTTAGCGTTAATCGTCTTCGGCAAAACTTGGCGCGTTTCTGTCGGTAGATCTGGCGACAGCGCCGATGGGGTTCGGAATTGTTTCGCCGGAATTTCAGGAGACGAATTGATAGTTCCAGCTTTGCAACTTTGTTGAACCAGTGGCGACGAGTAGACGTGAGAGATGGGCTCCAAATACTCTTGTGAGTGTGTCTCGGTGCTGAGTTGAGGAGGCTCCACATTGCCTTGACACAAGATGTGCTCAAGTGACATTACCGATAGTGTTCTCGATCGTTTAGATGCTGATTTTCGCGGCAAACCACTCAACTCCTGAGCTCCGTGCAAGTGGCCACTTTTATCAACACCTCCTTCTTCGCGGACACGGGGAACATCGTGGTGGTCCAAATTCTGATACATCGATAAGCAATTGCGTTGATGGTATGTGCTGCTTATCCTGATTCTGTCAGCAATATGTAGGGTAGGAGCGGACTACCTCTTACCGAAGTCTTAAAGTTGGTGCAAGAGTGCGTTGCCATGACTTGAGTCTCTAGAAGACGGGCTTGCTCCTCTCTGGATCGACGTTTGGAGGCGCACAAAATAAACTCGAGTTGTCTGCATATCACCCACGAAGGACGATGAGATTTCGTCAAAAATGACAGAAAAAGTTTGCCTGAGCGCTCCTTTGGGATGATTGGCAGAGTCAGAGCGTATTCGGTCTGAGTGGCTGGAAATAGTATGCTCGGCCGTTGGTTTCCATATTCGTCCCCATCGCAATTAACCACTTTCGCTGGCAGCACTGCAGCTGGAACAAGGATCAGCGACAAGTGGAGAAAAAGGTCGATGTCTGTTTTCAACAGGCCCAGTCAGGAGTATTGTATTTGAAAGCGAAGTTGCCTCGTCATTTCAGGCCGACGCAAAGAAACTAGCTTTATTGTACAGTTGCACAAGTCTAGGTGGTACGCGCTCTTGTATGGCAGAATTAGACATGGTCCCGATGAAGCGGAAAAGTGAGGCAATGACGAAATCCCCGAGATCGAACCAAGATTCAACCCCTGAATCATACCCTGGCAATGTTCATTTGCTCAGCCCCCTTGTGGAGGTCTCCAGTAGATACACCCCGCCTGAACAGCAACAGGACAATCTCGGATTTTGGAAACCAGGGTGAGTTCTAAAGCAAACGTCGTTCGGGCGTCCATACCAGCAGTCAAAAGAAACACTCAGCTATGCGTCAGCATCCTCTGAGATCGGATTATCATGCTTTGAGTCTCTCAGCTTCCCACATGCATGAACAAGCTGGACCAGTGTCTTTGTTCCTGTGTAGACGTCATGTCACGCTTTGTGAGATTTGGTTCGACTGTTGTATGCCTCAAGCGTTGTCAAGTGATGAAAAAATACGACTTCGAAATTCATAGGATGATCGGAAGTGCGAATGAGTCAGATTCAATTCTCACTATATGACGATTACCTGAGTAAAGGCTATTGAAATCCTGTGCTAATAGTGCCTGGAGTTAGCCACGGTTAGACAGGTACATGTCTCTTGCTCTTTGGCGCTATGCATGCTTGGACTTCCCAAGTACTACTGAGGGTAAAGGACAATAGCCCGAACCTCAAAGCTTTCCCTCGGGGGCATGTGCTCCTGGTCTGGATCAGTAAATGCCGCATGAAGAACTCTTCGAGCTGTCTCTCTATTATCAACTGAATCGAAACATTTGAAAATGAGTGCTTCATTCGGCTGCTGGGCAAACTTGAAGTGCCATCGATGAGTCGCGCTCGGCTTCGAGGCCCAGCTTTCTTCATGGTAGTCTCCAGCTATGACAGGAAGTGCGACAAGATCCGATTCGGGTACCGATCGAGCATCAGTTACCGCGAAAGGATCTTTGTAGATGGTTTTTAGAGGACGCCATACCTACGTGCGGTGGGTTGCATTAGTAACATGAAAAGGTTTGCGAAGGGGGAGATATCATGGTCAATTCATGCTGCATAGGGACATACGTTGATAATCTGGAATCTCCGGTTCGCGACCACATCTTCTGCAAAATTCCGGTCCTTGAGTCGCGTCATAAGTACTCTTCTTGCGCCCTCATACGACTGATCGCAATGAACGGACTTGACCGGTCTGTTCATTGTCGGGTCATCGGGGACATCATTGACTGGTCCCCGTGCAGCATAATCGAAGAAGTGCACGAAAGAGGCCCCGGTTCTGCATGTGTTGACTTAACGTCAGCCGTTTCGTATGCCTATTTTCAGAGGGAGCTATGCATACACTTCCTTCAGAAGTGCTTCAACTTCAGGGAAATAGTCTGTCCGAATACGTTCTTCGTCAAGAAAGATATCCTTGTTGCAGGAAGTTGTGTGATGGACAAATTGAAATCCGTGGCAGTCCAGTGTGTATCTTGATATGTTCCTACTGACATCGGTCACGATAGTTGGTTGCGCTATGAGAGTCTTTCGATTGCCCGGGATGCCGAGTAAATTTTCCCTGTATTTGAATCAATATATCTACATACAAGTTTCATCGGCGGACATCGAGTCAAACGCGGTGATCTTGTCGGGTAACTCACCGTTCCTTAGGGTCCTTTGGAAACGTGATTGGGTCATTGTAGCCAGGGGATGATGTGTCAAGATACGAGAACGATGTTAAAACATTGTGATCACGATGCTTATTCAAGGTCAAGGTACCAGTCTGAGGAACATTTGATTGCCTTAAAATAGCAGCCATGCTCGCGAAAACCGATGTCTCAACCGATGTGACACGTATTCCCTGATGAGTGATGCTTCACGGTCAAACCCATCTGGACGGATAATGGGAGAGTGCGGGTTTATGTACGACATGGATGTGGATTACCTACCCCAAACAGTCCCCGCTCGATGATTGATGTTTCTGACTGAACCTGTCGTTGATTGGACCAAGCTCTCTCGGGCAACCGATGGCCGCTGAGTCTGATCTTTCGCTAGGTTTATCGTCTCGGGGAACCCCCTGCATCATTTGGACAATATCCTCCGTTAAAGGATTCGTGAAGAGCGGAATCCGATTGCAGCGTACAACTTACGATTAATCTCGGAATTTTACTCGCCGTAACATAAAGTCACGGACCACGCGATGTTTGATCTACCTTGCGGTCTAAGATTTCAACAATCATGTTGTTGATTGTACGAAAGCTCTCTCTAGAATACGCTGGTAATGTATTAATTCTAATCATCAATTAGTTAATGATATGGCTTGTAGCTAGTAGCTAATCGAAGTTAGTATCGGACACATTGTGTCATCAGATTTGGCTCTTGTTGAGGAGCTGTTTATTGCTCATATAAGCCGTGAATTAAGTTGAAGCTGTAATAAGTCGCAACAGAACCGCGCGATCCGCGGCAAAGACCAGCAGAATGCATAACACCACCAATAGACTGTGTAGATCCTCGTTGCATGTGGCCAGTTTCGTTGGCATACTGAAATAAATCCATGACAAAATATGCCTCAAGTCTGCTGGAGTTTTTGCGTCTAAAACCGAAGCCGACTGGACATGTCAAATCCGAGCGGATCCTAAAGCCATAGACCCTACCTCGCTGGCCATGCGATTGAAGATGCAATTCTACTATAACTATCAGAAATCATCAGTTTTTGAAAGTGCAAGATAAAGCGTCCTCATATTTGTCTCTTCTTCCGTTCTCCGTCTGGTACGGGTATTACATCTTCATCCTCAGCCCCCCTTGTTGAACTTAACACCTCAGTCGTGTTGAAGTTTATCCAGTCTTTCTGCTTTTTCTCATCGGTAAATCATACAATGAAGTTCCTAGCTCTTTTCATGGCTGCTCTAGCCGGAGTCGGTTTGTGTGCCTATCAATGTTCACCAGTATTATGTATCTCGGACTGACCATAATAATTAGTCTCCGCGAAATCCTGCGCCGGCGGCAAGGGTTTCTGCGACGGAGCTAACCATTGCCAAGATGGCTCTGGTGCTGTAAGCCCGAACGTTGACCCTGAGTGCCTAGCTTGATCCCAGTCTGGCCTGTACATATGGAGGAACTGCAGCCAAGAATCATGGACTCATGTCAGTGGATATCAGTCCAAAAGATCGATCTTTCCGTTACTCTTGTCACGAAATCAGTCACGCAAGGTCACGTGGATGTGAGCCTGCTCAAATCAGCTTCACAGTTTATTCTTCGTTATAAATGAGGCAGAGCTACGCATCTACATATTTACAGAAGAACTCATTAGGAACCACTCTCATTCTGGTGTAATCCGAATTCATGGTGCGCCTGAAGACCTCTGAGACTTCCTGAAAGCCGCAACATGTACCTCGCGTGTGACTTCCAACTAAGCCTGAATTTTCCGAATGTTGTTGTGTTCAAGCTGTGTCACATCGCCTTGCTTGGGCTCATTGTTGACAGATGAATTCTCGATGTCGGCGCGCTTCGTCTGTATGTCTTCTTGGAAGCCAAAAAGGTGGTTCATGGCCTCCAATGAGATCCCTTTGGTTTCAGGGATGAAGAACCAAACAAACGCAGTCATGAGAAAACACCAGCCGCAGAAGAAGATGTACGTCCCGAAGCCGCCGGTTCCCATTGTCTCCAACATCGGAGGTACTGCTCGAGAGACCACGAAGTTGAATAGCCATTGGGTCGCGGCAGCATAGGAGACGTTGGTTGCACGAAGGCGCGTGGTGGCGATTTCGGAGACGTAGATCCAACAACATGGGCCCCAGCCGAACTGGAACATGCAGGCGAAGAGAAAGACGCAGACAAGAGCAACGTATCCGGCAGCCGAGACCTGTCCGCCCTCCTGCTCTCCTGGCTTGGCCACGGCAATGAAAACACCAACATACAGCATAGTCAAGCCCTGGCCAATGCCAGTCCACAGAAGAGACTTGCGCCGACCTAGAGAGTCGGCAACAAAGACAAGAAAGACTGCAACTGCGATCAACTTAACCAGGCCGTAGATACCAGTTGCGAAGAGCTCGTTCTCTGTGCCGTCGACACCGAGTGTGGCGAAGATTTGGGGTGCGTAGTAGTTGATGGCATTTGTACCTGGAAACGCTTAGCATGACATTAGAGCTTGGACAGATACTGAGTAGATTACCCGTCATCTGCTGAAAGAACATGAGCAGAATGGATATGATCGCACGCTTCCGGTTGGCGGGAATCAGCCACATCTCCTTCTGCAAGCTGACCCAACTGGTGCCGTCAAGGATAGCGTTCTCTTCCTCAATAGAAGACCGGATAGCCGCGAATTCATCAGCGACGTAGGGGTGGTCGGGTGGCAGAGCACGGATTCGGGACAGCACGCTGATTGCTCCATCCCAGTCGTCTTGCTTGGCTAAGTATCGAGGTGATTCATTGCATAAGAACATGGATATCATGAGCAAAAGTGGCGGAAGTCCCTGGATAGCTAGAGGAACCATGTATCGAGCAGTTCCGTCGACATGTCGAAGACAGCCATAACTGCGAGGGCAATTAGTTTCTGACTCTTGTATTGAAAATAAGATCGTCTTACTTGATCCAGTAGGCTATAAAGATTCCGAAAACGATGAAGAGTTGATAGATTCCGGTTAAGCCACCTCTGATAGCTCGAGGAGCGTTCTCGGCAACGTAAAGTGGGTTGACCATCGATGCAAAGCCTGTACCAAATCCTGAGATGAACCTGAAGAAAGCGTAAGCATTTGTACACAGGTGGCAGTAAACCAAAGATACAGAGTATTTCGTGCTCTTACCTGCCAACATACATAGCTGCGAGGTGTCCCGAAGCAGCAGCCTGAAGAATGACGCCAATAACTGAGATACCGCCAGCAGCCCAAATCAGGACAGCACGACGACCGAACCTGTCAGCTGCTTGAGCAGCAAGAAGAGCACCAACGAAACAACCAGCCTGGAGTGTTGAAACTATGTTTGCGTTGAGGTTAGAACGTTCAAGGGGGGATATCTCAACAAGGTCATAGAGCCTAGATGCACAACGAGATTAGCTGGTAACCTTCGAAGCTTTGATGTTGCACAATGTTTGCGTTCATACTCTTGGAACTCTTCCATACGAAGTACACCGCCAATGACACCGGTGTCAATGCCAAAGATAAGCCCCCCAAAGCAAGCAGAACACGCAAGAGCATACACCCTCCATCCGTATATCTCAGGCGGGTCCTGCTTCATCGCGTCATTTTTGACGATCTTTTGGAGGAGCGAGCCTCCCATGGCCGCGGTCTGAATAAAACGTAGGGTCGAATATGGTCAGAATGTTCAGAAGGCGCAAGGGCGATTTGCCAACTCGGAAGATCCTCAAATGGCTGTGATTGCAAAGTTGGACAAAGAGGCATCCTGAAAATTTGGAGAGACTATGCAGCTTTTATAATGGCAATCTCCCTTGGATCCAATGCGATAGCCAACTCTATGGTCATGTTTTGCGTTTCCTGCAAGATGAAGTTGACATGTCACTGGCACCGCCAATTCAGCAGTTGAAAACCACACGCTGGGCAAGGCCAAGAACATTCTGGGCAGTTGAGAGCCCAGGTGATATCGATCATGAGAGGACAAGACGAAGAGTCGACGCGTAGGGCCGAGCGTTGGCATTTATTGGCTTTGGCACTTTGCTTGTTGCTGACCGTTGGCGATGGCGGGGAACGCGCCCATCCAAGGGAGTGGCCAAGGCTGACCAAGAGCCCAGGAAGAATCTCAATGGCGGAAGTGGACACTGGCGAATGCTAAGAAATCTCAACCGAAAGCCAAGATGGGCCAACTCAAGTCCACAAATCAAATAACTACCCAATTTCTTGTCCTTGTGGGCATTTCGATGTTGGACACGCCGTTTCATCAGCCCCCATACTGGGCGCTACCAATCTATTGAGATAAGAGAACCATATGAGACACATTGTAGATAGGATCCTTGAAGGGGGGAGGGGGCAATTATTGGCTAGATACAATGCTTACTGTCGAAACTAAAGTGCTGTCCATGGAAGAGACGGGCACGTTATGACCGGCATGGTAGTCCTTAGGTCGAGATGACGCTGGATATCTTTGCGGCCCAGATGGAACGCATGCGATATTGAGCCGACTTTGCTGCGTTTGACCGGCTGGGTTTGGAGCCTGTGTCGATCTGGGTGATACGAAACTGACATACCGCCAAAGTACTTATAACGTGTGAAATGAATCATGTAAATTATGACATTCATCTATTATCCCGCACCTCCTCCAGTTCGAGCAATTCCACCAGTCTATCGCGATATGTTTGGCATAGAACTTGAATCGCTTCGAGGCTTTTGCTTGATGATTACGGTAGGGCTCATTTCTTTCCAAGAAGAATTTGTTCTATCTGACCGCATAGACATGTCAGTGACAACTTTCTGGTACTGATAACGACTAGCTAGAGTACTCGAATTACTCCATAATTATTGAGAGTTCCGTGTTACTTTGCAACCAGTTGTCCAGATGAGACCATATCTTCAAGTTATGCCGATTCTCTTAGTCGGCTTCGATTGAAGAATCAGAATGGTTTGAACAATTTTGATAGTCTTTTGCTGCAGACTGGACTGGCGTTACTGCTCAACTGGTCTCAATCAACGGGACCTTCTTCATTTGCTGACCGGAACCAATTTGATGCCCGTCCATTATCCTTTGTAAGCGACGGAATTAGTAGCGTTTGGGCAGTATAAGTCGGCTTTTAAACGTGGTAACTGTCCGTGGATGAGCTCCACCCCCGAAACCTTAGGGCCATGCATAACCGCGACGTCGCTCGGCAGGGTGCCGATGGGCTGAGGATCTTGAGCAGGGAACCCTGCGCTTTCAAGCTCCCGTTTCCTTGGTTGACATTTGATCCTCTAGATTAAGTTCCGGAAGCATCTCAAGATTGGCAGGTAGTCCAGTTGATTTGCGCAATTAGATGCAACGTTTCTGTCCAACCTACGACGACGTCCCATAACGGAGCAGCAATTAGTAACAATGCTGTACGCAAGTCATGGCTTCAGATACATTTCAACAAGCAGCGCCATTCTTTTACTGGGAGCAGAAAGCACTGGCATGATATCATACGAGGGTCCATAGCAATAGACTTTCTTAGCATTGCAACACGTGGCGCAGTTTGGATGAACTCCTATCAATTGCTGTTTTCTTGGTAAGCCTTGGTTCATTAACATGAAGTTCGGCAATTGATCTTTGCGTTGTCCGTCTCAGCATATAAGTAACTCGGGCTGCATCCTCTGGCAATTCTCATTTGCAACATAACAACCAAGTTCAGACGCACTTCTGCACCAAAAGCACACTCGTTAGATCATTCGGATTAGACAGCATGCGCGCCTCCTCATTATTCGCCATAGGCCTTGCCTGGACCACGAGCGCCGCGGGTCTTCTGCCTCGTCAGGGATCGTCAGCGCCCTATTGCCCTCCTCGTTCAGCAACTCCGGAGGAACAGAGGGTGATTCTCGGGGAATTCATTCAAGCCTTCTACGAAGAAAGAAATGCCACGAAAGCTTTACTCAACCATGTTGCGGAGGACTACATCCAGCACAACCCGAACGCACTCTCCGGCCGACAGAACTCTCTCGACGTTCTTGCTCCGTTCCTATCCCCGAACACCGTCAACAACACGATCATGAACAAGGGCTTGGACAACAATATTGCGTACATCCATTACCGAATGGACCTTGTTGGAGGTGGACAGCCTTTCGCCGTCGTTGATGTCTTCAGATTCGACGGCACTTGCATTATGGAACACTGGGATGTGGCACAGCAGCGGCCTGCAAACGCGACCAACCCCATTGCAATGTTTTGATTCTGAGCGAGATGAGTGATGGCGATGCATAGCGTATGAATTCAGACGTACTACCCTGTACTTTCTTCCCTGTATCATAGACATGTCTTGTTCCAATGAGTGAAGTCCCCGTTCAAATAAATGATACACTCAAACCTTCCCTTGATGTAAAGCTTGGGTCCGTGTGGTAGCACCTCAGTTCATGAACCGACCGTCTAAATGTCGCTCTCCGAAGTTATTCTTTCAATGACCCTGTCTCGATCTCTTCGCCTCAACCTAGGTATGCATGCCAACTTTCCCACAGCTTCTATGTGTAGCAGATGTCCCCTGCGAAGGTACACGAAGACGGTGTATGCGGAGCTTGCCGTTGCTACTGCGACAACTGAAAGTAAAGACGGCCAGCGGAACTGTTCGGGTCGGAAGAAGATTATAGTAGACCCGTAAGAAACGAGCTCGAAGGCATTTTGCCATGCGGCTTCTACTGTAGAAAAAGCGCCGCGGCTCTCAGCTTCGACGTCCTAAGTGACACCGTTAGTCCCACGTTCGTATTGGGATTCAATAAGTGTTCGCAAAGTTGTGGAACTGTTACCTCTTGTACGATGATTTGAGTGCACAGATCAAAGCCTCTCAACCCAACTCGGCTTAGTATTGTTCCTCCTACAAGACCGGTTGCCGAGACCCATGGCTGATCTTGGAAGACCCAGAAAATGGCTGTTCCTGCGGCCAGCATCGACACTTGCCAGCTACTTAGCCACAAACCTGCTCTGACAGGTCCGATAAGGTCCATGAGCCAGGGCGCCACCCAAGTGGCAAGTACCTCGAAGGCAACGCTCAGCGTTCTCGCAATACCAATTTCCGTGGAAGAATAGCCGACCGAAAGCAGGTACGTGACCATCTGGCCAGCGAAACTGAGGACGGTGAGATAAAGCAAAGCTCCCGCAAAAGACGGAAGAAAGGCTCTATGGCGCACATAAAATCGCATATCCGTCAAGGACTTTCTCGCGATAGATGTAACATTCTGCCAGAACTGAGGGAATCCTCTGCTTCTCTCATGCAGCGAGCTCGGAGTAGCCTGTCCCGGAGGCAATGTGCGTTGCTTGTCTGCCTGGAGATCTGGGACGTCATGGTAGACACGGGCTATCGCATAGTACTCAAACACGACGGATGCGACGTTCATGCCGAAATTGGCAATGATGGCAACCTCGGTCGAGATCCCGTCAATTATTGCGATGAAGAGTGGACCAAGCAGTTTGCAGAGTAAGTCGATGCGGCGCATCTGAGCGTTCATAGTTCGCAGGGAAGTCGCATCGTTCGCCGCGACGACGACAACCTAGAGAAAGAGTCAGCAATCCAGATACTTTTTCGCTTGGTACATGCCGCAAGAACTTGACCTACCCAGTCCTTTTCCACAGAAACCAAGTTCATGATGGAACAAAGCTTCTCTATGCAAGCAAATAATGACGTAAGGACCAGCAATCCAACCTCAACGCGCGTACCAGACACCAGTCTAATTTTCATCACATAGAAGACAGCACATGATGCCGCGACAACGAGACGTTGAAAGACTTCTTCAGATTAGCCATGTCTCGAGACAGCTGATATTTCCGGACTTATTCACCTATGGATACTCGGACAACATTGAGGCGATTCCCAGTATCAATGTATTGTCCGATCGCCGGAGCAAGCAAGATAGCGGATAGACCACGCGCCAGTGCGTACACTGACATGGGCATCAACGTTCCCGGGAAAATTGTCGCCAAGTATAGTACGGCGCCGAACTCGAACACTCGGGAGTTCCACGTAGACAAGAAGTGCGACACATACAATCGGCGTCTGATTCTGGTAGATACCTTGGTCTCCGTTTCTGTGTCACTAGGTCGCTGAGAAGAGTTGAGCAACGGCGCCCGCTCGTCCGCGCCGCGATCTTCGTCGTTAGACATTCTGGTAGTCGTCACTGTTCCGTCGGTACTGAAGAGCTGCCGCTTCGCAGAGTCGAGAATTCGCTTGTGTGGATCTCCTTATGAGGTTGAGAAGTGATGTCTCCGATGGGTAACGCCAAATTGTATGAGCACGTAGTTCAAAGCTGGCTGCAGTCTGTTCGCGTTTCAACACATGAGACAACGAGAGGAGAAGAAGAAGACCGACCACATGAGGACGACCCAAATTTCGCGTCACCGCTGGATGGCCCAACAAACATTCCAAACACCCCTGGCAGGTTGAGATTCAGAACTCGGGGGAGGCCATTTTCCTCCGAATCGTATGCTTTCAACCGTCAAAGCCAGGGCAGGGACTAGCTCCACCTTCGCAGATGCCAGGCCAGCTCCGAGTCTCATCAGACGTTGATTGGATTCGCCAAAAGTTGCCTTGACTTCGAAATCCGTCTGTTCTGCATGTTGATGAACGTGCTCATGCGGGTCATGACACCACAGGGAGCCTGGTGTGCTCCGCTTACGTAGCTACTTTATCCCTGAACGGAACCGTTTACCTCCGATTATGTAAGTCGCAACTTAGTTCTAAGGACCCATCGGGATGCAAGCTAGCTACAACACTTGTCAACCTTCGAAAACCGAAGCCCAAGACCGCCCATCATCACGGATTCGCCCCGCCACCCTGATGTCACGTCGGCTCGGAAGAAAATACTCGGATCATGATTTCTTGGCATTGACTATGTTTTCTAGCATTTGTGTCTGCGGGGAAGTTTCTTCTCGCATTCGGCACCCGTGAAGTAACGATCCAATCAACGTTGGCCAAACGATCCGTGAAGTTTGAACGGATCCGTCTCTAAATGAGCTTGAGCGGAATGAGGTAGAACGAAATCCGAGCAGGTTTCTGATATTATCATGGTAATTTGAAGGGTGTGCAAGGTGCGCATCCACCGACATTCGTCTTCCGCCATCCCGTCAGCGTAAGCCTGCCTCCTGGCTAGGCCCATTTGGTAATCACCTTCATAACACATATGGTTAAGCCAACACGGAGAGCATTACGAAGGTGAAATTTTAGGCACAAAGTAATGACACAAGTCACCACCTAAACGAGACACATTACAAATATGGCGGAGATGTGAAATGGCTAAATCATCGGTGTACCGTGTTGGCATGATCGCGGCTGCGTCCCATGTCGACGGCGTGTCTGCGAAATAGCTGTGTTGAGGTTTTCCACATTTCGGCCATCATTGCTGCTTGTGTGATGAAGGAAAGGTCAATGACGATTCTGAGGTTTGATTCAGTGTATTTGAGCGACGTGGAATCAAACGTGGCTGTTGATTGGTCGAATGTGACCTTGTTCCATAGTTCTCAGGGTTTGAAAACGCAACTTGAGCTATCTGAATAAATCGGTGCTTGATTCCAAATACTGCCATCTCTAAGGTCACTCTCATTCAGGCAGACCACCAAAAAACATGAAGTCCAGACTCCTAGTTCACCCTTGACTTTACGTCGAGACGTTGGCCAGTCTTAGCCACATTACGGTTTGTTGCAAATCGTCTTGTCTATTTGGAGAACGTTCCGATGACCGGGTTGGATTATTCGGTTGAAGATCTCGACGGCTATGTTCAACGCTTTGGTCAGCACTTTCCAACATGAATCTTTGAGTCTTGATAGAATTCTTGACATGAGACCTTCTGAATGACTGACCAGAGCGGACAAGTAGCGGACCTGTCAACTATCCACGGGTCGATGCAGTGTTGATGGAACTCATGATCGCAAGGAAGCACGCGGATGCCATCTTCAGGAACGAAGTCTTCAGTGCAGATGCTGCAAATTCTTCCGCTTTCCGCTGACGCATGCTGAGTCTTCGACGTTGCATCTTGCATCTCGGTATCAAGACTTTTCTGACCGGAACTTCCGAATTTAACAATAGGAATCGTGTCCAACACAGCTCGTGCGATTCCATTCGCTCGAGATTGGGCTGGCTGTCCATCGTTACCCTCACGAGGTCCGTATCTTTCGGGATGTATGTAGGCCTTTATGGCTCCGATACAAATGGAGAGAATAAAGAACCCAAGAATTGAGCCCCAGATACTGCATAGAACGGTAATGATTTGTCCCTTCTGCTCATTCATATTGATTTTCCTGTAGGGGGGTCTGCCACTTCAATCTTCCAGAATTAATTCTGCAAACGTCCGAGGCAGCCATCTTAAGTCTTTCAGTCAGGGTAAATTTCAACGTCCATATGTCCTCTATCAGGCACTATGTCTAGGGAGTCATGGTGCGCTTTCCGCAGCCAGGTGTTCATCCCCACTTCACAAGAGCCCATTACGAGAGACTATCCTGTACGATGATCCAATCGGGATCCCTGATGATATGTCACCCGACTCTCAATGATCCGACCGGGCTTCTTCAACTCCGATGTTGAATGATGGGGGCGCCAAGCTTCCAGCTATTCTCGTTATTGTGAGGGTCCGGCTAAAGTTGCCAGGCGGAAGAGGGTCTGGCACGGTCCCCCTGGTCTCCCCATCTAAACCTCACAGCGGCGGGCATTCTGAGTGATGTACCGAATGCTTAAAGGGGAGCTGACTTCGAAAAGATAAAACCTAGGTCATATCCCCAGATGAGGCCTAAAATTTCACTTCCTTAACATTCCTGTCACATCAAGACTCAAGTGCAAACAACTACTCCACCAAATCTTCCACAATGGCCAGAATCTCTGCTACATGGACCCAGATTGCATCCGGCGAACGTCTTCGACGCTCGTCTCAGGCAGTATCAGTGCTGGGCAACCATGCCTACATCTTTGGTGGCGAGCTGATCGCTAGACAGCCTGTCGATAGTCAGATAGATGTTGTGGAGTTAAAGGCGGGCCAAGGTAACTGTACCGAAACTGCCAATGTTTCTCATGAATTAACATCCTCTTCCACAGATTCTGCATCTATCGAAACACTTCCTGCCTCTTCATCAGGCCCCTCCCCTCGAGTCGGATCTCCAAGCACTGTCTTAGGTGATGCATTCTACATCTTCTCCGGGCGAGGTGGCCTCGCCATGGAGCCCGTCGAGGAAAATGGCGGCTTGTGGCGTTTCACCCCCTCCGGCAACAAATGGGACTTCATTAAGGCAGAAATGAAAACTCACTCTCCCTTTCCTGCTGGACGGAGCTATCACTGCATTGCCACAGATGGGGCTGATCACATCTTTGTCCACGCTGGCTGCCCGGAGAAGGGCCGATTGGCAGACCTCTGGTCTTTCAACGTGACTTCCAAGACCTGGGTTCAGCTCCCTGATGCTCCTCTTCCCGCTCGTGGCGGTCCATCAATCGCCTACTATGATGGAAAGATCTACCGGATGAACGGATTCGATGGGAAGACTGAGCGGGGGGGTGCTGTGGACATCTTCAACTTGACCTCCCAAACTTGGTCGACATTCTCATTCGGCGCTGATGGGATTGATGGCCCTGAGGCACGCAGCGTATCGGCTGTTCTCACCATCAGTATCCAAGGCAAGGCCCATCTCGTGACCCTGTTCGGAGAGCGAGACCCGAGCTCTCTTGGCCACGCTGGCGCCGGAAAGATGCTGGAAGACGTTTGGGCCTTCGATATAGAGGGACAGACATGGTCGAAGGTTGATACGCAGGGGACCCCTCCCGCGCCCCGTGGATGGTTTGACGCTGATGCAACGCGAGATGCTGTCATTGTCCACGGTGGATTGGCCGAGGACAACTCTAGGCTGGGGGACATTTGGGAACTGAAGTTCATTTGAGTTGGTTTCAGCGGCGCTTGACGGCAGTGATATAAGGCAACACGCAAGCCATCCTCGCAGGCAGCAGCTACTAGCCTAGGTCAGCGGTTTTACTGCTTAATTATGTATTCAATCACTTGTCTACCCAGACTTTGAGTTCATCGAACAGGCAATTCCAGTCATTCTTAAGGGGTTTTCCCTCGCATGCCTCGAAGTCTTCGTACCTTGTCTTGGTTAGATGCTGGGATCCAAATCAAATTAGTTTCTCGTTGGTGTTCTTCGTTTTTGCACTACATGAAACGTGCTACAAAGGGTTTTGGTTAGCATGTGCAAGTTCTTGGCGACAGCTCCTTCTTTCATCACGGTGTAACGAGACAACAATGTTCCACACATGTCGCGCAGGGAGGAACCCGAGGAACCTACTCAATACGACTTTGTCATAGATTGGCCATATTGACCGCATCCGGTATCTCAGTGGTTGACGAAGACGTTTTCTCCCAAAGACGTCCGAAGGCGTTCCACAGACCATTTAATCACTCTCACGTTGGACTGGTTGTACAAACTGACCATTCGTGACTCACGGGAGGGGGCTTTCTGAACCAATTAAATATGCATATGTAAAGCAGCACATATAAAATGCTAGATAATCGTCTCATCTCCACAGTACTTTCTCACCGACGATTCCGACTCCTTCGGTTAACTTCCTACGGCCGTCCGCCTTGTGGTCCAAAATCGCCCTTGCCTTCTTTCCTATCTCAGAATCTGCTTTGCCAGAACGACTCCAGAGATTCGCCATGCCGGGTGAGTTGGGCTTCAAGTTGGATCCCTACCAACAGTTCGTGCCGACTCCACACATCTTCCCAGAAGGCCTACCGGAGTCATCTGTACCCCATACCTGGGGCGTCAAGGACGAGGACAAGATTCCTGAGATATGGGTCACCGTCGGTCTGGGAAATTCGCGGTCTCTGAAAGGAGGCGAAGGCAACTACCCCTCAGTATCTCTCTGGAACGAAAAGGGAGACCGCCTGGGTCAGCACGACGGCCGTTGGTCGAATCCCCTCAAACAAGGAGGACAGAAGACCATGGCGATTCAGCAGACGCAGAACGGTAAAAAGGATGAGGATCCGGGGTATATCATGCTGAGCGCAGATGACGACGCCATTTGCATCGCCATGATCCAGGTCTCCAACAGCCGACACTCTTCGGCGTTCTTTGGGGACATTGGATACGCCTGCGGTCAGACCTGGTACTACAGTTCGCGAATGATGCAGAAGCACATGACCGACTACCTGGACTCCAGATGCGTTTGGCTGGACGCTGATCACACAGGCGGGAAGAACGCCCGGGCAATGAGCTACCATCTTAGAGACATGATCCCCTCTAAGGACAAGCTCGCCCTGTACAACAAGGACGGCCACAAATATCTCTGCAACCCTACTCGTCGCTACTCGTACTGGAAGAACTTGAAGGCGAATGGCGAGATCCCCTTCTTCGATCCACCCTTGAAATATCTTCCCGATAGCGCGGACAAGAGCAGAGAAGGGACTGAAGTTGATCCTGACCTCGTTTTCGACCCCACAAACTACGACAAAGATGTGTACATCAAGCAGGGAGAGTCGAAAGAGGATTCGGAATATCACAAGAACAACCCTTTCAAGGATCGGATGAGAAAGCGACAACACCGGTTGAGCAAGCGACAAGGCTCCAACATGGATATTGAACGAATCGTGGTGACAGAGATTCCGGGGCAGACGGCCACGGAAATCTGCCAGCATCCGAACTCCGCTGGATACGACATTGTGTCTTATGAAGACATGAAGTACTGCGATCTGTCTGAGAGGAAGCTGTATGACCTATGCAGCAGCTCGAACCCAACCAACTGCTTCGATGCCAACAGCACTACCTTTGTCGGGGTCATCAATGCACGCGGCGAAGATTCGGCTCCAGTCAAGTTGTACAAGACAAAAGACTACTGGAAATGATCTTTTCGTAGGAAGCTGGGTCACTGTTTTCAATTCATTCTAAATATGGCTCTCTCTCGTATTGGATTGCTATGGCTTTCGGAGAATGGAAGCTTTTCGCAGTAACCTATCTCGCTTGCAATGAGATAATTTCTTATTCTTCCACATCTTTCGTGATCGAGTAGATTTACCAGCCACCTTGAACTTCATAGGAGTGGGCTGTTCTTTAATAGCAACATGCGCGGTGCTGAAGAAGCACATGCATAGACCGTGGCGCCTTGGCAATCTCGGCTCTGGAGAACAACTACTTTCAAGTTCCTAATGACAAGATTGCTCGATGTACGCTTCTTATGATGATGCTTGGAAGGTTGTACATGTTACGAATAGTATCGACATTAGTGAAACTGTGGCTACAAAGCTTCATGTTGCGAAATCTACATCTGCAGACGACAAGAATGTGGGTGGATTTCCCGAGAGAGACATCTCAGAGACTTGGATTTAGTGTGCAACCTTGCCCATCTTTCGCAGCAAGCATACCTCTTCAATAATCTTTCCTCAACCTGTGGTTTCATCAATGGTCCGCTTTTGTCCCAGGAAACGTGAACGTGCTGACAGGTGCAGCTTGAGAATGAGGAGTAGGCAAAAGAGGGCTCTATAGCTTCCCTCGGTCAGTCACTTCCATTTTAGGGCGAGCAATTTCTCAAAAGGATAAGTCTGATGTAACGAGAAATTAAAACACAGTCTAGATCTTTGTTTTAGGGTAAGTCAATGAAATTGGCGGTAGCTAGCTGCCATAGATGACAGGTATCCCGCCTCCGATAAATTCTACAAAGACATTCAAGTGAGGGAGTATCTCGGACACCACAGTGTTGTGTTCGAAGGATACCAAGCCACACGAGATTGAGCCCATCGAAACCCCATGATGGAATCGACATCAAGCTCCCCACCACGTTTGAAAGTTTGCCGTGGGCTGTGAGAATTTTCAAGTTGGTTAGAATGAGACACTCGTGGTACAATATCCCAATGGCACCAAGAACACGTCGAAATAAGCTATCGAAATCTGTGTGACTCTGAGCCTAGGGGTTTTGTGGGAATCCGAGCTGACGACTTGGGCTCCGGGCGGCTTCCTGCTTCCCCATTCTCTGTGGGTTCTCTCCCCTGCAGGATCCTGAGTTGAAGAATCGACGCCGGAGGTCTTGAGGACAGTCAAGTTGACGGACCGAGCGTGCTAGTACGTGGCAATGAGCATTCCGGGCCACATGGTGTCAGACCTGCTCAGGTCGGCCTGGATACATGATCCATTGGTAGCTATGTTGATCAACTCGGAATCCTCTACCTCTGGCCATTTGCGTAGATGTTTTCCTCACGCCCAGCGTCAATTTATGCCCGAAAATGGTAAAATGCCTTCAATAGTGAGGAGCCCACAGCTGCGTGCACGTTCGAGGGCGCCCAATCCACCAGATGAGACGTGAATGCGAACACTAGCGAAACCATGCATGGCCCTGTGAACTTGACTACAACAGAAGTAGTAAAGTATTCGATGAAGGGTCAAGTCCAAGCATTGCTTCCGTAAACGATTATGACTCCGTTGCTGATTTGAATTGACTCTGCTTCTGTAGACTTTACATCCTGAGGGTACTTTTCTATGTTGCGGAACACTTCATCAATTTGCCGCTCTGATGAATGGCAGACGTCGTTAAGAACAGATTGGAAGCAGCCGAAGGCCTATGCTGACCAGATACACGGAGATCGCCATGAGGCTTATTGGTTTCTAAGCTCAAGATAATATTTCGACCAACCACCTGGATGTTTTCATGTGGCTCTACGAGTGAATTCAGGGCATATCATTCTTTGCCACTAGGGATTTTGTATATGCGTTGACATACTGGCTCCCCTCTTCTCTTGGAACAATCTACTCCCCGCCCTCTAATCACCCAATCTCATTTATCAGCGTGCCCTGCCCCAACCACAGTGAGGAATCAATATACCACAGCCTTGTCTCGAAAATGTCTCCTCTCCCAAGTCGAACCCAGCACTTCAAGTATCACAAACCTTCATCAGTCAAAAGAAGTAAGCAGATCATAACTATAGAGCACGGCCTCATGCTTGACGTGACGTGCTTTTAGACTCGTGGATCCTGTCAGTGGTGTGCGTTTAGACTCACGTGGATCCAGTCGACAACGGGGACCTATCAATCGGGCGACAGCTTTAGTCATGTTCTTATTCAGCGGGGCCTTAAGGCTGAGTTAAACGTTTTCCAAATTTGGAAGGAGGATTGTGGTGCAGACCCTTGCTAGCACACAGTACAAAGAAGGTACAAAAGATACAAAAGGTACATGGCCCAGTGTGCTCCTCTTGGTCCCACTAAAAAGGTACTTACGATACTTAAGGTACTTAAGGTACTTGGGCTTAGAAACCCACTTTGGCCTTGTGGAAACGTCGGATTTCAACTCCACGTCTGCTCATTTAGAACACAACAACCCCACTCCTTCTTTTTCTACCTACCTCATTTTAACGTAAACATCTTTAGAAGACTGCCCCACTAGTGCGCTTCCTCTGAAGCTGTGGTGGCCACTTGGCCCTTGCAACTTAGGGTGCCGCGAGCAGGCGCAAGTGTATCCATTTCACTTTATGGTTATAATGACTGAGGCAGCCTAACTTCTTAAAAGTATGAATTGTCTCTCTTGTTTAACTGTATAGCCTTTACTGAGAAATGTCCCTTAGACGCTTGTAGACAATTTCCCTACTAGTGGCTAGTTGCATCTCCCGTAATAAAGAGCAACGTGTTGCATCCGGGATAGAAACGCTTCTTTCTTAGAAGTATTGTTGCTGAGAAGTAGCGCTACTGTAAGTATAATTAAGTTAATTTTGACCCCTATACTTACTAAATTGACTTTTTTTTTTCTAGGATTTAACTACTTAGTGAACTTATAATTAATATAATTTAATTACTATATAAAAATATATATAATATCCTAACTAATTAGAAAAAAGTAAGGCTATTCCTTATAGTGATAATAACCTAAAGTTTATAGGCGAAAGGACGCCTCTCTGCAGCTAGTTTTTGCTGAGCTGGATGGTCTCTATAGTGCCCGGCAGCATTGAGAGCCTCTGAGAGGTAAGGGTTAATTTAGCAGTGCTAAAAGCCCTCTTGTAGTCCGTCGCTATTGCTGGCACTGCGAAGACGTTGAGGGTAAGCCGGGAGAGTGCCGGGAACGTCTCCGCATGGTCCCTCCACCACTGGATGGGATCAGACGTAGCCTCCGGAGGCTGACGAAGGTAGAGATTGAGCTCATCCGTCCTGGGCGGCGTCTGCCGGCGCCGGCTGTTGACCCACTGCCGGTAGTGCACATCCTCTCCGTCCCCGGCCCCGGGATCAACGGGCAGTATGCCGGCCTGCTAGCTGGAGGGGAAGACCTCGGTAGGCTTACGATACTACCGATTGAAGTACTCTGTGAGAGACTTCAGAGCCTTCTCTACCTATCCCTCCTAGTGTTCCTTATACTATATATCTTATAAGTATGAGATGCTATATAATGGGTGTAGTATAATTATACTAGAGAAGAGTGGGGAGTCCTTAAGCTTCTTATAATAGGTAAAGAGCTTCTGCTATACTTATTTAATGCTGCTGTAGAGGAAGGTTTGCTACTCCTTATTGAGAGACTTAAATTGGGAGGTAGATTGAGAGGCTGGCGATGCCTAGTCCTTGCGTATATAATTAGGTAGGGCTTAGAGGTTATGCTGACGGCGTTGTTGTGCTTAGCTAGCACGCTTCTGAGATTGCTGCAACTGCTGAGAGTCACCCTTATTATTATTGCTAATACTGGGAGATATATTGGCGTTATAATAGATCTTCTAGTTGATAAGATGTAAGAGAAGGTATTTGATACCTATTGTAACCTCCTAGAGTTGACTATGCTTATTATTAATACCCCAGCCCTTATACTGCTTTGTCTGGCGATAGAAGGGTTTAAGGATCATCCCGATCTCTGTGAGAACCTTCTAATCCTCGCTAGAGAGTAGATCCTTCTCTGGGATATGCTGGGCAACGTCGTTATTGTTGTTGTTGGCTAATAAAAATGCCTAAATCTCTGCCTTCTTCTTTATAGCCCTCTTGATTATAAGATATATACTGTTCTATTGAGTGTTGTTATTTAGTATAAGTTGGGCCTCCCGGCGTGACTTAGAGAAGATCTGGAAGTTGGAGTCTCTATTAACCTCTGCTATAGCCTTCTGGTACTGCTCCGTTTGCTGTGGAGAGGACCTAACGAACTTGATGATGTTCTGGAGCTGGCCTATAGGCCTAAGCCTCTGCTAAAGCTCTAGGTTATTGTTATATTGATTGTAAAGCTAGAAGAAGTCTAACTCTGCCTCTAGAGTCTCTTTATTGGCGCCGAATAGGAAGGCCTGGGCAGTGAGGTTCAGTATGTGGCTGTAGCAGCGCATATGCTAGGCCTTAATGTTGTCCACTATTATCTCTAGAGAGATGGTCTAGTAGAAGGCCTAGAGGTAAGTGTTATTATTTATAGCGTTATTGGAGACTATTATGCTGACCTAGGTATGGAGGTTATACTGGTTGATAACGTTGATAAGGGTCTATGAGAGGCTGTGGCTGGAGTGGTTGCCGTAGTGCTGCGGGAAGGCCAAGAGATGGGACTGCGTGGTACTGTTAGTATGGATAAAATGGCTAGTAACTGCTATAAAGGTGTAGATATTTGGTGATGACTATAGATTGAATGAAAGGTGTATCTTTGAGGCTGTAGAGTGAAGTTTAGACTTCACGAGAGCCTCTCTATGCTGGTAGAAGTTATTAAGACGGTCCCGAATTGCTATCTGGCCCTATGGGATCTCCCTGGCGACCTCTATACTATGGTACTGAAACATCTGCTGCATGTAGGTGTTCTTGAAGTGGACGAATGGGAGATCAGCAGAGATGATGGAGGCCACGTAGAGGTCCCTCATCGTTATGATCTTGGACTTTGGGATGTTGCTGTTAGGGTGGGGTCGTTTGTATGGAGGGG